ACCTTTAATAATAATAAACTAGCTATTACTATATAGATTTAGAAGTTATATTAGACTTATCCTAGTATTTTTAACTAGTTACTATAAATTAATATTATATATATTAATATTAAAATTCCTAATATATACTATTATTAGGCTATTAATATCTAGGCTAAGAAGAAGATAAATTTAATAATAGTAAAACTATAACTACTATTTATAAAGATATCTAAGCTTCTAAATATATATCTATTCCTTAAGATACTATATAAAGTATATAAAGAAAATTAGAAGAAGATTTTAGTACTTAAACTTAGACTATATTCTATTAAATTTTTTTAGAAGGTAAGCTTTATTTTTAATAAGTAAGAATATTATACTACTATTACTTAAGATAATATTATTAAATATTAGAATACTAATATTAACTAAGTTATTATAATCTTTATATATATACTTAGTAATACTAAGTAGATATTTCTATATATTATTCTAATATAAGTTATCTAGTAAGATATTATTCTATAACTCTCTATTCTATATATAGCTAATACTAATAAATATATAGTTATAGAAGTTCCTATAATTAAATCTATTATTTTTATTATTCTAATTAATATTACTTATAATAATATTATCTAATTAAATTATTAGAGAGATTTCTTTATTACTTATATATAGGATATTATATTTCTATAAGAGTTATAAGGCTAGAAGAGTAATTAATAGCTAGCGATAGCCTCTAATAATATTAGCTAGATAAATATAATAAATATATATTTAAATTTAATACTAATAACCCCTAATTCCCTATATATAGAAGAGTAGTCTACTTACTTAGTAGTACTCCGCGAGTATATTAGAAGTATCTAAAAAGATAAGGAGGGTATCTATAGTATAACTTACTAGTAATACGTATTAATAGTAGGAAAGTATCTAAAAGAAGTAATAGTATATCTATTATTACTTACTTAATACGTCTAATTAGGTTAGAACGTGTTGGCTCTATTCGGATACTGTTGGGCTACGGAAGATAGTAGTGCCGCAAAACATACTTTATCCGGTATGGAAGGTTAGTGGTCACGTGTTCCTCCCTTCCTCTTCCTCTCTCTTCTTCTTCATCATCCTCTTCTTCCTCCGCCATCTCTTCTTCTTCCTCATCCTCTTTTACCATTTCTTCTATCACTGAATCATTCGCAAAAGGATACCTTCCGGCCCACATGCCCCTAGCTCCAGTAGTTCCGAAGACTCCAGGGCAGCCATATGCCTTTGAGCGGCCTGAGTGCTTGGGTTGGTACCTGATACCGTTATTCAAGCTCTACATCTCATACGCGCCAGACTCCTTTCCCTGTGACTGGCTGGAGAAAACAGAGGACATCAAGGTGAAATGCATAGACAGCACAGGCAACAAGGTAGAATTTCCGACTCCTCCAGAGCTTTTGAAGGCCATCAGGAAGTGTGAGAATGTCAACCATCCTGAAAAGGGGCCTTGCTTACCCAACAACTGGCACTTTTCTGGCTTCATGCAGGGGGGAGCCTATGACGTCCTTCGGGAGTATCGGCCCATCGAGCACGGGGAGTAAGTTAGCCACCAGCCTTTGCAAGATTCCTCCGCATTGTCGATACTTATCCTCCTATCATCCTATCTAACACCCTTTCAGGTTCTGTGGCCCAATGTTTAACAAAGTACACCGCATGGTGTATCACTCATACCCTTGTATAAAGGGAGTACAACTTTTCTATCATGAGCCAAACCATTGGAGTTGCATAATGAGAGATCATTCAAGCGCGTTCGAGCCGAGCCAGGTCGAGAACGACCCCAGGAGCTATCTTCTGCGATCCGAATTACTGGCAGCGATTTCTATATTCTACCGCCAAATGCATGATATGATATGGAATCCTCGAGTAGAGAAATACAAACCCATCTTAAGGTACAAAGAGGGATTTTTGACGGTAGGATATCCACATCTCCCTTTTATGCCTCTTTCAACCTTGATTTCTTACTAATTCTCGAACGAACCAAAGGCTACAGTTGTGACATTCATTTACGGGCAAGTCCGTGTAGTTCAAGCAAGCATAAAACCATCTGAAACATACCCAACGATTACTTTTACACTACGCGCCATCTACGATCTCAATGAGGATTATGATAAAGAAGTAGCCTATACTGTCTTGCAGTGGATACTGAGCCCTCCCAAGCCCGCAGAAGTGGATTAATAACTAGGATGATTTCGAGGTTGGGAGTATTTGTGTTTGACGGTGCTATCTGTATTGAATTTGCTGTCTGTCTCTTAACCATTACGACCTTTGAGGGTGTAAAAGCACGTTCTTGGTTTTGAGCTAGTTGAAAAAATGGAATTCTCTCCTACTACTACTACTACTACTGGGAAGGACCACATTGATGCTGTGCAAAGTCGACACCAATAATGTTACCCCTGTAGTTCAACCATTTGTCTCTCTTGAAGACTCGACTTGGAGTTCTGCAGAGAAAGCCTTTCTTTTCTTTCCTTCCTTTCTTTTTTGCCCTTTCCCTCTTCCTAGTACGGAGTACTCCGTACACGCGAGTGAGAGGTAGAATTTATGTACTGATCGACGAGGCTCGTAAAATCCTTGCACGTACAATGAGGTCACCAATGCGGGCCGATGCAGCTCCTACCGCCAGTGGTTAAACATCTTCCAGATGGGTAAGACCGCCATATAAGGAGATTTTTCTTTTTCTCCCATTTCTCATTTTTACTTTTTCCTCCCTTTCATCTCGGCTAAGAGTTCAGAGAGAATGACGAGAAGAGAAGGTCGAGAGAAGACCAGGGTAGTCCAAGGTAGGGCAACCTGTCAGAGTATCAAGAGCAAAATCAACCAGTCAGAAAAGGTGAACCTTAAACAGTCACCAGGGATGGTGGCTTTAAGCTGCTACCTTCAGATGTTGCCCGGCTTGTATTGTTGCCTGTCCGCTTCTTTATTGTGCTGCTGTTGTTCCAATTTTGCTGATCAGTACCAGTCGACAGGCAGGCTTGCCTTGGAAAGAGTAATACATCTTGCGTGAGTGCCGGCGAGTTGGGTTGGTCAATTGGAGCCAGCACAAAGCAGCGCTAAAGGAGAACTGTCACTAATGCAAGGTTAACGCAGGCAGCCCTATCCACGTCGTGCCCAACGATATCCTGGCTCCAACCCGCCCCTCAGCAGTCGCATAGGGGAAGTTAAATCTAGTGGGTCGATGGGAAAAATTCCATCGACTAAGAAGAAAGTTTTTTTTTTTTTTTTTACCCTTTTTCTTTCCTTGGTTGCGATGAAAGTTACTCCGTGGAAGGTTTTGTTTGTGCGAGGAGTCATGAGTAGAGGAGGATACGATATCCGACAGAATCTGAAGCTGCTGCCTAGCGTTACGAGGTCTTGACTGAAACACACGGGCGAAGGAGAGGCCTTTCATGATCCAGAGAGGTGGCTGGGGAGGAGAGCTCGAGACGGCAGCAAGAGGGCGAGCAAGACCAGTACGGTCGTTATCCGCCTGTTCCCGCCTTGTAACTTTGCGGGAGGGAGGAACTGAACCATGGATGCGGCCGTCTGATGGGCCGCTTTATCCATAAAAAGCCGGAGGAGAGCCTTCTTGTCGCCCAGGTCGGTTGTTTAGAGTCTGATCTTCTAGAAGTACTCAGCCATCCCAGCACATGTGTGTGGGTGTGTCTGCATAGTTATATCTGCATCTGCGTCTGCAAACTGTAACCAACCGACTGTCAACTGCTGGACAGGCAGTCAGTGACGGTGTCCTCGAGAGCGTACCACCCAGTATCAAGACCGACGACGGGGGCCCCTTGAAAACCAAAGCTTTCGGCCATCCTGAGTCGCCATTAGCTCGCCGTCCGTCTTCTTGCCCGTATGTTGTACGTCTCCATGCCACACAGCAGACATCGTCTCTCCTCCTCGCTCGCCCACCAGCCAGTCTCTGGCGTCCAGCTCGGTATGTCATTCGTGCGAGTTGTCCTGCCTGGCTCCCCCTATCCTCCTGCCATGTCTCTCTGCGTGTCCTGGCTCTGCTCAGTGGCTGGACATTCTCCTTCTCCGTCTGCCTCTGCTGCTGCTGCTGCTGCTGCTGGCTGTGTCGTGGCCTTTTTTTGCTTGTCGTCGAAGAAGGAAGAAGCGGCGGCGGCAGAATCAAAAAGCGGTCGCCAAAACGGCCAACGCCAGCCTCATTCTGAATTTTCACCTTCGCCTTTTCGTCTCAACCACAACAACAACCACAACACCACCAACAACAACACCTCACGCAGCAGCGACAGCAGCGACAGCAGCAGCCAGGTCTTTTCCTTTCGCCCCCCCCTGCTAGATGAGAAGTCTCTGCTAACCTCTGGCTGTCTCTCCAGCAGGCTCCCTTCCAATTGACCTGGGTGTGGTCTCTGCGTGACGGGCAACAGTCCAACCAAGACCCTGCACATACCGAACTTTTCCCTCTTTCCTTTATTTTTTATTTATTTTTTTTTTATTTCTATTTTTCCCCCCTTCCTCTCACAGTTTTATTGATATTGCTACTACTACTATTACGATGAATCCTCCTTGCCTCCTCTAGTTACACGAAGGAAAAGCAGCGCTCCTGTCCTTTTTCGCTGCTGGGTGGCTGCATGTAAAAGGCCCGTTTCTCGTTTGCCGCTGGAGGACCAAGGAGCCAGAGCCTCAAGCCGTATCCTTCACACCTGGTCGACAGGCTCTCCAACTCCCCCTCCCGCCTCGCCGGTTATTTCTTATGGACATTCCGCGCCTGTCTAGCCAGTCATCCAGGTCAGCTGTCACGCTGTCGAGCCCAAGCTCGCCTCGCGTCGTGCTGCATGGCCATCTCAATTGCCGACGCACCAGGCCCATTCTTGTACCCATTCTTCCTCATGCCTGACCTCAAGGCCGCTCCCCCGGTCAGACACAGCTTATTCCACCGCCTTGGACTTCGTAGCTGGCTGGGGAGGGACGGCGAAGGCATCGAATCTCACTCTCAGTTCATTGCCCGAGAATTGAGCCGCCAGCGCCTAGCGGGCATTCCTTCTTCAAGTGCAAAACGTGTGCACGATGATAACGAAAGCGACGTCAACTATGATGACGATATCGACGGTGTGACTTCGGTGGCAGACAGTGAGCAGTTGGCAGGCTCCCTCCCCCAGGCCAGTCCGTCTAATGTTACCGTTGGTTTGCCCAGAGCCCCAACCTTTAAACGACAGAATTCAGAGCGCCGCGACCACCTTACCCCTTCGGAGTCTGGCCTAGGACACAGACGGGCCTACTCTGCTGACCGCCAGGGAGATATCGGACCTTGTAGAACAAGCTCTCCCCTCCCGGCTTATTCTCCCCGGAATTCCGTGCCAGATTTACCCACAAAAGACTATCATGTATCGGCCCAGGCATCTCCCACCTTGATCAACGATGAACCGTCCCCACTTCAACGTGACCCCGAACTGGGGCAAAGGCAATCGCAAACTGACCTAGCTTCGGAATACGGACCTCCCTCTGAAGGTACTATCGATAATGAACTAGAAGCCGAACTCGACAAGAAATGGATCCTTAACCTTAGCATGAGGTTCAGGGACAAGTCTGACCGTGAAAAATTCTTCATCACTTATGCTGAGGCCCCGAACAGATGGCGGAAAGTTACCGTGTCTTGCGACTACCGTAATGCCGAACCTGACTCACTTGAGTCTGACCTGAAAAAGCTACAATACCACCGTGAAAAAAATGCTCATATATATGAATCAATCCGCGAGTCTATCGATGAGATTCAATTCTATGATACTGTCACAAATCTTAAACTGGAAACTCGGGACGGCCGTCTCCACGTTCATGTTACCGAGGATGTGAACGAAGTTATCATTTTCCCTCCAATCTCCAGCGTCGAGTATCTCAACCCCTTGTTTATCCCCGAAAGCGAACTAGATTTTGATTCTCACTTATCCGGCTTTGTTTACCGAGTGAAGTACCATGGAAAGGACTACGTGAAGAAGGAAATCACTGGCCCGGATACTGTTGAGGAATTTCTCTACGAAATCAACGCTCTTCACGCTCTTCTTGATTCGACCAATGTTATCAATTTTAGAGCAATTGTTGTTGATGACTCCGGGACTTTGGTCAAAGGACTCTTGATAGACTACGCAGAACAGGGCGCCTTGGCTGATTTGTTTTACGACTTCAAGGGTGAACTTTCTTGGAAAAGGAGAGAACGCTGGGCAAAACAGATCATTAAGGGACTTGGGGATATTCATGAAGCAGGCTTTGTCCAGGGAGACTTTACCGTATCCAACGTTGTTGTGGATGAGCATGATGATGCAAAAATAATTGATATCAACCGCCGAGGCTGCCCGATTGGATGGGAACCACCAGAGTTTGCCAAAAAGTTGGAGAGTAAACAAAGAATATCCATGTACATTGGCGTGAAGTCGGATCTTTATCAACTTGGCATGACTCTTTGGGGCCTGGCCATGGAAGAGGATGAACCAGGCAGGCAGCCACGACCGCTCCTTATACCGGAAGATATGAAAATCCCAACTTATTTCAGGAGAATAGTTGATATTTGCCTCAGCGAACGTCCACAGGGCCGTTTATCCGCTAAGGACCTCCTTGCCTTGTTTGATGATCAAAGAGATGAAGTTTTCCCCAGTCCTGGAGCTGACGTACCCCGTTATGCTCCCATGCAAAATCTCAACGGTGTATACCAAGGCTATCCCTACAGCAATTACAATTATCAACTGACTTCAGTGTACATGGACGAACATCCCAAGGGTATGCACTATACCAATGTACCCATAGGAGATCGCCTTCGATATCAACACATGGGGGTCGAGCCGGTGATAATGCCGCCATCGAGGAATAGTCCTGATTTCCATTGTGTGAATAACAACTTACAAGCTGCTCACAACGGCGAGCATGGCCTCCCCGGTTCTCTACATGGGCTTAACCATAATGGACAGTATCTACCTCCCGGAAGTCACTGGGCGAACGGTCATAATCCGGTGCCGTACTATAACCCTGCATTTGTTAGACCCGCACTGGCTTCACACCATACTTCCATGGGTTTAGCTGAAATGGAGCTCTTGGACCGCCAGGATAGAGAGACAGAATCTGACCCTCGATTTGATGATTTTGGACCTGTAGATCTCCCAGTGCATTCTGAACGCGGATGCCCCGTTGACGAAGACCATATTCATGAAATCCAGGACCATGTTGAAACCGACCCCTCGTACCTAGTGGATGACCATTACCCAACACCTGATCAAGCCCATCTTCCCCTTGACTCCCTCCCTTCCCCTGAATATTATGACGATTCCCGACTGGAATACAATCCCGAAGTTAAGCACACTATTCAGGTAGATCCGCCAAACGATCGGGAAGGAATTAACTACCTCAAACCAGTCCTTGGCCTTGGGGATCTCTCTAGTTCTCGTCTGCCAATCAATCCGGACTTTATGAAAACCACTAGCTGTGACTTGGCTATGCACCATTCTGATATCTCTTCATCTGGAACAACCTCCTTTGGACAGCCAATTTCCAATGATACCCTTTTCACTTCTAGTTTACCAATAAATCCCCGATATGAGGAACTTCCATCCAAGCCTGTGTCTTTGAATAAGTATGCCGATGACGATTTCTTAACCTCAAATTTGCCGATTAATCCGGCTTATGTCGATCCTTTAGATCGTGACACTTGTCCACGCGAACGAACTAGCAAGACGTTTAGCGGCAGTATAAAGTCTACGATACCCCGGCTCCAGATTACACCCCGAGACGACCTCTTCCACTCTGCCCTCCCGATCAATCCCTGCCACATTGAGCAGAGTCTTGACATTCACAGGAAGACGCCATCGAGTCTTAATCAATCGCGAAGCAAGCTTGCTGCTCCTAAACCAGAACTAATTCCTGAGCAAAAGTTATCTGGAAATACTGCCGTTGGCACCCTTCCGTCGTCTGACGCTTCACCTGTTACCTCTAATGATTTATTCACATCTTTGTTGCCGATTAATCCGCAATTTTGTTTTCAGGATTTCAGCGCCCGTCTGTCACACAACAACCTGTTTACATCTATTCTACCGATTAATCCCCGCCATAAAGGACAAATTATCAGGCAACCCGGGAATCTAGGTTCTCCTATACGCCCTAGCCTTTGCTCCACGCATACCCCATCTATTTCAGCCCCACCTCACCAAATAATATCTCCACAGCTGTCATCAACCATCTCATCTTCGGACGACCTTTTTCTTTCAACCCTACCGATAAACCCTCAACACAAAGGCAGACGGCCCGACCGTCTTACTCTCCCACTTTCCAAAGCGGTTAGCAATGATCTCATGTCGTCAAACCTGCCAATTAATCCGGCCTTCCCTCACCCAACGCCTTCCTGGAGAAAATTATCTGATTCCCAGAAGTTAGACAAGGCGACTACGAATACCCCCTGCACTGAACTACTTACGTCAGTGCTACCTATAAACCCGGCTGCTCGCACTTGATTATTCAACAACATAGACGAGCGACTCATAGTCAATTGCCCCCGAAAGTACAAAACTCCAACTTCTCTCTACACCAAATCCATCTCAACAAAAAATGCCACACTTTCCCACTTCGACACTTGTATTTGATACTGAATGTTATCTAATTTCAGTCCATTTATTGCATCATCTAGTAGGAGGAGCGCGGTGTTTTCCCTTTGCCCTATTGTTACCCATTTCGTTTGTTTCTCCCCCTTTTTTTTCGTTTGTTCTTCCATATGTCATTTCGTTTTATCGTTTGCTCATTGATCCGATGTTTATGCATTTATGTCTTACATTTCTGCCCCTTGTTATAAATCAGCCATTTTTTCCATCTATTTATTTTATTTCTTCCTATATACCCTATATAATGACCTGTCTACACTTCTCATACTCGGCAACGACCAAGAAAAAACAAAAAAACAAAAAAAAAAAATGGAATGCAAAAGTTTTTCAGCTACCCCTCTTCAGCCCTGATATATGCAAATTTTGGCGCCCCGTTGGATTCTTGGAGTATTTTCCTTTTATATGTCCTTTCAATTTATTTTCGAGTTTGAGTACAGTACATAATCTTCTTGTCTAACGAATGATGATATGGGTATGATTTTATTGCCTTGGGAGACAGGAACCCAGCGATGGTGCTTTGTTAGCTTGTGCCCTTGTTGTACGGAGTATCTTTGCACTTTTTGGCATGCATACGGTTTGTCGTCTCAGGATGTCATTTTTTTACCTGTTTTGGATACTGAAGCTTTGTGTCTTGAAACGGCGCTGGGTTGTTTGTGCGAAATGGTATACTAGTTATGTTTCAATCCAGATCCAGCTGATCAAGTCCTTTCTTTTGATTGAACCAGCCACGTTTAAAATTTACTATATGACAGGTAAGGTATATCGAAAATCTATTATCGAGGAAATCATTACATATTTTTATTGTTCAATCAAAAGGGAAAAAAGGGCCGAGAGTCGTTAAAGTACAGGTGTAAATGAGGCAGAGAAGATATAAAGTAGAGGTCGGAAACATGAAGAAATAGCAAAGGGAAGGCTCTAGAAAAACATCACCTTAGTAGGAAAAAGCCGTTCAGCATAACATGTAATAGTGATAGAAGTCTCCTACCCAGTGTCAAGCCACGAAGTAAGGAGATCAATGGAAGAATAAGCTGGTAAAATAGGGGATAGAGGAAACAAAAAAGAGAAATAATAAGCAATGAAAGATGCAATATCATATACAAGTTCGATCCGTATGATAAAAATAAATGTAAAAGGGAAAGGGGGGAAATATCGACCACGAAGGACTGAATAACTGAATACGTTATAGACATGTTCCGCAGTATTAGCAAAAAGAGGGAGTACCGTGTCCGGTTACTAAGATTGTGGTGCATTGGATTCTGGCTCTTGGGGATCTTTCTCTTCAGATTCCTCGGTTGTGTTGGCTTCCTTAGCTGGCTCTGGTTGCTCCGTACTTGGAGTATCAGAAACAATTGGCACTTCAGGCTTGGCAGAAGTGTCCTCTTCGTCTAGCTTGCTCTCGGTACCTTGTGTTATCTGGGATTCACTGGCTTCTTCTCCTTTCTCCTCTATCGGTTGAGCAGGAATTTCTGTTTGGTTCTCTTCCAGTCCATCGTCCATACTTGAAACAGTGGGTTCAGATGGTCCGGGGGATCCAGGTGTTTCCTCGGTTGGCTCCTTTTCAGAATCTGTCACTTCTGCTGGAGCAGGCAAAGTTGAGGCGGATTCTTCTAATACTGCAGCAGGCTTTTCCGTGTTACTTGAGTCATTGGATTCTGTGGATTGTTCTTGGAGTGAGATATTCTGCCCTTCGTCTTGGGTCAATGATTCCGGTTCCTCGGTGATTTCCTCGGCGATGTCCTCGGTAATCTTCTCGTTTCTTCCTACCTTAGGTTCTTTGAGTGGCTGGGTCCCTTCTAGGGTGTTTTTATTTAGGTCATCATCTTCTGCCGCCTCGGCAATCGTTGTAACGCCCACACCTGTTGACGGAGAATGTCGATGTCGCCTTGTAGTTGCTGCAGACAAGCCTGTACCAGGCTCTTCAAGGCTGTTGGGAGGCGTTGCTGTTACTGAGTCCTCCTTGCGCAGGATAGTCAGCCTTCTGTTAACACCTTGACTCTGACTATTCGAGGGTTCGGTGTGAGAAGCATCACCCTCTGCTTCAGGTGGTATTGTGTAGTTGTCATCAGGAATGAGGCTATAGACGTCGCAAACAGTCTTGAAAAAGACATAAAGGCCATCATGTCCTTCAACCTGCCAAAAAACTCCCCGATGCTGAAACCAGGCATGGGCAAATATTCGGTACACCCGCCGGAAGACATTCGTCAGATGCCTCATACTTGCTTGAGGTCCTCCAGTCGCATCAGAACCAAGAGTGAGTCGGCTTGGGAAGAATTTGGGTGACGTGAGAACATTTGTTGCCCAGTCGAGAGTATGACAGCAATAATCAATTGCACAACATGATTTAGGCGGGTCGTGGACGGCACATAGGTACTGCCACTCAGAAGCACGCATTTCGGGACAGGTTTGCGCTGAGCATGGTGGCTCTTCTGCGAAGAACGCAACGACGAGGTTGTTTGCTTTCATGGTAAGGAATCGACATAATTCGTACAGCCAAAGTGACCTTTCTACACCTGCTGGGGGCTCTGCTAAGTCTCGTGCGATTTCTCGGGTTATTGGGGCAACGGTATCAGAACCTGCGGGTTGTGTGAAATGATGGTATGAGGCTTTGAGATGTTCTTGGAGCTGAAAGGGAGAATCGAGCTATAGCCAACATATCGTCAGTTCTTGTTAGCTAGCCTCATCTTCTGTTGCGTCTATGAACGAAACCAACGAACCTCAGAGAGCGGAACCAAGGGGGGACCAGAGGCCATATTTGCAGCCTTTGTTCCGGGGCGTATTCTCCGTGCTGATGCATCATCCTGACCATGAGGTATCCCTAAAAATTCGTCGGATCCATCACTTTTCCCGTCGTTGACAGTTGGAGATTTGGGTGCGATCTGTACTTCTGTGAAAGGAGGAGGGCTGGGTAAGCGTGGAGAGCTTGACGGCGATACGGCTGATCCAGACATTATAATAGGCTGTCTATATAGACTCTTCGATCAGCCAGCAGGGTAAAGATAAGCCGGTTTTATAGCTTGCTCAAGCTGTTCTTTTTTTCCGTGATGTAAACATAAACCCGTACCTGAACATGGAAATTAACCGCGCGCAAAAGATGAATCGCGCTAAAGTTGTTCCGTGCCGCCCACTTTAATTGGACGTCGAATATTGATTTAGGTTATAGGTATCGATTGATATGGATTGATACGGATCAATTAATGATCGGATCTATAAAGAAAGGCGGACCGGATTTTACTACCTTGTCTAATTTTCCTTGTATAATCACAATGAGCGCGATCAGCGATGACGATGATAGCCCTCCACAGCTGGTAGATGTGACCGCTCCTGAACAGCCGGAGGAACAGCCCAAGACTCCGACAGACCAAAGCCTCCCTAGAGTCCCCATAACAATAGTAACAGGTACTTTGGCAGCTACACTTGTTCGATATGACTTTAATGCTCTAACAAGGTACCTTTTTCTCCCAGGCTACCTCGGGGCAGGCAAGACTACTTTGTTAAACTACATCTTGAATGAAAGACATGGGAAGAAAATAGCAGTCATTCTTAACGGTTCGTGGGCCTTATAAATATCCTTCAGTGACTAGTATACGGCCATACTGACTGTTCAAAACCAGAGTTTGGTGATTGTAAGGCTGGAAATTGTTATGCCAGTATGTGCGTCTAGCTAAATTACTTGCCTTTAGCTGTCGATATCGAGAAGTCAATGACTGTGAACCAAGAGGGTCAGCAAGTTGAAGAATGGCTTGAGCTAGCAAATGGTTGTATTTGCTGCTCGGTAAGGTATGTGCTACAGATAAATCTATGTATAAGACACATAGCCTCTACGGCCAAGTTAGAAAGCCGTGCTCTGACCGGACATTACGGTAGGGATGCTGGAGTTCTGGCCATTGAATCTCTAATGAACAGGAGGGGAACTTTTGATTATATCCTACTTGAGACCACCGGACTAGCTGACCCCGGGAACATTGCTCCTTTATTTTGGGTTGACGATGGGCTGGGCAGCTCCATCTATCTTGACGGGATTGTCACACTGGTCGATGCAAAGAACATTAATAAGCTATTGGATGAACCATCTTGCGAAGAAGAAAAGCAAGGTATTCACGAAGGAAGCATATTAACAACCGCCCACTTACAAATATCACATGCAGATGTGATCATTCTCAATAAGACCGATCTAGTCTCAAGCGATGAACTTGTAAAGGTGAAAGATAGGATTACCTCCATTAACGGTCTGGCTACGATCCATGTAACGGACCATAGCAAGATACCGAGTATCGAGGGCACGGTTCTTGAGCTGCACTCTTATGACAAATTAACAACCGTAGATTTCTCCACCAAAGGCCAGAGTCGACTCGACGCTGTAAGTTCTTACCTATCTCTTCTTCACCGAAAAGGCTTCTCTTATCTTGAGGACAAAAATTGACAATCTCATTTAGAGAATTTCTACACTTGCATTCACAATCTCGGATATAACAGAGGATAAGGTTGCGCATATCGATGAATGGCTGCAAGCCGTGCTCTGGAATCAAGAATTCCCAAAACATAAACACAGCCCTGGGGAGACTATCACAGACTTCGAAATCCATCGACTCAAGGGTATTCTTTATCTAACAAATGGAAAAACAAGGATAATCCAGGGTGTAAGGGAAGTCTTTGAAATTACAGATGCAGAAGATAGCCAGCCAACATCTAAACCTGAATCTAAAATCGTTCTGATCGGACGTGGGCTTGGATTGGACAGCTCAGCATGGCAGAGGAGCCTCCTTTCATATTTAGAGAGGTGAAAGAGCTTATTGAAAGTAGCTAGGGCTACTGCTGGGCTGTTTGGCTATCTTCGGGAGCCTATGGTATCAGGCAAGGGGCACCGGGTAGATTCTTTCATAGTTACATAAAAACAATGCTAGACGGTACGCGTCTAGACGTCATGAATGTAAATCCTTGAATTATCGCTGGTTCAATATGTCGTTTCTGCATTATCTTCGGGTGATATCGGGTGCCGAATAGCAGTTTGGGCCCTTGGCCGGGTTTTCACTTTTCCTAAAGGGGAACTATCAAGTCCAAGTTCACTCAAACTGCAGCCCTCCTCTTGGTTCTCTTCACCAGGTGTCTTTGATTGTGCCGAATCAAAAGGTATAGGGCTTGCAGCGACTTTCGGTCTACTTTTGAACACACTATCATAATCAATGTAGTCACTATATGGGTCTTCATCTGTTGCTTCAGCGTTAGGTTTTTCCTTATTTTCGGCTCTTTTCTCAGGTGTTTCGAATGGATCACCGGGGAGAAGTAGCTGGGACTGTCGGCGGTTTTCTGAAATTGGCTTCCATGGACGAGGAGTCGCAGCAGATACAAACAGCATAGACTGTCTAGTGCGCTCTAATAGAGTAGCAGACCGAGAAGCAGGGTCTTCGTCGTGTTGAAGCTGTGCTCCATCGTCCTGAATACCACTTTTATCACCTATAATCGGGTGGTCATCGATTTTAGGGTTAGTCTCAGGTAATTCAGGGCTGTTAGCCTTTTCCAGAGACAAAGCGCCTAATTGTATGGCGAGCAAGTCCTCTGTCGATAAATTTCCAGAATTATCTGGTTTGATTGAGTTTGTTGTTTCCGAGGCCTCATGAAACCCGGAAGCTTTCCTTTGGACGGGCTTTGTATCAATCATAGTTTTTGGGTTAGGGGAGGTATCAGGGGTATTATAAGAGATCTCTTGCTCTGAAGGAACTTTCGAATTTATACCACTGTTAGCAGAACGTGTGGGTGTCTTTTGCGTTTCATCATGTTCGGCTAACGGATCTATGGTGCCGTCTTGCTCTCGAGGTATGACTTCGGGTTCCTTGGAGTCTTCTGATCGTCGTAACCGAGTTCGTAGGCTGTCCAGTTCTAGTGAATCTTTGAATTTCCGCCACTTTTGAAGCCGGGATTTCTGTTTTGAGAGGCGGTCCTCCAAATCCGCTAACAGGTCTGGATGATTTGGTGACCCAATATCATTTTTGACCTCTACCTTTTTCATGCCGGACCACACTTGCGAAAAGTCCATCTCAAGCAATGGTTCTGAGACAGCCTGTGGATCTCCATTCAAAATTGTGTTGGCCCAATTAATATCACCATGCCATGATCTGTTGATAGAGTCTTGAATTTGCTGTTGATATCTCAATTCTGAGGCTAACGGTTTGGGCATGCGTCTTGAATTTGCTAGCTCATTAGATTTCAAATGGAGAAATTGCTTCAGGTCTCGACATGTCGAATTCAACTCATTTTTCTGGTCTATCATGGAATGTAAGGATGCACGGTATGCAATGATCATCGGCAGCAGGTTTTGAGTATCACTCGGAGGGCCACGCTTGCTGACAGGGAGTGACAACGGAGGGGCTCCAGTGCGATATTCACGAGATGAGGCTACAAATTTTCGTAGGACGATCGTAGAGAACTCGGCTAGGATTTCATCAAACTTCTCTCCAGTGCACTCTTCGAGCATTGCTTTCCGCAAGATTCTCTCCCTTCCCAGAGTTCCATTTTTGGTCAGCTCCGAAAGTGATCGGAAGAGAGCAGCCCGAAGGTTTGACGACTGCAGAGGTTCAAGTGGCGGGAAAAAGGGTTGGAGCTTCTATGAATTTGGGTTTAATGTTAGATGATACTCTCCTACGGAGTAATCCTGACAGGCACGATAGTTCATACGTTTCTGGCGAGCTCAGGATCCCATAGCTGAAACAGATAAAACAACGTCCATTCCACCGCCTGTACTCGTCTTCGCAGATTATTCTGGTTATCAGACAGCGTCGATGGCACAATTCCGGGCCAATCCGGACGCAGATCAAGACGCAAGAGCTTCAAATTGCGGATGAAGACTGCAATTGGCGGAGCCTGAGGCCATGTTTCGGCCCCGGAGCTCGCTGTAGAAACACGCATAGGGTTCGTGTCGCAGAGGCGTTTTATGCATAGGTGGTTTCTGATGGAAATCTCGCACGAGTTGGTCCACAGTTGTCATTTATCCTCTAGGCGTAGTGTTGTCTGTAGCAATTAGCTATCGATGCTCTCACACAGCCGAGCTTTATTTTGATATTCAGGGGAGATTTGGTGACTTTGCTCACCGGACAAGGGGCAGGTCACATGACGATGGCTTAGGCACGACCCCTGAGCATAACGGAATGAATATCCAAGGAACAGCGCTGGCTGTATCAGGGGTAAATGCATCGTTTTACTGATACGGAGGATAATGGCAGCATTTCGCATGTTGCTGGTGCCAACCTTATACTATGTAACGAGGAAGAGCATCTCTTCATTAAATAATGAGTTGAGCGATACACTGCTTTCATCCTATATATCAGGGAATCCCTTTGTTTGATAGTTACATAGAGCACCTAGAGCATGTAATCTTCTATTCCTATCTCAACAAAGGAGGCCTTTTACACAAATAATGACCAGGCTGTTCCTTTCAACCAACAGGGCCAGGTTCAACAACATATTGATAAATAATAGAATGTTTTTTTAATCAAATAACGTGCGATTTTATAGGGCCGAGCTTATTAGTCATCCTGATCGTTTGCATGGATCTCGAAAAGCTCCAAAAAAAAGCAAAAATAATCATAATCGGCTACTGATATGAAGGTTCAGATATAAAGATAGACGGAACCCCCCGCCAACTCGCCACGGAGCTCCTCATCCCCATCGATTAATCTTGTCCCCAGCTCGGGTCATTGCTGGAATAAAGATGGGTTCAAACACGCCCTGGACCACTCAGTCCGGTAAGTATCGGTCAATTCAGCTGGCGTAAAGGAGGGCTAAGCTGACTTGTTTCTGCATAGTTATCTCAACACTACCGCATCCTCTAGCGGAAAACGGCTCCTCGCCCATCCCATTCTTTCACCTTCTAGAACGGCTAAAAACCACCAAAAGAGAAGGCTGGCGACGGTTCGATATTTCCAATGGCGAGTCTATAGCGGATCACATGTACCGCATGTCTGTCATGACGATGCTGGCCCCGCCCTCGCTTGCCTCCAAACTGAATATTCTTCATTGCACGAAGATGGCACTCGTTCATGACATGGCCGAATCGATCGTTGGAGATATAACACCCGTTGATACCGAAGTGACCAAGGCCGAAAAAGCGAGGCGAGAAGCAGAAGTGATGGAATATATATCTAAGACACTACTGGGCAGTGTCTTCGGGGGAACTCCAGGAGAAGGCCTCCAGAAGATTTTTGAAGAGTACGAAGAAGACAAAACGCTCGAAGCACGGTTCGTGCACGATATCGATAAGATGGAATTGCTTCTGCAGACCGTTGAGTACGAGCGGGCCCATGGTGGGAAGCTTGATCTAACGGAGTTCTACCACGTTTTCAAGAAAATACGGCTACCAGAAATCCAGGCTTGGGGAGAGGAAGTTATTCGAGAAAGAGAGGCATTCTGGGCAGATAAACCCAACCCTCCTAAGTTACCCCAGTGAAGTCTGCGTACCGCTTCCTTTTTACCCCTCAAATACCTGGCTTTAGACTGTTTCTGTTTGGGATACAAACCTAGAGAATCTTATAAGCAGGACGGACCTTGATTCATGCGCCGTTACTGACGATTTGGTTTAGCCCGCTGCCAGCAGGCGTCTGTTTCATTCTTATATTCCATGTTCTTGGTTATGCTGCTATGTTCATGTTCCTTTCCTATGTTATTGGCACTATTGATAGATTCATTTTTTGGACTGGGTTATGTCCGAAATTGAGCAGAGCTCAACTTTTGCCCTAATAGACACGCGCGTATAATAACTACATCGACTTTAATGATTACACGTTTTCGAAGTGATTCCTCCTGAGTAAAAATTTGCCATACATTCCAGAATGTTTGCCCAGGTCTACTCTCGGGACATACTAAACTGTGACTTGCAATTTTACAACTAGACATGTTCCGACAACGGCTATATAATGCTCATTAATAGCTGGCATTTGATACCGAGCTGCCTCAGACTCATGTAGACCCAGTCCCAGTGGCTAATTTAAGCCACGTGACCACGCGGCGATTTTTCGCTTTTCCGCGACTTTATCAACTTAGGTAGCTCGCCAGGGTTATCATCATCATGCATCTCCCCTTGCCGGAAACGGAGACACAGGATGACCAAAGCTTTGATCCCAAACACCAAATGTGAATTAGATTGGATAGTTGCACTAGAAGGACTCATTTCGTGAATTTTACTGCAAGTGGCCACCATTTCACCATCGATGCCACGGTCCCTGACTCCTAGGAAGACCCGACATGGACGCGATACCAATTCAAGGCTCGCTTTATTAGAGGCACTTGACACGCCTCCGGGACCTTCGGCTGATGAGATTAGAACCTCGGAGTTCTTTGATGGGGAAGACTCTTCTTCTGAGGAATCCTCCCTATCGGAACCTGAAGACAGCGAGGCAGGTCTGCACGAAAAGCCAGACGGCAGTGGTGATGATGACGATGAAGATGAAGATGAAGATGTGAACTGGGAAGATGTCACTTCTAATCCCAATTCCAACATCCAAACCCCAGCTCCAGTCCTGCGAGACTTGAGTATCGTGCTAGAAAGGAATGAAGAATCATTCGCCCCTCTCTCACTTTCTTCCAAGAAAGGGCCAAGTAAGATCGACCGTCTAATTAGGACACAAACGCATTGCATGCATGTGCAGTGTCTTCTATTTCACAACGCTGTTAGAAATGCCTGGATTAATGATCCAGAAACAAAGAAGATTCTCCTTTGCCAGTTGCCAGAAAAAATCAATAAACAGCTGGAGCAGTGGAGATCAATAGTCAAGTCATCTGCCTCGATATCAGAGGGCCAGGATGAGCCTACATACCATATCCTGACAGCGCTTGCTTCTTACTGGTCTGAATCTTTCAATATTACTGCCCCTGGATTGAGAAAAAGAGGTTACAGACCAATTCCCGTTCTTGGGAGAGAGATTTCCAAATTCAATGGTCCGGATGAAGATGGCAACGACCATGGGGAAATTATTCGTGATATTACCGAATTTCGTGAGCTTGCTCGGCGACGTCAAGGGTCCCGTGATACAGGAGCCCAGCTTTTTACTTCTCTTTTAAGAGCTGTTGGCCTGGAAGCAAGAATGGTTACCAGCCTACAGCCGATTGGCTTTGGATGGAGTAAATTTGAGGAATATAACCCCAAAGAAAAGCCAAGCCGTTCCGGAAAGAAGATAGATAAAGATCTCAAGCATCCAATATACTGGTCTGAAGTTGTATCGCCTATTACGAATGATATTATACCCGTGGAGGCTCTTGTTCTTCCATTTTACCTGGCCAGAACTCCAGAACGTTTAGCAATGTTTGAACCTCCAGCCGCGAAAGCGGAAAAAGCAAAACAAGTGATAGCGTATGTGATTGCATACTCTCCAGATGCAACTGCAAAAGATGTCACTATTCGGTATCTGAAAAAGCAAGCCTGGCCTGGGAAAACAAAAGGATTTCGACTACCCGTAGAAAAAATTCCGTACAATATGTCTGGAACTCGTGCATATTACGAATATGACTGGTTTAAGACCACAATGCGGGGCTATCTACGACCAGCAAGTAAAAGGACCGCTGCCGATGCCAAAGAAGATGAAGCCCTTACACCTGGCCAAGCAAGGAATAATAAGCCAAAGGAGGGAGATACACTCCAGAGTCTGAAGGCGTCTGATGAGTTTGTACTGGAGAGGTTTTTGAAAAGAGAAGAAGCCCTCCGTTCTGGTGCAATCCATGTCCGTACTTTCACTACTGGCAAAAACGAGAAGAAGAAAGAGGAAAAGGTCTATAAACGATCGGATGTAGTGAAATGCCTTTCTGCTGAGAGCTGGCATAAAGAAGGACGAAAAGTTAAGATGGGGCAGACGCCTCTGAAACTCGTTCCCATCAGGGCAGTTACGCTCAACAGGAAAAGAGAGGTAGACGAGCTTCATCGTGAGACAGGTGAGAAGCCAATGCAAGGGCTCTACGCCCGATATCAAACGGAATTTATAATCCCACCGCCTATAAAGGATGGGGTAATACCCAAGAATGAGTATGGGAACATTGATTGTTTCGTTCCATCCATGATACCACAAGGAGCGGCCCATGTGCCATACCCCGGGACCGTCCGCGTTTGCAAGAAACTCGGCATAGATTATGCAGAAGCAGTTACCGGATTTGAATTCGGGAGTAAAATGGCTGTTCCAATAATTGAAGGGGTAGTCGTTGCGGCCGAGAATGAGAACCTTTTGAAGGATGCGTGGATGGCTGATGAACAGGAAAAAAGGAGAAAAGAGAAGCTCAAGCATGACAAACTTATCCTAGCTACATGGCGGAAATTTATAATGGGACTTCGCATTAATGACCGGCTCCGGGAAGAATACGGTGGAATGGGTGAAACTGAATCTCACAATCCATTTGCTAGTCGCATGGACCCTGACCCTGAAACTCATCAGACTACAGAGGTCGATAGCCAGAGTCACGACACGGGAGGTGGATTCCTTGTTCCTGGAGCTGACGATGATATGCACGAAGAAGGTGGTTTTTTGGTTGAAGATGATAACCCACATGAAGGCTAGAGTCTACCAGGTGATGCCCCAGGATTTGGACGGCCCTAAAGCCGGTGCATTATAACTATCGTATCAGTAATTTTTTTTTTTTTTTTTTGTTTTGGGGTGGCTTCAGGGCCTTGAAGTTGTTTTCAAAGATATTCATCAGCGCCCACTTCCTACTATACATCATCTATCATCTCAGTATTTTGGTGGATCGATATTCCATATACAACAGTTGCATAGTTCAACGAGGTCTGCAGTTCCTCTCGATATCTATTGTAGTAGGTTACATATGAATGGTTGGTTTAACTCGTTAGCTGGCGATCAATTAAGCGGCTCTTAGATATTGAGTTCATGGCTGCTACATATAACTACCTAATGGTCAACAACAAGCTACTTTGCTACAAATATTGTCTCGAGCTCTGAGAGCAATGACAGAACTATCTGCTAGCGAAGCCGCAACAGATGAGATGAGTGTAGTTGCGAGAAGCCCAATTCACTTTGGGCCGTTTCTTGTAACGCCGCAGGTACGTTTACTGGAGCCTAGACGTCCACCCACAGGCTTTCAGTCCAAAGGTTCCCTCCCCATCGTCACTCCAATAACTATATAAAGACATAGACGAAGAGACAGCTAACGAGCGTTTGAACAGGTCTTCTTCGTCACGCCTCTTTCTTTCGCCCTTGTGAACCTCAAACCGCTTCTGCCAGGGCATGTCCTAGTCTGTCCAATACGGCGCACCCCACGACTGTCAGACCTGACCCCCGCTGAAGCGACGAATCTCTTCCTCACAGTCCGCCGAGTCAGCCGCATGGTGGAACGCGTCTACCAGGCCTCGAGCTTAAACGTAGCGATTCAAGACGGGGTTGATGCCGGGCAAAGCGTGCCTCATGTGCATGCGCATATAATACCTCGGAAGAAAGCAGATCTGGATCATAAGGGTGGCTCGGATGCGATTTACGGTATGATGGACGGCGAGGAAGGAGATATTGGTAGATTTCTGGCTGAACGCAAACTTGCTATGGAGCGTAAGCGGGCACGATCCGAATTTCCTGCTGTTGATAACGATGCTAGGGAGCCTAGGTCGGACGAGGAGATGCACAAGGAGGCGGAGACTTTAGCTGCAGAGATGGAAAAGGAGATAGAGATGGAAAGGGAAAGCTCTAAGAGAGTATATGACGAGTGAAACGCTGGGGGAATCGTGTACAAAAGAGGTGTCTACAGGATTGCTGATGACTGTATTTTGAGATTCAAAGATATATGTAGAGTGAGAGTACTGAGTGGAGGTTCTATTCTACCATACTTCTATAAATGCCAAATCCAATGGTTTTGAGATCCACAGACCCATCCGGCTCAGCTGGCATATATACCCTGAGTGTCGTGTGAGTCTTTTGAATGAATACGCCCTTCAAAAAGGAATCTCACAGTTTTCGTCCCAGGATCAGAGCGCTGACCCATTCAATCTTTACGACCTTGTTCTCTGGAGACGGGATATCCCGCAGGCCGTCCTCAGACTTGATAATGGCCTCTAACATCTGGTCTGCAAGATCGCCAGTCCCACCCTCGCTCCGTCGAACTTGGTCTGGATGGTCGTCTTTCCAGCGTTGATGTGCACTCCATGTACGGACATACTCAGCGGCCTGACCGAGCGTGATCTCAGTTTCCATAAACTTCGTTCCCTCGCCCGAATCAGGGCCGTTAAGGCCTGGCTGGTATTCAAGCCGTTGGATATCCGTCCATTGGTCTGTCGGTGGCTGGATAGCCCGTAGTTTCTCCCGCATGATCGTGCTTCCAGGCTGGATCCAGTATCTGGCAAGACTGTCCTTGTCCGGGCCATAACAATACTCTTGCATTGCTGCGGTGCCCTTGGGGTAGTCCACAAAGAAGTGATCATAATATCCCCAGAAAGCAAGGGTACCGCCCGGCTTCATCACGCGTTGTAACTCTGCGAAGAGCGGCGGGTAGCTGAACCAGTGTGCAGCTACTCCTGCCACAACCATGTCTACGCTTTTGTCCTCGATGAATGGAAGCGACTCGGCAGCTGCTTGGACGAATTCAACGTTCTGCTCCTTGGTCAGGTTCTTCGCCTGCTCTATCATGCCGGCCGATGGATCGATGCCGTAGACCTTCTTGAACTTCGGGGCCAGGAAACGCGCAACCACGCCATGGCCGCATCCAAGATCTAGACATGTATCGTACCCGCCATGGTGATACGCGAATATCATGTCATAGAGCTTTTGAGGGTATTCTGGACGAAACGTGGCATAGGCCGTGTATGAAAAGTTGTTACTCCTGCAGAGCTCGGTGGCAACCTCTCAGGCCGGTCCATCTCAATTAGTCGCTTGTTCTCCCAGCAAAGTCTGGATATCAAAATGGATTTTACTAACGCAAAAGTTGCCATCTTCTGCTATTTTGAAATATTCCTTCTGGATCGGTTACCCTGACTGTGTTATGCTGTCAATCTGAAATATGGTAGGAAGTGAAAAGGAAGTATGGAGTTGAATGGGGGGCGTTCATTCGACTTTTATATAGGCAAACCACCAAAGAGGCATGAAAAAGAGTAACCGAACTTTGCCGAGAGCCATCGCCATGAGCAAGACACTTTGCGCTCCTGTCAACGTCACCACAACAATCCCGGAGCGATTGGTTATATTTAGAAAATCTAGAGATCCTGAAAATCCACCTTTGAGATCCACCGTAGCAGCTATATCCATGAATTTTGGCCCGGTGAACGGTTCCCGCGAAGCTTAGCCATACAAGCGGCCCCGTTAGCTGCGAGCTGCACGCCACGAACCGTAAGCAAAAAAAATACATCCATGCATTGAACGACGTCTCGGCAGCGAGGAGTGTCCGTATCCGTCGAGATCGTCCCGCATGAAGCGGTTGGTTTTTTGCTGTCCTCCGCCGTCCTCCGTCTGTCTCCAGCCTATAGACAAAAGCTATAAGCATGTGTCTATCGGAATGAGAACCTGATCCTCCGCCTCCATGACATAATAGCCTAGATCTAGTCCGTCGTGGGTGACCACCTTTCGCCAGAATCTGCGCCAGGACTGCCGTGGATGCGACTCCTCTGTTTTGATAACGGCCTCCGGCTGGACCATAAGGACTCTTGTGTAGATGTACTTATCCAAAGCAATCTCTAGACATTTCAACTTGGTCGAGTAGTGATGTACCAGCTGGTCAGTCGTATAGAAGATCGCCGCACCTATAAGACGGTAGCCTTCAAGACCAGGCTGAACCCACCCGGATACTGAGTGAGTGGCCCGTTCTATGAAACGACCGCCTCTCCTGATGTGCAGGCGCAGGCAGCGTAAGTGAGGGAAGAAAGAGCACAAAAATGCAACGAGTGCAGCATGATCTCCGATGTCAATGGCATCGCCGTCCGGGATGATTCTAGATGTTAGTTCAAGCGAGGTGATCCCCCTGACATGATGTGCCGGGATCAAATTTGGCAGCTTGAAAAAGAGGCCATCGTAGAACTCGTCATTGATAATGAATGTGTTGGTGTGATATAGGACTGACATCGCCTCCGTATAACTATTTCAGGCACAGCGTTAGTTAGACATCAAACATTAAGCATAATACAAGTATAATAATACGGTTAAAAAATAAATAAATAAATAAATAAAATAAAGGTAATGTAAAAATAAGGCATACCACTGGCGAGACGTGAGGAGCCACTCCAGCACCCCGATGAAGCAGCTTGAATGATCGCCATAGTGAGCCCGGCAGGACGTATACTGTGGCAGCTGGCAGCGGTCGTTCCAGAAAGGGAGGTTCCTGTACCGATGGCAGACGCAATGCCACCACCGCCATTGCAGGTTGTAGTCGTCGGTCCGCTTGATGGTGTCGAGGCGAGCGTGAGCCTTCCCGGCCACGTACGAGGTGGAATAGTTCAGGCTGATATGTATCGTCCGCGCCCCAAACATGGCAATGTACACCATCCGCCGGATCTCGGGCGGCAGCCGCGTGAAGAAGAGGCTGTTCTCCGTCGCCCGCTGCTCGTCTGGCGTGCTGGCGGGATATGACAGCGACAGCGGCCGCCGGTTAGCAGGCAGGATCGGTATCAGGGGCGTCCGCGGCCGCTGGAGACGACGGCGCGGTGGTGCAGGCCGCGCAGGCCGCGCAGGCTGCTCGCTGTGCCCGTCTGCCTGGCCGCCGCGGTGGGTTATCTTTCGAATCCACTGGCTGAATTTCGGCATTTCTCGTCCCTCGTCGACACGTACGGCGTCGCGGCTGCAGAGAGGCGTCGGTAGAGAGCGTGGAGGGACTGCCAGCCCGTCCATCGCAGGCCAGCGCAGGGCCCTGCAGGCAAGGAAGGCTGGGGGGGTTATTTGAGCGCGCGATGACTTGCAGGGCCGCTAGGGGGTCAGCGATGCGACGAGTCCGATGTTGGTGCCCGCCGCCGCGCCGGTCAGCAGCAGGGCTGGCATTGGGGTCTTGCCGCCAGCGTGCGAGGTCCGCCGCTTGCTCTGCCTGTCTGTCTGTCCGTCCGTCCGTTCTCTGCTCGCAGGCTCTGGTCTCTGTTCGCTGGTCCAGCAGGCCGATAAATAAACAAACCGCTTTGGCGACTGGCGAACCTTGCAGGCGGCAAAAGCAATTAGTTGGTTACGCCAAAACCACCGCGGGGGACGGGCAGAGCGCAGGATCAACAACTGCGAGCCATCTTGGACCGTCCGGTTGATATTGACGTTGACGTTGACGTTGATATTGATAGCTATTGTTGCGTCTGCTGCTCGAGACTGGTAATGTCTGCGGATATGGAGGCTGCCGTCAAGCTGTTCTTCTCGTCGCCGCGTTTTGCGGTCGCTGGCGCCAGCACCGATGCCAGCAAGTTTGGCTACAAGAGTACCAAAGATACCCTTTCCTCTGCTGGTGATGATGACGACGATGATGCTGATATAGTGGCATTCTCTAGTTCTCGCGTGGTATCATGAGCACTCGCTGGCCGTCACTCCGCTGAATCCGCGGGCGCCATCGATCTCGCTGCCGTCCAAATCATACACCACAGTGGCATCCCCCTCTGACCTGCCGATGCCCTCCCAGACATCCCTCTCGATCGTGACGCCGCCAAAGGTGACTATCCAGGTCCTGCGAGATGCAAACTCGGTGGGCGTGCCGGCTGTGTGGCTGCAGCCAGGAACCTACGACGACGAGGTGCTTGAATACGCCCGTGAGAACTTCAAGGCCGCCATCGGTGGGCCCGGAGGACAGGGCAGCGAGGGTTGGTGTGTCCTCGTAGACGGCGAGGCTGGACTCGATGCTGCTGGCGTCCAGTGGACTTCTCAAAAGCTGTGAAGAAGAGACAGTTGATAATCTGGCTTGACAGACTTGATGTACATGAAAATCTTACATTCTTGAACATAACCGTACGGCTCGATGAATATATATGGGATAAAAGCAACGGCTTGTTTGCTACAAAAGATGATACGGCGAGGCTGTGGTTCACAGTAGCACGGATGGATAATATCCTGATAGACAATCTCATTTTGGTTTGTATGCGTAATAGGAGCATATCTCGGCCTCCCTTGAAGCAGGGCAGGGCATTCATTAAGTTATCAATAAGCGGAACATCTCGTTTTGCTGGTCCAAAAGGAAACGAAGAACAAACTTGGTGAAGAAGCTGAGGGCTCTCGTCTTTTATATCCCTTCAAGCTCAACGAAAAGGATAAACATGGAGATAATGAAAAGAGAGACATGGTATCATCAGGTCATTAAGCGTGGCATCATCGGGATATAAAGATACCCCTGTTGAAGCATGGTTCATTAAAGCATCGAAAGAAAAGAAAGAAAAGGAGACAACAGGCTAGAAACGCAGAGAAAAGAAAACAAAAGAAATGCAAAGGAAAAAGGAAAATCGTCAATAAAAGGGGGAAGATGGATCAATCCCATTCATCAATGTCCATTTCGTCAACCTCAATCCGAGTTCCCAGGGCCTGTCTCCCTTCTCTGATCATGGCCTTCAGCTGGTGGTTCAGCCTGCGTATGCTGGCATCTTCTTCACGTTCCTTGCGCCTCAGTTTGGCGGCATGTCTCTGAGTCTCTCGTGACAACGGGGTTTCGTTGGGGTTTGACACCGTAGTGTGCTTTGGTGGCGTCTTGTAGACCGATGATGCAGATGAAGGAGAGTAGATATGCGGAGAGAGGTTGGTGGAACGTGTTGGTGTAAGAGGTGTCATGGGCCGCTTGGACTGTACTCTGGCACCGGAGCGGCGTGCAGGGACATGGCGGGCAACGCTGTTCCGGCGAGCATGCTTCTTGGAGCTGCAAGATGGGCTGCTCTCCCGAGAATCCTCGTCTTCCTTAACGAGAACCCAGTTGTTGTGTATATCTTCCCGGCGCGGCTTGTCGATGTGATAGTGCTCGTCTACCGGATAACGGCCAGGCACTGGTATATCGTCCATCAAACGGCTTGAGCGTCTCCGTTGTGACAGAGAGGGCCTCTCCCTTTTCTTGCTTGGTGGTACCGTTGCTGTGGAACCGTCCATATCGTACCCTATGCCTCCGCCGGCGTGAAACCCTCGGAAGGGAGCTGACACGCAGAAATTCCACACTTTCCCAGCAACGCCTCCAACGAGGTTGAGGACTGCCTCACCCCAGCCTGGAGAACTTTTCACGCCGGTGTCATCGCCCTGGGGAACCGGGGAGTCCCGTTTCCGTTTTGTTCCTTCAATATTTGAGGGTGTAACTGGTACGTCCCCCATTGTCCGACTGGTCTTTCGATACCTCGTGGGCCGGTAGTCAAGCTCTGACTCCTCGTTGTCACCATCACGCTGTGACGAGAATCCCAGTATCGGCTGCCCTGCCGTCGTCAACAGCCCTGTATCCAGACCTCCCTCTGCCAGTAGGTATTCGGTGTTTGCCAGTGGCACAGGACTCGAGATCCGCGAGACGGGAGACTGGCGGTCCCAGATAGCCCGGTCATCGAGTCCGCCATAGCCATAGCGAGCACGCTTGCAGCTGCTCATGAGCGGCGTCGAGAGAGTGCGACACAACGACAGCGAGGAGGTCGCTGACGCTGGCTGCGGCGAGTGGTAGAAGCGAGATCTGGCACCGGTCAGGTCCAGCTTCGGCGGGACCGGGCTGTCGATGAAGAAATCGCCAGACATGGAAGAGTTGCGTAAACGAGAACCTGCACGGAGTACTTCGTATCCTGAATTGCTGATGAAGTTTGACGGGCTGGGAAGCAGGCGAAGGGCGAGCCTTGTGCCTTGATATTGACGGTCACAAATGAAAAAAATGAGGCTGGGATTTGTTTGGCTGGGAAAGTGACGTTAGGCCTTGGCGCGCTTCCAACCACCTTTTTTTTTTTTTTTTTTTTTTTTTTTTTCTCTGATAATCAGCTGGCTGGGTCTAACTTGCCATCACATGGATACATAGCAGGGGCGCTACTATAGCAAATTACAATATATACAGGTGAGAAGATAAAGAGAGGATGGCGGAAGAAAGGAGGGCAGCACTGCTATGGCTACGTCCTACGTCAGCTGTGCCTTTTCTTTTTGTTTTGTTTTTTTTGCTGCCTGTTAGTACCCATACAGGTTGGTGGATGTACCAGTCCCCTGTAGCTGTTTGTTCTCCTTTTTCAGGAGATATCTCATCCACCAGGCACAGAGGATCGAGAAGAGAGCAAAGCCAGCAGAGGTGCCAAAGCCGATGCCGTACCTGGGCGAGTCGTAGTTGGGCCAGACATACGCTCCGTATATGTACCCTATCTGGCCCCCGACGTTTGTCATGGCAAGGACAACCTATATTTATGGGGGAAACCCGTCAGTCTTCACATAGCTTTCGGATAACTAGAAGTCTGGTTCTGGTTCAGGGGAGCGAGCTAAACTTACAGCTTGTTTCTCGCGGGTTTGAGATAGGGTTGATGAAGCCCAACCAATGATGACCGAGTTCACTGAATAGGCACCGATGGGGAAGATGAAGCATGCGACATAGCGTCCCGCAGTGTTCAGAGTTGAGGCAGCTATCACGAACCCAACGATGGCCGTTGCAAGGCCCACGGTGATATGCCAGGTACGCTCGTGGAAACGTCCAGATGTGTACCCAAAGAGAACACCCGCTGCTCCGGCGAAAAGGAAGGGTGGGCATGTCAATACCAAAGTGATTGTTGTATTGAAGCCAAGAGTCTTGACCACACTGGAGCTCGTGGGGAAACTGTGTTAGCTGTCTGCTGAACTTATTATACCCAGGCTGAATAGTATGAGAAAACCACTTACGTTGGGAAGAAGCTATTAAATCCACAGGCAGACAGGTGAAAATTCTGCATCAAACAGAAGATCCACGTTCTCGGGTCTCTGACTGCCTGCTTGAGGCCTTGCATGGTCGATGCTTTCTCCGGCTCTCCCATCTTATCTCTCTGGATTCTCTCATGGGCAAGTTCTCGCTCAGCAGGTTTCAGCCATCGAGTAGTCAAAGGCGTGTTCGGTAGAAGCCAGAAGCCAGCAATAGCGACGGCAGCCGAGACGGAACCTTCGATGATAAAAAGCCTAGAAGGGCGTGAGCAAATGTGGACATGGTAAAGTATACAATTTTTTAAGACTGCCATACCATCGCCATCCTGACAACCCCCTGACTTGGTCGAGCCCAGAGAAGACACCTGCAGCAATCAACCCAGCGAATCCAGTTGCCAGAATCTGGGCTGCGTATAGCATGGCGATTCGAGCGGCAACTTCTCTTCGGGTATAGAAGATGGATAAGATATATGTCGCTCCGGGGTAGAACTAAACGGCTGATAGTTAGAAATGCGCAACACCGTCCAGTCCGAGTGTGTACACTTACAGGAGCTTCCGTGATCCCAAGAAGGAACCGGCATACCACCATCCCAGGGTATGACTGAACCAAAGCAGTGCAAGCTATTGAGGTTAGATTGGCCCTGACCATAGGCGGATAACCAACCACATACCCGAAACCGCTGACCACACTAACATCCAAGCACTCATATATAAACTCGGGGGTACTCTGGTGATAAGCATGTTACTCGGGACTTGCGTGAGGACGTATCCAACAAACAAAATGGAAATCGTAGTGTTGAACTGGGTGCCGTGCATGCCGAGTTCTTCCTCCAGATTGTTAAGACGGGCCTGTGCAAGCGTGTTTCGATCAATGTAGTTGAGGAAGTACATGAATGTCAAGGTCGGCTACATTTTTGTGTCAGCTTTCTGAAATAACCAGAATCACCATAGGGCAATAACTCACCATAATGCGCCAGTCCAACTTGCGAACCAGCTTGACCTCCTCAGTCGATAATTTGGTGACGGCACCAGCATAATCACGGTCCTCTACTGCGACTTTTTCGTCCATTCCATCTTCAGTCTTTGTCCTCTCGATCTGGTCATCGGCTCCGGCAGGCGAGACGCCTGTCTTTTCGGATTTCTCTGAGCCCATTTTCACTGAAGGCAGTCCAGAGCATACACAGCTCAGTGCTAATCTAAAGCAGAGAGTATGTGGACGCCGCAAACTTGCTCGAGAGTCCCTGAGGGATGGGGATGACAAGTGCCTTATCAGCTCGTGGCGGTCGGCCGATCAATTACCATGAGAATTCGACTGGGACGGCTGGGTGCGCTGCTGTCACTCCCAGCGCAGGGGTGCTGGCAAAGGATGTGCAGTTACATTGTCAGTCCAACGGCACCCTCCATCGCTGGCCAGCTCTTTTCCTACTCGTCTGTTTTTACCTTTTGCATGGGAAGGAAGCTGGATCGACAGCTTGCGATATCACGGGACCGGGATCTAGGTCCATGCGGGGAAGCTTCCACCAATGAAATCAAGTTTAATAAGCGGACCCACCGTCATCAGTCACCTGATTGGTGAGCTAATCTCGACCCCGGCCCAAACGCAAAAATAGGATGCAACAAAGCTCGTTTACACGCCTGTAACTATAAACTGCAAACTAGTGGAAATCTGGAAGAGATGAAGGGAAGTTGGAGTGTTATATAACAGGTTCAGAAGCAATGTGGCGTGCTCTAGAAGGGGGATTCTAGAACGCGAAGTGATTATCAGAGACAGACAGCAGGTAACTACCAAGACTTGGCATATTTTCAACAGCGTGTAGCTGCTGAAGGATTTCTAACTTACACCCAAGATATAGACATGGATCTTCGAAGGCCTGTCAGCGGCAAATCAAACATACCTAAATGCACATGGATACTACATCATACTCTCGACTAAATGCGGCAAGTTTTAAACGTTGAGCAGGGGAGACAACGCTTACAGAGAGAAGTCAAAAGATAAGCCAAACCAACAATGGATACGGATATAACAGCTCCATTCGACAAGAGCTTGCTTGTTCAGCTTTGCTACGGAGTACTCTGGCTAAATATAAAAGCCGGGAAACCCCAAACCGCCTGAAATGTATATACTGTGTAGGGAACTATAATCGAGTCGAGGCGAGGAGACAGGAGATGAATACAAAAAATTCCGACAACAAGCTCCCGAGGGCGAGCCGAAGACACCTCTTGCATCATATTAAAACTTTTTGACGACTAGCTAGCATGTATCGATCACTTCTTACTTGATATATATAGTTGGACTGGAAGAAAGGACCTACGGAGTACGGAGTACTGTGATAGCCTGTAGATAACGATAGGCAGAGACCAAGCATCCACACCAAAAGTGACGGTCAAGTTAAGATTATCACAAGCCCTTGCTTGACTCTTCTTAGTTCGTCGCAAAAGCCGCCCGCTGCTCGTCCCTGTCGCCTTTTGTTTTTTTCGCTCGGCTTTTGGCAGGGGCAGCCTCAAACACGTGATCGATAATTTTAGGGGGCTTCGCGTTCCTTCGAGCGACCCATCGCTGGTTTCACTTCATTAATTCGCCCTGCTCAGCTTCACGGTTGACCCTGCTTGCAGTCCGCGCAAGCGCTGTAGACGATAATAACCGCAGCTGTGGCTTGGTGAGCGGTGCTGGGCGCATTGATTGTGGCATTGATGCCCTATCGGACTATCAAGGTATCTAACCACAACACTATGTCGCGGGGCGGATATGGATAAGGCTGCGAGGTTCAATTGAATGATTCCTGGAGCTAACAACGTCCTGTGACTAGGTCGCCGACTTTGGATGGGAAGATAGAGCATTTATATATACCATAAGCCCAATATGACCGCGGCTTCAAGTCCGCTTAATCGCCAACCAAGCTGGATTCCACTTCTCTGTGCAGTGGCCGCCCTCTCCCTCCCGATAACCATTCACTTTATCCGCACACGGAATGATAATATGACCACCGCCGCGCTTCCACTATCTCCGTCGCTCCCGTCCCTCCCGTTGTTTCTGGAGGCGCAGAAATGGGCGTCTACGGATCCCGGGAAGATCGCGATAATCGATAAAACGAAGGACCTGAGTTTTACCTATCGCCAGCTACTCAATGATGTAGCCGCATTAAAGAGGCGCATTTTGGCTCAGGTGAAAGTTCAAGATCTGGAAGAGAGGAGGATAGCGTTCCTTGTACCGGCTGGCTATGATTATGTGGTTTGCCAGTGGGCTGTATGGGCGGCCGGCGGTGTCTGTGTGCCGTTATGTAAGTTCAACTTTCTCTCAGTGACTAGCAAAGACCTATCATACTAACTGGGATACAGGCACATCTCATCCACCGAAGGAGCTTTTATATACTATCTCGGACTCAGATCCATCCTTAGTGGTGCTTCATAGCTCGTTCCAACACTTGAAGCCCGCTTTGCTAGACAAGTCATCCAAAACCTGCTTCATGGAGCTCTCACCCATCACTGAAAGCAGAAGCTGTACCTCTATACCCAATCTCCATCCGGCTTTTGCGCTGTCACGAAGAGCTCTAATGATCTATACCTCTGGCACAACAGCAAACCCTAAGGGCTGTGTCACGACACACAAGACCATAACATTCCAAGCAACATCCCTTATCCAGGCATGGAAATATTCCCCATCCGATCACCTAATCCACGTCCTTCCTCTCCATCATATTCACGGTATCATCAACGGCCTTACAGCGACCCTACTTAGCGGTGGAACAGTCGAAATGTATGCCAAGTTTGATCCTCAGATTGTTTGGGATAGGTGGAGCAATCCTGGCTCATCAACAATGTTCATGGCCGTCCCAACAGTGTATTCGCGGCTAGTCGACTATTTTGATGCTCATATCAGATCCACCGATTCTGAAGCAGCAGCTAGGTCTGGTGCTGGCGCATTGAGGCTAGTAGTCAGCGGCTCTGCAGCCCTGCCCACGCCAATTAAGACTAAATTTTTGGAAATCACCGGGCAAACCTTGCTTGAACGGTACGGAATGACTGAAATTGGCATGGGACTGAGCTGTGGCCTTGACGTTTCGCGGCGTATTGAAGGGAGTGTTGGCTGGCCCCTCCCTGGCGTACAAGTTCGTCTAACACACCGGGAAACTGGGACTCCGATACCTGTTACTTCATACGATGAGGACGGTATGATTGAAATTAAGGGTGAAAACGTATTCCTTGAATACTGGCGGCGGCCTGAAGCAACGGCTTCCGAATTTACCAGCGATGGCTGGTTTAAAACGGGGGATGTGGCAAGGCGAGACGCAGCTGGTGCGTACTACATCCAAGGCCGAGCCTCAGTGGACCTGATCAAAAGCGGCGGATATAAGATATCCGCACTGGAAGTTGAAAGAAAGATGCTGGCATTAGAAGAAGTTCAGGAGGTTGCCGTCGTGGGAATTGCTGATGAGGAATGGGGCCAACGAGTTGCTGCCGTTGTTAAGCAGAGAGAAGGAGTAAGTATCCCCTCCAATGCCCTTTTTCCACTCTAAAGGACATTATGTCAGGTATTAGACCATTACTAATTAAATGTTCAGACCGCAAAACTAGAGCTTCAAAGCCTCCGTACAAAACTGAAGTCAGAGATGGCAGCGTATAAAATCCCAAGTGTCCTGAAACTGGTTGACAGCATCGAGAGAAACGCTATGGGCAAGGTAAATAAGAAGATGATTGTGAAGAAGTACTGGCCAGATCTTGAGTGATTATGGCTGCGCTTATTTTTTATCTCAATGTTCGGAGGTTACCACCGACGGTGGTTTTATATCTCATATATCTTGTAAATAATGCCCAAAGATTATGTCTATTAGAGACCCATACACACGCGAGTTGGGGATCATTTTTAAGTTACATATACCAGCAGAAAAATGTACGGAGTGGTTATCATGATTAATTGGGCTTGAAGCTGTGATGTTCAAAGCATGGTGTTTTTAAACCACACTAGCAGGGAAGGGGGCGCGTAAGGGGCTAGTTAAAGGCTGCATGCATGGATAGTATGGAGTATTTTATTCGTACCACGGGAAAATTGTTGGCCAACGATCATGTTCAATTGTAAGGGCTGATTTAAAGCGCTCAACCACCGTGCATACAAAGATGGTCAAACGTGCTTTACAGGGACTTTGGACCAGGTCCTTGCTCGGCCGCAAGCAACCGACGATATTTTGCGGGAAGGGCGCTGAGCTATCTCCAGATACCTTAATTGAAGAAGAGATAGTACCTGACTATCAAGCCAGTCACTATTTCCCTGTTAAACCAGGCTACGTTTTCAATCATCGGTTCGAGGCACTCGCAAAACTGGGCTGGGGTGGTTGCTCCACTGTCTGGCTTGTAAGAGACCTCCGGCGGTAAGTTAAATCTCTAACCGCTATATTGGAGCTATATTGACTAGAAATACTAGACGGAACTGGCAGAGCGAGCGCTATCTAGCATTGAAGGTTGGCAATAATGACTTCAATGATGCAGAACAAGCTGCGCATGAGTTCAATATTGAACGTCACATTGGCAGCATGGGTGGCCGCCATGGTGGACGCAATTACCTTCGAACTTTTGTCGAGCAGTTTGAGGAAAAAGGTCCCAACGGGATGCATGTGTGTTTAGCATACGAACCCATGAGAGAGCCTCTATGGCTATTCCAATCTCGCCTCCGGAATAAAAGATTTCACCTCGGCCTTTTAAAGGGTTATATAAAACTTCTTCTGAAGGGACTAGACTACCTCCATACAGAATGCAATGTTATCCACACAGGTCAGTCTCTGCAGTTGACACGAGAGACGGCAACGATTTGCTAATATTATTTATAGACTTGAAGGTTGAAAACATTCTCGTCAGTTTTGAAGAACCATCGGTGCTGGAAGACTTTGCTCAATTGCAAGCACAGAATCCTATGCCCCGTAAATCAAATAACGGGAATACCGTCTACCTCTCACACAATGACTTTGGGCCCGTGAGATCATACTATATCTTGCCTAAAATAACAGATTTTGGCCTGTCCCACTACCAAAAAGACCCATCATTGCTGAACAGGCACCCAATCCAGCCTGACCAGTACCGAGCTCCTGAAGTTATTCTAGGTGCTGGCTGGACATATAGCGTGGATATTTGGAATCTTGGGCTGCTGGTAGTTGCCCTTTTTTGATTATCATTTACCACTGAACACCTGACTAATGGCAGATACTAGATGTGGAATATGCTCGAGTCTCGGGATCTCTTTACTTCACCGCTTGATGATCAGGGAAATTATCGCCCCGAAGCTCATCTGGCAGAGATGATTGCCCTTCTGGGTCCACCTCCAAAGGCAATGGTAGAGCGCGAGAGAGATGGTATGGAGTGGAAGTGGGCGCCAGCTGCTCAGAATGCCGCGGGAGAGATGTGTAACACGGCTTCTGAATGGTATGGTGGACCATTCTTTGACGATAATGGTAAGGTAGCCTTTTCTATCCATGATACTCGGGCCAAATTTTCTAACTGGTGTGGTGGATGTTAGGGGAGTTTCGGAACAAAGAGGCCATACCTTCCGGAATTAACCTAGATGATACGGTTACCTGTCTTGAAGGAGCGCAAAAGATGCAGTTTTTAACATTTGCAAGGAAAATGCTACAGTGGCTACCCGAGAATAGGAAGACAGCAAAGGAGCTTGTGGAAGATCCGTGGCTTAGTGACGAGTCGATCAACAGAGGAGGTATCTGAGATATCGCCTGTGCCATTTTATTGCGACAACTAAAGCGAGCAGGTTCTCTATCTTAACTTTCCATAACAGTTGCCCTACTCCCTCCTGTACTTGTGAATGTAAAGTTCCCAATTAGCGGTTAATGGAACGGTAGTTGGTGTTAGATAGAAGAATATATATAGAAATGTACTGTAACTGGTAATGGAAGTCTGTATATAAGAGAGTAGTTGGAAGCAATGGATGGAGTAAAAAAGGTCCAATATGATCATTGGTGGAAATTGTCTAGAGTTGATTACATAACCCAGCTTACTAACTAGCGCTCGGAGATAGCGAGCTCGAACTTGCGATAAACAAAAACTGCAACTCCGAAAGACGAACCACAGCAGATGCAAAGTTAGTCGGGGGAACCCCATCCACGCCCGACCTATATACGTTTAGTCTCTCTCTTCTTTTGCTTCGTTAATTTATATATCATATGTTTTCTCCCTCCCCACCATTCCATGTTTCCACACCCCGCTAAGTTGGATCGGGAATTCGCTCGTTGTCCGTTCGTTTGTTCTCGTCCAAATATCTGCCGGAGATAGTATAGTCTAGCTGGGAGATCTATCTCACTGCGAATGGCATCCACCCGGCCGGTCCGTACGCTCAAGCTCAAGCTTAATCTACGGCCCGCCTACCAACCGACACTTTCAGCGGTACCTTGGAGAGCGGAAAATTCTTCGTCTCTGTCCGTCGGTTCCCCGCTTATTGGTGGTTCATGCCTCGGCACGTTCACGGGGCTACGCTACGGGAGATTTCTGACATATAGCCGCTGCATCACGCATAACCAGTCACAACCGCAGTTATTTGGCGCAGACAGAAGGATCAACATGGGTGACAATAATAATAGGGATGCTTCCGCGAGACGCCTGCGGGCGCTAACAGAGCACATCTCTCCTGGCCAACAGCATCAGAGCCGGGCATATAGCCAGGCTGTCACCGGCACTTCTTCCAAGAACCCCAGTATTAATTTCTCCGCGTTATCGAAGCTTCTGCCGCACGATGGGCCTGAGGGGGAAGCGGTATGGTACATTGTCGTGGCCGCAGCGCTGATGGCGTTTCATCAGGAATGGGCAGTGGGTGCGCTGTGGGAACATATCGTGTCTACTCGGAGGTCATCAACTGAAGAGGAGAAAGCACTGATTGCACGACGGATAAGGGAGAGTTGTTTGAAGGCTAGCGTGCTAGTCGGGTTTCCACGGGTAAAAAAAAATAAATTCAAAGCTCCCCCTCCCAGCCAATCCCTGGACAGAAGTGACATTGTGTTTATGCAAGCTAACATGCAAGCGACTCATATCGATACTTTAGGGAATCAACGCTCTCTCATCACTGCATGAGTCCCTGGCCCGGCACACACCCTCGACCCACCGACTTCTCTCCGAGGACAGCTCGTTGCGAAGTCCGGTCGATGGGAAAACGAAGCTGGAGCGGGGGACTGCGTTTTTCTCCCGTCTGTACGCCGGCCACACTGGCAAGATACTGGACAGCATGTCTCGCAGCTCGGGCGGGGACCTGAGCTACTATGCCCTTGCTAGTGTGTACGGGGAGCTTATGGCCGAGACTCGAGTTGTCAATGCAATGGAGACGGTGCTGATGGAGTTTGTCTGCTGTCTGGCGGACGATGTCGCACCGCAGGCTAAGGGGTGCGTCTTCTACCCAATTCTTTTCAACCCCCCCTAGCGTAGTACACACTAACCAAGGCAGACACTTCTTTGGCAGCCGGAACATGGGAGCATCCGGTGCACGGATCAAGGGAGCCGTGAGCATCGTACAGGAGCTGGCAAGGCAGGCTGGTCTGGAAGTGCCCGGAACGGGGCAGGAATACGCCTTTCTGGCAAAGGCTGACTTGTGGTGAATGTGTGCCTTTTTACTCCGGTTCTCCAACCCCTCGCTTACAGATGTATATATGCATATTTATGCTCCGTCTCCGTAAGTGGATAAGAATTTAGTACTTGGCCTTAATCTCTTATTATTATGTATGTATATGGATGGAGGGAGGTCGCGTGCCTCAGCTCGAGATGAGGATGGCTACAGCCGTCCGTGAGACTCCACTGTCCCACCTTTTTGAGTAAGTAGTTAACTTAAGAATATACTTTGTAGGTTCATATGCTTCCTCCCGGAGCCAATGCATGATAGACGCCTCACCCAGCAGGGCGCCGTCCGGAGTGACACCATCACCATTCTTGCTGTCCGAGTCCGCCCTCATCCTATGGTCCCGACTACTATCTGCCTGTCTGCCTATCTACTATCTGCCATCTTCTTCTCCTCCTGCTGTCCTTCTTTCGGCAACTCGACATGCGACCTCCTTCCGCATCCCCACTAGCGCCTTGGCACTTGGCACTTGCATACCAAGCATCTTAGTCATCCCGCTTTAACTTTATCTTTCTTTAACATCACGTGACCCACGTGCGACCCTCCTCGACGCTGACTGGCCAGCCCTGACCAACGACTCCCCCAAAATCAAATCTCGCTCTCTCTCGCCTTCGCCGCCGCCCGCCGGGTGGGTTTTTGGCTGACTTTTCCCTTTTCCTTTTCGGATCTCCCAGGGTTTGCCCTGTCCGGGTGGCCACCGCCTTGGCCCAAACAGTCGCCAGGACAGAGAATTTTCTCGTTGGGCCCCCCCGGGCAGGCAAGGGAGAAGGGGAACCCCATAATAATAGAAGAGAAAAAAGCTGCGATGGAGCCGCTGGAACCTCCGGCCGAGATACAAAAGTCGACCGCATCCCTTCTCTTCTTTCTGTTCTTCTCTGCTTCCCTCCCGCTCGTCGACGCTGCTCTCCCTTTGTTCGACGTTTCGTCCGCCTGGGCCAGGTTCAAGACGCGCAGAGTCCGCCTTGCCGCCGCCACTAGTTACTCCGAGCAGCAGTTGCTCCAGCTGGCCCCGCGAGTCCCTAAGCAAGAAGATCCCCGGTAAGCCCGTCGCATCCTGTCTCTGCCTTGTCGCCCGCGTATCCGACACCACCAGTCAGCGCTGTCAGCCTTCCCTCGTGCGCTCTGCCCTGTCGACCCCCCAGCAGACGCTTATAAGACAGAAGCGCTGCCCAGACGGGACGACTCCCTTGGCTCGCTTCTTCTCGTCCTCCACACCCTCTCACGGCCGCTGAAACAGCTCGACCAAGCATCCACAAGCACCGTCAAGCTTCGTCCAAGAGCTGCTGTCCCTTGCTTCTTCATGCACTGAGTGCTGATATCCACTCCCTAGGCGAACGGCGGTACAGCGACACGCGATCTATATCCCCCGATTATATACTCTAGATGGCCGATTTTGGTCCCAGGGCCCCCCATGGGCCTGACATGACGGGCACCCACGACCCGCTGGTCGACATGCGGCTCCATGAGAAAGAGGCCTTTGACGCCTTTATCCGCCCGGACGACTCGTACACGCCGGAGGGCGTCTACTGGGCCGATCTGCCGCTCATGAAGAAGATCCAGTTCGTCACCTCGGTCGATATGGAGGAGTCCAAGAAGGAGGCTGCTTCGTTTTGGGAGATGTTCAAGAACGACCCCCTGTCTCCTGTTAGTTTCTACTTCAAGAACATGGTCTTGCCTGGTGCTGGTCTCGGTTTGGAAGGGTGAGTTTTGGCTTTCTTTTCTTTTTGTCTAGCCTTTGGAAAATGGCTTTTCTCTAACAGGTGGTAGATATGTGCTCTTTTCAATTGGAAATATTAAACCTCTGTTCCAAAAAGCGTTCCCTGACTGCTGGAAACACGAAAAGACTTGTGATCCTACCTGGCTTGCTGCTGTTGAATACCTGGAAATCTGCGGTATCATCGTTGGTCAGATATTGGTTGGTATTCTCGGTGATTGGTAAGCATAACCCTTTCATCCCTTTCTCACACCACAAATAAATATAACAAAAAAAAAAAAAAATAAATAAATAAATAAATAAAAATCCATAAACTAACAGTAACAAGGATTGGTCGTCGTTGGGGTCTGATTCAAGATGCAGTCATCATGTTGCTCGGTCTCATCATGCTTACTGCTGCCTGGGGTGTCACCCAGAACGGCTGGGTCATCTGCTACGTCTGGTCTCTCTTCTTCTACGGCATTGGTGTCGGCGGCGAATACCCCATGACAGCCACATCTGGAATGGAGAACGCAGTCGGATCAGGCAAAATCTCGACCAAGGAAGATCGTCTCCACCGTGGCCGCAAGGTTACGTCTGCCTTTTTGATGCAGGGATGGGGCCAGTTCTTCAACCAGGCCCTCCTCATTCTTCTGCTGCTCATCTTCCACCACGGCAGCGGAAACCCACCATACTCGACCCTCTCTGCCCAGTGGACCTACCGTGTCTCCTTTGCCATCCCTGCTGTTGGAACCCTCTGGCTCGTCTACTACAGATACTACAAGATGCGCGCGGCAAGCAAACAGCTGGCAATCGCAAAGGCCAAGTCCCGCGTCACCGGCTACGACACAGATTCCCTGCGCCTTACCTTCAAGCACTTCGGTTTCCGCCTACTTGCTACCGCAGGTACATGGTTCGCCAACGACGTCTTCTTCTACGGCAACAAGCTCTTCCAGTCCGAGTTCATCAGTGTCATTTCCCCACACACCACTTCCGTCATGCCCGGATGGCTGTATAACTTGCTTAACGTTGGAGTCTCCCTCTGCGGATACTATCTTGCTTCTTTCCTGATCGACAACAAGCTCTATGGCCGCAAGTGGATGCAGATCATTGGATTCCTGATGGATTTCGTCTTCTTCATCATCCCTGCCTTCCACTTCGAATACTATACCACCCCGGAGCACATCAAGGAGTTCCAGGCCATGTACTTCCTGTCATCCTTCTTCAACCAGTTCGGCCCCAACTCGGTCACCTTCCTTGTAGCCGCCGAGGTCTTCCCCACTCCTATCCGTGCCACCGCCCACGGTTTCGCAGCGGCTATTGGAAAGCTTGGCGCTCTTACCGCAGCCGTGATGTACAACTACATCAGCACAACGCAAAAATTCCACGTCGTCCCCTGGTTCGGTCTCGCCGGTGTCATCCTCACCTACCTCTTCCTCCCTGACACCACCGGTCTCGACCTCAAGGAGCAAGAACGACGATGGTTCTACATCCGCCAGGGTAGAGAATCTGAGTACCACGGTGCTGCTGTCCACCCTAAGCATCTCTCTGTCTACGAGCGATGGACGGGTGTAGGCAAATACTACGACCCCGAAGCCGACTATAAACAGAAAGTCGCTGAGATGCGAGAGGAGTGGGCTGCTGCTCAGGCACGCAAGGCCGATGAGAAGAGCGGCTTTGGTGATGACGACCACCACGACTACGAGCCAGTTCACCATGACGTACACAAGTACTTCGAGCGCACAAGTCCGATGATTTTGGGCCGGGAAAAGAACGTTCCGATGAGCGACCAGCTTCCTCCAGCTCACGACAACAGCAGTGACGACGTTGTTGAGCAACACCCTCATCAGGATTAAAAAAGACCACATTTCTTATATATCTACTGAGGATATATGGATGGATATACCGTTACCCTCTTTTTCTCACATCTATTACATTTAATCTGTCGTCATCGATGTTACGCATGTCTTGTCATACTTCTTGGCTCTGTTCTTTTACATCACCCTAGATACCTCTCCTAAATGCCCTTTTTCATATAACGTTTGCCCTTGATTCGCGCTCAGCCATGTTTATTCCATCGTTTGAGGAGCGATCTCATGCTGTACATATCTCTTAGCATCATACCATCTTAGTTCTGATATTATTGGCACCTTCTGCGCGGGGCTTAAAAGTTTATCCGTTTTTAACTTTAAGGTTAACTTTGATCACCAAAGCTTATATTTTGTTGACATTGGCAAGAGATGCAAAAATAGCAAAACTCCTATTTATTGACATAGCCCTCGTTCTAGTTAACTAATCATCTTCATCTCCTAGCCCAGTATACTTTAGGAAGGTTACAATTCACCCGAAGCACACATACCCCTTGCCTGATTTCAGCCATGTTAACGTCCCAAATACCCCAGAGGAATGACTCCAGGTGTATGAATCTGGCCACCTCGTCCTCATAGAGGAGAATGTAATGGAATTTACAAATACAGTCCGGCTTTCTGTCCAATATAGCGTCAACTTGCTGGTATTGGTGTCCACTCCGGCCCGTGTTAAAGCCGGCGAGTGGCTCCTTAGTTAACTACCTATGTCCTAACTAAATCAGTTGGTTACTCCTGACGCTGACAAGGAAAAAAATCTATATCTGGCATGTTGACAACGTTTTGGCCAGGTGCAAATTGCCATCCTTCAGCATTTTCCAACTCAAACTTCTTGATGGCAAATGCCTCCCATCCAATTGAGTTGGCCCTTTCGCTCTTTAGCTGATATAACCCTCCATGTCGGGTCATCCCACTAATCACCGTTGCTGACTGCGTTCTTTGCCCTTCTATTAGCAGAAGAATAATACCATTGCGTCATGGTCCGGTGATGCTGTGCCATCCCCCGTCTCATGTCTCATGGCTCAATTAGTATGATAGATGAAAGATTTTATTCCCTTCATCATCTTCCTTATTGCCCAAGTTTTAACATAAGGAGAATTCAATACCCAACAAATATATTCCCCTCCAGGTCGTTACAATGAAGATAAAGGCGTTCTCCGGGTTTGTATCCATCTGTTTCCTTCCTCTGGTTGTTTCGCAATCTACTTCGGTGCAAAGTACACCACCGAGTTCCAGCAGTCGCCCAGCGAGCTCCAGCTCCCAGCCTAGCTCTATCCCTTCCAGCACTCCTTCCAATGGGAGCGGAGGAGGAGGAGGAGGGGGTGCCAGTGAAAGCGCAACTGGTAGCACGGGCAGTGCTGGAGGTCCATCGCTCACGTATGCGAGTGATATCGTGGTCCCTGCTACGCCACCAGTGCGCAGCGCTTCATTCGAAAGCCATGGACCATTTACGGGCTTTGCAAGTGTTACCGGAGCACTTACGGCATCTAAAGTACTTGGAACTGCGCTGTCTGGTAAGCCTGCGCCAACGAATGCGACGAGTTATCCATCTGATGGTGAGCTGCATGGTGCACAGCCGGCACCATACTTTCCTGCCGGTGGGTTGGGGACCAACGGGACCGCACCGGTTTATAACGTGCGAAGTGATTACGACTATCAGTCAATTGTACGTTCCACGCATTTTTTTCTCAACAGTTAATGCAAGGCTGACTCCCTATCTAGGCCCTAGCTCTGCATTTGGAATGGATGATATACGACCTCTTCCAAACCGGCGCTTCCCAGTTCAAACCCAAGGACTTCCAGGCCCTGGGTTTAACCCAGTCGGATTATAATTCTATTGCTCTCATGGCAAACCAATCTCAAGGCCATGTCACGCTCCTTAGCAACATCCTCGGTGAATCGGCTCCTGGACCATGCACTCATAACTTCCCCTTTAAAACAGCGTACGAGTTCCTTGACTTTAGTCAAAAGGTAACGGCCGTCGCAGAGTCTACGGTATATAACTTCCTCCCACACCTGGACTCTCGTGAAACTGCAATGTTAGTCCTCCAGCTTGTTGCGACTACTGCACGCCAGCACATGATATTCCGCCAGTTCGAGGCCCTGCAGCCCATGCCTGTATGGTTTGAGACAGGTATCCCCCAATCATGGGGTTGGACCTTGGTGGCACCATTCATCAGCTTGTGTCCTGACGATGCAAGACTTGTATGGAGGAACTTTCCAGCCTTGCAAATTATTGACGGGCCAAACGCAGCCAGAAAGGGGGGTTCGGGCAAGAATGAAACTACAGGCGGCGGGCTTGGAGTAGTAAATTCTACTGCCATTCCATTGGATGAATCGTGCTTGGGCTCTTCGTCTAGCAATGGCACTAGCTCTGGCAGGACTGGAAAGGCGCCTCGTGGCCGCTATGACCGTCAGTACGAGCATGTTGCAGCCGCTAATACTACCGGCAGCGGCGGGGCAAAGCCATCCGGAACTGGCGGAAGTGGAAGCAGTAGTGGAAGCAGTGGTGGTGGTGGCCTCAGCACAGAATGCAGGCCAGGGATCACATCCAACCGGACTAAACCGTTGAGTGAGCCAGGCCGCAAGATCCTCCTTCAATGGGAATCAGCCGGCCGGCCCGTCGGTCCGAATAATAGCTACATCACGAACACCCAGGCAAAGGAACCTGCATTTGTAGCTTGGATAACTCAGTTGAATGTTACCTATACCCCTCTGGAAGTTATGGAAAATGGAGGTAATGGAGGCAGCTCTGGCGGTGGTAACACCACGAGCTCCTCGACTACACTTGAGCCTTCCGTGAGTGCTATCGATACTTCGTCAATTAGGACAGACACAATGGCCATGGCAAAGCCTACTGGTAACGGAGGCTCCTCTAACAGCACTGGCTCACCAAGCAGTGGTGGCGGTGGAGGAGGAGGTTCTTCAAATGGAACCAGCCCTACTAGTAAGATGTTCACCGGTACAACGGTGCAGCCGGACTTTGCGACTTTTGCGGGAGATCCAGCAGTGAATGGAACGGTTTTCATTGCAATTACAGACGAGGATTTGTACCTGACCCCTTTCAATCTGAGTCTAATAGATTCACATGTTGTTGCCGGTCCAGCCATCTACCAGGCAGGCTAAATTTTCGGAAATTCAATTGTTACAAGGGCGTTGGTGGTTTAGGCAACATGAAGTTGGACGTGCTCAGATTGATACCCTTATATAACGGAACGTTGTAATATACCAAAGCAATATTTGTCTATCGGAAGAAATGAATTTAATTTATAATGAGTTTTAACTATCTTTGGGAGTCAAAATATTTACTCCTTGGTAGGCCTAGGCTTGCGCACCATGATGGTGAGTCTTGCCCAATCACCCTGGCCTCCCTCCCCTAGACCTCTACCAGTATACTTGCTGGCGTCAAAATGTAACTTTGCTGATTGTTTTTCAGTTGTCGGAATAACCTCAAACCCACGTCGTTCATAAACAGGGTATCCCCTCTGTGACGCTTCCAGGTATGTCTCTGCCCCATGTTTATCTGCAAGATCGCAGCCCCAGTTCACCAGCAAAGTTCCAGCACCCCGTCGTTCATGTGCAGGGTCAGTAGCCAGCAATGCGAGAACTAGATCGGTCAGAAGAAGCAAACCCAGCATATGTTGTATGGAGTGTAGCACATACCACAATTCTCCCTCCCTTCTTCGCCGAAGAATAGCTTTCGATTATCAAAGAGCTTGCCCATGCAATATCTATATCCCTCCACATTTGCTCCCTCAGGAACAAACATATCTTCACCCGTCTTCATCTGCTCTCTCCATCTCTTTAGCGCCTCGGGACCGCCAACATAGACATTCCACTTCGCAAACGCCAGAATCTCTCCCGTATCATCGTCGACACATTTAAGTAGGTGGAACCCGGGGTCATTTTCCATCTGATAAATCAGTCTCTTTGTCTGAAGTTCTCGTCGTATGGGCTCGGGATATTTTTCATCATGGTCCTGGAAACCACCCGGGTTGCTGATTTCACCACAAGCGCGGAAAAAGCCACTTTGCTTGAGTGCTGTCGATTGAATGTCGAGGATTCGAGGGATGTCCTCGGCAGTTGCGGGGTGGACAGAGAGAGTCATTCCGAGATATCTTAGCCGTAGTTCCGCCGAGTTCTTCGTGCCACAGCCGCAGTGCAATTGGATTTTATAGGAATATAATAGACGACTCTAGGTTGGACTTATTTGATACAGAGATCGTTTGGTATCATTAAGGGAGTGAAAATGCCTGGGGTTGTCATTGGTATTTGTATGGACGTCGGGATGAGAAAATGGATACGAGATCCACCGGCTAAACTAGACAACTGCCACAACTAGTTCTACACAGGTTGACTCGCTCGAGTCGGTGGAAAGGCGTCTTTGACAAATCTTTGACGAGTTTCATCAGGACTAAGCGGGGTTCGTTCCCCTATTCCGCTGGTCTTTGGGTTCGGGATGGCCCGCGTGCAGAGAGCTATGCGACAATGCGAATGCGAATGCGATATCCGACATGTTGCGTGTGCCAATTTGCTGCCTAGTTGACTCATCAGAATTGCTGACATCGACAGGTAAGTCGGCACCATTCTTCACAAATGGTTGTTGTGACAGGTAGGCCTCGTGTTGTACTTCAGATCAGAATTCAGGTTGCATGGTTAGAAGACAGGTGTTCGACGATCACCGCGACTGAATTGGGGATGTTACCCTCATCGCTGGCGTTTCCTTCTGAATCGGAACCGAAGGCCATCATCGCTCTCTTCATCGTCCCTCGACCTCTTCTGTGGCCTTGAGCGTGTGGCGGGGGCTGTAGGTTGGGGAACCTCTAAAGAAGTGGCCATTGATTCTATATTGTTTGATAAGGTCGGACTCCTCTGGCGTTCCGGAGGTGTAGAGCTTGCCCCCCAATAATCGTCCCCAATTCCAAAGTCTTTCTTCTTAGCTTCTTCCAGTGGAACAATGATCGGTCGCCGACGGTGAGCTACTTCGGTGTTGCCTTTTCTTCGGAATTTCTTGAAGTTTTGACGGCCATTCCACCTCTCATCCCATCGACTCTCATCAGTAGGGGTGTTGCGATGTGGCTGCCTGGGTTTGACCTCCATTTCCTCCACGGTGACGAGTTTCTGGATCTGCACAAGGTCCATGCCTTCAACAATGGCCTGGAATGAGATCGCATCCTCTTGTCGACGAGCTGTCGCGGCTTCGTCGACTTCTTCACGCCGCTGCCGGGCAGCTTCTTTCAGATCGAGCTTCGGCTTCTTGGCCTTTTGCGGTTGCGGTGCTACCTGTTTTGTCTCCAGCGGCCTTTTGATTCCTCGTTGCTTCATCGCAGCAGTTCCTGGTAGGAGGTTTATTACGGTGTCATCTCCTTCCCCTTCAGATGGAACACTTGAGGGGACCCTTTCATGTAGCGAGTCTGGGATAATATTCTAGCCAAAAAATAAGCATAGCTCAAACAACCTTTTTCTAGAGGCAAACCTACTGGTGCATCTTCTTCTCCCTCGCCATCATCCTCAAGCTGGTAAACGGGTATTGACTCCATGTCAAACCCATCATCAAAATCCTTGAACTTTGGAACGTACCCTTTCGATTTATTCCGTTTGAGCACCCGGGCTTCCTTTTGGCTATCCTCAACGAGGACAGTAGTACTTGGACCAGACGACATCTCTTGTATTTGATCCGGATCCGTATTTGGAACTGTGGCAGGCGGAGTAGATTGTACGTCACCCCGCTTCTCGTATCGTCGATATAGCTGTGAGGCATTGTTCCTTAGAATTGCATCTAAGAAATCACTAGCTTCCACGGGTTGTTGACCTGTCAACTCGGCCACTTTATTTTCCATGGCAATGGACCACTCTTCGTGACCCTTGATGGAGAACTGCATAAACAATACTCCTCCAGTGCCATCTTGCTCGCATGCGAGTCCCTTAACACCCGCAGCTTTGTTTAAAAAATCCACAACATCCTCGGCCTTTGTCTTCCCGGGTTCAACCTCATAAAACAATGCTTTTCCATGGCCATTTGATATAGGGCCCTGGAGGTCCTCAAATCGTTTTTTGTCACTAAAGACGAAAGTATAGCCTTCAAATACGTTTATTCGATCTGAATTCGGTTTATATGCACTGTCAGGTAGTTCGGTAGGCGCATTTCCGCGGGGAGGGAGGTCTTCGGTAGGGTCCGGCCATGCATTATCAAAATCTTCCTCCAGAGGAGAAAGAGATTCTTCACGCTCTACATTTTTGGGGGATGCAGCATATCTTATGCGTTCGATAAAAGAGTCTTGGACCAGGTAACACCCGTTTATGAGAGCCTGGAGTCCCTTGGCAGTGTTGCGTTTGCTTTGAACCACATGGGTAGTCTTCCCAACAACATATGGGATAACCGTCTTTATATCTAGCTCCTCCAGCTGTGAACGAGCGTGTGCCAGTGGATCTTTCGCCTTTAACTGCTTTGTTGGAAACGAAAAACTCAGGACAATGGGACACCATTTTACTCTGCAGCTCAGTTAGAAGAGTGTTCTCATGATCTTTTCAGTGAGGGAGTTCTCGCCGTACCGGAGGACGGAAGGATACCGCCCAAGAGATAGTTTATATTCATCTCTGCTGCCAAGTTCTTTGCTCTCTCCAGTTATAAGTGTTCCGTCGAGAGTGGTTCCCCACCTGGAGCCTGCATCGCTAATAATCAACTTCGATCTTGTGTGTATATGTGACTGAAATCAAAACAAAAGTTAGCTTTGAAAATGAGAATCATCTGTACATTGCAAAAACGAACCCCATCTCCCGGTTTCACTTTTCCGACTTCAATTATAAGGTGCTTCCGTGATATCGTACGATTATCAATTGTATGTGTTACTGGCAGTGAAACAGTAAATTAGCACTACAGTAGGCGAAAGAGATTCAGACATAGCAAGAACTCACTGCCGTCTTGTTGAACCCGACCAAACAAGTATTTTTTACCTGGTTTCAGCCATATCCGTTTGCCTAACAGCCGTCATAAGTTAGCTATGTTCAATGAAAATCGAAGAACCGCCCGATGAGGTGCCAGTCAAACCTTGTAGGAAATCTCCGTCGGACGAGAGTATCCACATAATTTATGCCTCGTGGAAGCTCAGTGACAATCATCGATAAATAATTTCGATCGAGAAGATCTCGGAGCAGCTCTCAACGGCCAAACGGCTTCTTATCTATCAAATTGCAGCTTTCGCATTTGATCTATCAGAAAACGCGTGACAAACGCGATATCACGTGCTAATATGAGGATTAAAGTTATTCCTCTGATGATATAAGCAGAAATATTGATTAATAATCAATCGGAAATTGAGGCTGAACTTTAAAGAGCGACGTCTTCTCGTCTCTGTCACCATCTTTCCCGCTCTTCCTTGCCAGTCAAGGAGTTGGAAGTCGGTGTGCATAGTGCGCCATGGGCGGTGCAACTTTGGAATAATGTTTTGGAAGTGGCAGAAGCTAGCTACAGCCATGGAAAAATGTCCACAAATTCGGAATCGAAAGCCAAAGGGGGGATACAGACGAATGGTGAAGATAAGGCAACGGAGGGCAGCGAGCACGATGACACCCTGAAATACCAGCTGCTCGGGCCGTCTCTGACCAAGGCAGGCCAGGATAAGGTAGACCAGCAAAAAGTACGTGCAATATACCCCCAAACCAATATTTATTATTCAACGGAGTGTTCAATACTTATTATCCCACGTTAGGTATCGGAGATTATATACAACGCCTCGAAGGGGTCGAAATTCTTCAACCACGAAAGGGCTCGGGATCAACTATTAACAGAAAAGATTCAGAAGATATTAGCACACAAGGAAAAACTGGAGAAACAAGACCTGTCCCACAGCATCCGCCTGGCCGATGAATATATCGCGGACCTTGAGTTACGCCGTGATTTGTCGCAGTCCATCGTGCATATTGATTGTGATGCTTTCTTTGCTGCTGTGGAAGAGCTAGACCGGCCCGAGTTGCGGGATGTGCCTATGGCTGTCGGTAAAGGCGTCTTGACGACCTGCAACTACCATGCTAGAAAGTTTGGGTGTCGGAGTGGCATGGCCAGCTTTGTGGCCAAGAAGCTGTGCCCCGAGTTGATCTGCATACCCCAGAATTACGAGAAATACACCGCAAAGGCCCGAGAGATTCGAGCAATTTTGGCTAACTATGATCCGGAATTTGAGAGCGCTAGTGTTGATGAAGCGTATCTTAATATTACCCAATATTGTGCAGCTAATAATGTTGACCCTCAGGCGGCTGTACAGCAGTTACGCGGTGAAGTTTTCGCCCAAACAGGGGTAACAGTGTCCGCCGGGATTGCAGCCAATGCCAAAATCGCAAAGATATCATCCAATTGGAATAAACCGAATGGTCAATTCTATGTACCAAGCGAGCGGGCTGCAATCATGGAATTTATGACCAAAATTCCAGTTCGCAAAGTAAACGGTGTTGGTCGAGTATTCGAGCGTGAACTCGGTGCAATAGGAATAACAACATGTGGTGACATTTATCAGTATCGTGGTATGCTGAGTCAACTCTTCGGACAAAAGGCATTCTGTTTCCTGATGCAGTGTTATTTGGGTCTCGGGAGAACCCGAATCCAGCCCGCAGGCACATTCCCGAGGAAAAGCATTGGAACAGAACACACCTTCGCAGATTTGAGTGATTTCCACGAACTGCAGGAGAAACTGAGGTGGACGGCGTCTGCGCTTGAGAAAGACTTACGAGCCGCAGAAACAAAAGGCCGTACTCTGGTGTTGAAAGTAAAGCTTCACACATTTGAAGTGCTCTCCCGGCAGACTGTGGCTCCCAAACCGCTCCTGGTGGCTGATGATCTCTACAAATATTCTCTACCGTTGCTGACGAAATTGCACAAGGAACGGCCGCAGATGAAAATCCGTCTAATGGGCCTTCGTTGTGCAAATCTGGTCAGCACTAAGAAGGGCACGTTTAACTTCTTTAACAGGAGCGATTCTGGACAGACAGTAGCCCCTAGATCAGAGGCTAGCAACGAAGCCATCTCATCAACGGAGGAGGAATTCGAAGCTGCAGCCTCCCAGGAGCGGATGGATGACATGGAGTGCCTGGAAAGCCTCAGCCAAGAACTGGAATCAAGTCACAAAACACGGCAAGCCGCCCAAGAGGAGCCGAAGACAGTCAAGCTGGACAAATGGCCCTGTCCGATATGCTCGATCCCACAGCCTCCCGACCATGCACAATTCAACCAGCATGTTGACTATTGCCTCTCGCGGGAGACCATCAAGGAGGCCGTTCAGGGCACACTGGGGCCCGAGGACAGTCCGTCCCTGCAGGTAAACAAGAGGAAGGCTGCTGCCCTTGAGCCCGGCGCTCGCAAACGCCCGTTTTTCAACTAGTATTTTAATTGCACTTTTACTAGCAGTGCCCCGCCGTGGCCCCGGAAGAAGTAAATAACAATATTAACAACGGATCAGTCCACCAGGCAGCCCTGATGTAATTTATATATTTGGATCCCGACCGACAAGTAGATAACACTGATTCTCGTAGCCAAAGAAACGATGATGCAGAATATATTTGGGTGGGCCTCGGCGCTAGATCCGTTTAGCCTGCGTTATGGCTCAATGACGAAAAAACAACGGGGAGATTTCTTTGGCCCGCGAGCAAAAGGGCGTCTGACCGCAAACAACGACGCCGGCACCATCGACAACAACAACAATAACAATAACAACAACAACCACCAGCGGCCTCGAGGAGCCGCCCTGTCGGTGACTGACGAGTCCAAGGACCAACTGGAGCGCGTGGCTAGGATATCTCCCCGTTCTCTTGGGTGTAGCCATTACGAATGTCGCCCCGTTTTGCCCTTCGATATGCCCAACTTGCACGCTTTGTTTATCTCCCCGTTGATCACGATGTCTCTGCCAGATAAACAAAACAACAGCATGGCAAGCAAACCGTTTGTCCCGCAGGCCGGCTCTGGCTACAGGAATTCCAAGTCCCCGTTGACGCCAAAGCTTGCCGGCTTCAATTCTCACCTACCTCGAAAACTCGCCCATTTTGACTCTCCGAGCCCGAATCACACCCGCACCCCTGAAGCCTCGACGCCCAAACAATCCGCCATCCATAACACGAATATAACACCAAGATCGGGTCAGAGAAAGGCGAGAAAGGATGGGAATCCGTCTCCGGCTGCAACCACCCCTCCTCCGGGCCATCTGGCTCCCCGTCTGGCAAGCCAAAAGAGCTCAAGGGGTAGCAACCCTAACGAGGCATCGCCCACCCCCCAAGAGCAACACGCCGGTTCGAACCTAAGAGTTTCGAGAGCAAAGAGCATGAGCAATGAACCTTATGGATATCTACCAAATAACCGGCCAGCGTCATCGTGTGGTAGCTCTGTTGGGGCTCCGAAGTTCTTCCACGCAGATGATGCCCGCTCACCGACATCTTCAGGATACGACACAGAATCAAAACCACAACCTCAATCGAATCCCCATCTAGCCCCAAAGTCTTTTATCTACGCAGATGGCCGTACCGAAGACTCTACAAATGCTGCCGACCCTTCCTATAAGCAACAGGCACCAGTCAAGAAGCCGGTGCTGGCACAGTCTACCCCTATAAAATCTCCAGTGTCTCCTCGACTCCAGGAAACGTCTCCTTCTGGGCCACAAGTTAAACAATTCACGGGCAATGCAACCGAACAGCACATATTTAGCCCGAAACTCGCGCCGGCACAAGAAAAAACATTTCCTCAGATACCTAATACCACCAGCCGTAATGACCAGACGCCCGAGAACCCTGGCAGGTTCGGCCATATGAAATCCACCAGCTGCGACTCGACACATACTGCGGGCCGAAAGCACTCGTTTTTGGCTAGCCCTCTAATCCACCGTCCTACACTCTCGCAGGATAGTACATCCCAGTCAGCGAGTGATTTGATAGACCCATACCCGAAAGCTTCACATAATCGATCGCCTTCCTCAGGGGAAATATCACATAATCTTCTCCCACGAGCGCCGAGCCCGTCCAAAGATGACGGGAACGTACTACAGAGAATGAACGAGCTAGCGGCCAATGCCAGGCGAGAAAGAAAAGTACTGGACCTCGAAATCAGTAACTCGTCTCTATTAGCTATAAACCGTGCTCTGGAACGAGAAATGCGGAAACAGAACGCTGAGCTCCGTCGTTTCCGTCGACTAAGCCGCTCCGGCCGGCTATCGATGACATCCGCTCGCCGTTCTGTTTCCGGGGGTGGGCTCTCGATAGTCAGTGAAGCAGATGGAGACGATACGGATAGCTATTCCTATTCCCGTATGTCACCTGCCTGCTCAGCTGACGAGCTAACAGATGACGAGGTCGACCCGTCAAGCTCAGAGGAAGACAACATGAGCTCCGGCCGTACGGCAGAACATGACGAGAAACACCGAGCTAAAGATGAAAGCAGACTACTTCTCGACCTCAAAAGACATCAACAGCTACTTATTGACAGCCAGAAGATGAATCAGAGCATCAAACGCTGCGTTGGCTGGACAGAGAATCTCATATCAGAAGCCAAGAAAGCCCTGGAATATAGCGTCCATGTGAGCGACGTTGAGGTCGGTGGTCGTGTTCTTGGCCCCGATGACTTTGATGGCGATTATTTCAAGAATACCCGAGGTTTACTGAGTCCCTCGATGAATATATCTTGCTCGGATATACCGTCGTTCGAAGGGCATGAGGCCATCGAATCACCTCCCTCTATACCCAATAGAGATTCAACCGATCTGCCATCGTCCACTGGAGAGCGATAACACCCACCCCCCGATATGATATCTTGGTTCATGATCAGCTTCTAACCCTTACTTTTTTCATTTGTCATATGTACTAGATGTATATATTACATGACTTGTTTATTGCATTTCCCATTTATCAGAGCGCTTACTCCTTTTTATCCCTTAAAATACTCATAGTCTTGCCTGGTTTATGGTTGGGGATCCTTCTATTATAAAGCGACTGGAGTTGGTTGGCTGGTTCTTTTTACACATATACACGATATCCCCCGAACTTGACCTGCCCTATTTACTACCCCTTTCCTTTCTCTATCACGTTACTAGCTGGTAACATCTTTTGCATATATCCTTTTGGCATACACGCTGCTAACATGGCGGAGGCTGGAAGACCAGCAATTTACTTCCTATCCATTTCCCCTATGCGTTGCTTCTAATCCCCCGGAACGGTTCCCACTATACATTGTATGATACCCCCTTATTTGTGCCTCGCTTCCCTTACGAGTTTTACCAAACTGACGTTCTTAATCTCATGGCAAGTTGTGTATTGAGTTTTGTTGTACCAATATGTACAAAATCGTCCATAAATGCATAACTCTTTTCGAGCTGATGAATAGGCTACCAATTTAACAGCCATTTGCATACAATGTCAGAATATACTTTATCTCCGAGAAATTAGCAGAAAAGGCAAAGGAAGGGAAAACGAACACATTATCTATTTACGAGCGTGTAAGAGAGGGGGGAATATGAAAAAGGAGGAACAACAACCTCGTTAAGGGTGTGAAGCAAAGGTGCCGAACAAACAATCAAGCAAGCAAACAAAACACGCAAGTAAGCAATGGTGAATAAGTTGCTCTCTAAAAAAAATTAACGGAAGATCATAAGTGGGTGGGTTTTTATGTAAGTGATTATTTCTCGGTGCTGCTGGGGTTTGGTGTAGACTGTTTTGCTGCTGAAGCTGATTTCTTCTTATCGTCTTTCTTCGCCATGCTGTCGGCCATAAGCTCTTCGAAGGCCATGTACTCTCCCTCTTCGTTGGGATCACGTTCAGCCTGTATTGTAAAATGGTTAGCTATGCAACGGCTTCACATCAGCATGGAAATATCTGCGGAGAACATACCTGCTGGAAGTATTTCCCGATAATAACCAGAGCCTGGGCGCGCTCTACCCGCTTCTCAAGACGGATAGCCTTGTCGTTCAGTATCTGGTCGCAGACTTCACGCAAGACACTCTGGATCTCAAACTTGCTTCCTCTCCAGGCGGCAGCGAGGATCTTTCCAGTGACTTTCTTCTCATACTCAGCCTTCTTCTCATCAGTCCAGTCCTCACCACCTTTTTCTTCGAGCTTGGCCATCTCCTCCATGGTCATCTGGGCATCTAGCGCGGTCGAGATGGTAGTCCATGTCTCCCTGGCCAGGTTACCCTTATCCTTTAGTCTTGAGAAGAACCCTGATATGCCGAGGAATTTCTGTGACTTGAGGAAGGACGTTCCCTTGGAGTTATATGTGCTTCCGATAGCGTGTAAGATTTCCAGACCAAAGGACTCCATCTTCAAGTTCTCGACTTCCAGTCTGATCTTTTCCTGGAATGCGGCGGTGACGTCAGGGCCCTTGTCGGTCTCGGTCCAAACGCTGAGTCGATCAACTAGTTTGCGCGCAAGGGTGTTGACTCGTTCTTCACGTTGCTTCTTCCTTTCTAGCTCGAATGCAGCCAGCTGTTCCCGCTGTTCCTTAGAGAGTCCCTTCTTCTTCTCCTTCTTCCGCAGCTCTTTCTCCTCTGGTGATAAGCCCTCTGCCTGCATTCTAGCCTCTTCCTCGGATTTATCCATGATTGCCTGCTGTCCCCAGTTCCGTCGCGGGGTGCTGGTACCGGAAGCAGCCTCACTTGCTCCGGCAGTTCCCTCCTTCTTAGCTTCATCGTCCTCAGCGACGGTAGCACCGGGAGCAGCGGTTGTAGTCGTCTCACCAGACTGCGGCTTCGCCGGGTCCTTCACGTTTAGTTTGGCGTCTGTTTCCTTTGCGAGTTCTTCGTCTTCTTCCATCTGTTGCATGGTAATGTCCATTGTCTTGGTGAGGTCCTTCATCAGTGATATCTCGCCTATCCAGTCAACGAAGGCTTCACCACCGAAAATCATGCTAAACAGCTCCGCAGGATCCTCTGTAGAGAGTATCTCCGTTAGTCCTTCAATGACCGAGTCCAAGACGGAGGAGAACACCTTACCAAAGCCACCACCTGGGACCGCCTTGTCCTTTCCGAACTTGTCATACTGTTTTCGTAGAGTCTCATCACTCAGTACTTGATAGGCTTCTCCGATCTGTTAGAAACTCCCCAGAGACCAGTCAGTAATTGTGCCAATAATGATGGGGTATCCCGTCTAGCTAGCGTAATGAGGAGAGAATTACAGCTTGAAATCTGCTATGTGCTGTCTCGTCGTCGGGGTTCTTGTCTATGGCGGTGGGGTTAGCAGTGAACCGCAATGCCTCAGCGGAGGACAAGTCAGCACCAACCTGGATGGGTTGTAATGGCCAGTTTCCTGTAGGCCTTCTTGATTTCGAGCAGAGTAGCCGTGGGAGGCACTCCCAGGGCGTCGTAGTATGTAGTGTCTACCACCATCTTTGCGGGCTGGCGATGTCAAAGTCCCCCTGGACAGGCTTAGGAGGGGCAGGTCAAAGCTGAGCGAGGCAGCAACCGGCGAAATCGGAGTCCAGCAGCAACAGCTCTGTATCGGTTATCAAGAAGAGAAAAAAGCAGCGACGGTCTATATTGGCTGGAATGCGCTCTATGCTGCGACGTTGAACTGGCGAAATAATAGCAGAAGTGAGAATCGAGAGCGATGAAGAAGAGCAAGCTCGGTCCGCTGCTTTTTTATGTGATCGTCATCGTCGCCAGAAAGCACCCGAAATAAGGTTTTTCCTTCACAGCTGATTTCTAACTATGGGCGCAATTTTGTTTCTCCCCCCCTTTTTTTTATCTCCGACAACATCGAGAGCAGGACGGGCCAGGCCAAAGGAGTCACAGCCACAGATGACGAGGAGGGAGATGCCCTTTGCTTTGTTCAACGGCTACGCATAAGGGACGGGCCAGCTGCGAACAAGCTGAGCAGTCTCACAGCCACTTGCTTTACTTCCGTGCTTCCGTGTGTCTCCTGTCACTGCCTCTGTGGCGTGGGGCATCACAGCCTCGGCGTGCGTAGGAAGGAAGGCCTCGAGAATCGCCTGCTATCTAGCATTCTAAGGGGCAGTATCACCAGAGAATAAAGGAAAAGAGCTTCTCGGGTGCAAGATATCCTCTCTCGCTTGGGACGCCAAAAAGGAGGAAAAAAAAAAAAAAAAAAAAGGTACCCGTTAAGTGCCTATCTAAAGAAGGGGTCATGTCTATTATAACCCTTCCGCTGAAGTATTACCGATTAACAGTGGACGATATCTGATTTCCCTGGGCTCATGAACTGTAAGAACAATCTAACCTGTCTTGCGAGATAGATGTATGGGTGTGTGTTGTATGAATTTGGTATATGAAAAAGATGAGAGAGGGAGGGCAACCCCTTCTTTTAAGCCCATCGCAGGGAGAAGATCTCGGCTCCGCCTCTTGACAAGGCAACTTCCACACTACCATCTTCATTCTTGATTGACTTTTCTATGGTCTCTCCTTTTCTCTCGAGAATGATCTTTCCTGCCTCTGGCTCGGGCAGCTTGTAGAACCGTCTGCCGGACCGGCTAAGGAACCCTTCTAGTCGCTCCTGGGTGACGGCAGACTCCTGTATGATACCACGCTCGGTGGCGTCCTCCAGGGCAAGGAGGACGTACTGTGTTGCGTTACGGCTGGGTGAAAACACCAGCTGCTGGCTTTGGTTGGTCCTTGGCTGATCTCTGATGCGGAGCGCTATCAGTGCCTCTATAAAAGAAAGGATTGTTTAGCGTTTCGGCCCTTGATCCCGGATTTAGGGATGCGGGAGTGAAGGGTGAGTATATATAAAATGGAAACCTACAGGAAGAACTTTGAATCACCGCTGCAGATGGCCCTGATGAGGGCATCTCGGTCTGCGGGAGTCTTGGCAATCGGCTTGCAGAAAGCCAAGGGATCAACGGTGTCATCTACTGTGAGGTACAGATGATGGGCAGTGATGGTAGCTATAATACGTTGACGTCAGTACTCAATCATATTATTACGTGGGGTATATATATATATATATATATATATCATAGAATGGGGGTATATGTAAGCGTACCGGCAACCGTTGGCCCGCAGGAACGAACGGTCTCGACGGCGGCAGAAGTGGTACAGTGCTCAAGTACTATTCTTAGCTTTGGGAATCTCTCGTTGATGCCTTTCAAGGTTGGCAGAAAGGCCTCTTCTGCATTCATCACATCAACGTCCGGCACTTCACCGTGCAAATTGAGTACCATGTCATGTTCCTGCATGGCCTCGAACACGGGATAGAAGTCTTCCAGACTAGTGACGCCCGCAGCCGAATTGGTAGTCACTCCTAGAAATAGATTAATTAGCACGACGAGAGAGTTAAAAGAGGGTGTGTGTGGGTAAGCCGGCCAACTAGCTAGCTAATCAGCTTGTTCTGTTGTGGTGTGTTTTTTTAGATTACCTTGCGGGTAGACCTTGACGCCAGTGATACCGGCAGCCGCGGCCTCCTTGATCACGTCCGGAGTAATGGAGTCATGCAGGTACAAGGACATGAGGTAGTGGACATCTGGCTCGATCTCTTGGAGTTTGTTCCTGTACTCTACTGCCTGGGCTACCGTTGTAACGGGCGGCTGAAGGTTTGGCTATAGTTAAACAAGTCAGAGCCGTTGAACCAGATATATCCAGAACGAAGTGATATCTGTGTATCATGCTATCATGTATCCAGCCCGGAAGGTAGGTAAGCATGTAAGAGAGAGAGAGAGAAGACGAGAGAGGCGAAGGACAGCAGAGATTACGGCGTAAGAATTGATTTCATGCATACCATCACAAAGACAGTATCAACCCCTCCCTTTCGAATGTAGGGTGTAACTAACTGCATCATGGCATCCTGACGGAGGTGGACATGCATGTCGGCCGCAGCCGGCAGCTCCAGACGAGGCAGAGTCCTCAACCGCATCGTCAGGCAGAATCAAACGAACGTCTTCCCCGCGGGCTGGTATCTGGGCTTTTCTGCAAACCTGTCAGGAAGCTTAAAAAAGAAGAAAAGAAAGCCGCCTATCCTTTCTGCGATCCTTGACAGGCCCGAAAGTGGGATGTTTTCTTGGGTTTCGATGGAGGAGGCGGTCGGAACGGAAAAAAGGTCGTCACGTGAAGGGGCCTCCCGTAGAAGTAGCTTGAAGTCGACGGTCAAGCAGATATCGAAGGGACATAAAAAAGCGCCAAAAAAAAAAGAGACTGGGATGGGCTGTCAGGGTGCTATTTATGTCTGGGGATGCCATTGACCAGCGGTGATGGCCCTGTGGCAGTTAGTTAGCATCGCCAGCTGGCTACCTACATTGACATGGACAAGTGACGGTCACAGTCACAGTGACGGCGGCCGGCTACAGGCAGGTTTGCTTTAGCTGCTGGAAGACCACTGCAGCCATCCATCCACTGCTGGCCTCTGGATGCCGTCTCTCTCATCCCCCTTGCCACCGTCACCGTCGCCCGCCTGGCTAACTACATCCATTGTTTGATCTTCTCTCTGCAACGCCCGAAAGAAAAGCTGCTTTCTTCTTCTTCTTCTTCTTCTTGCTTTCTTGCTTTCTTGCTTTCTTGCTTTGCTTTGGCTTGCTTGATGGCACTGCTGACTAAGCCCTCCCACAAAGGGGAGGCCCAAAAGCTTACTTTTCCTCTTTTCCTCTCTTTCTCCTTTTTATTTTTCTTCCTTTTCTTTCTCCTGCATAAAAGAAAACCAACAACAACAACATCACCATCACCATCACCAACGCCAGCAACCTCCCGACGCTCCGTCGCCCTCCTCCACCGCCGTCCTCGACCCCAATTCTCCCTCTTCTCTCCCTGTATCTATCATTTTCTTCTCCATATCCTCGTCTTCTGAGTCTGTATACTTGTAATTGGCCGTCCTGCAGGCCTCTCTTTGAGCTGGTCCTCGAGCTTCCCTCGTTACCTTTTTTTTCATGCTCCATATCCTTCTATTCACTTGCCACACAGAAGAAGCCCCTGCATAAGCCGCCGCAATGAAGGCAACAGAGATTGTCTACTACCTCTGCCACCCCCAGGAGCTCAGAGCTATCATCCAATGGTGTGTACTAACCCGCGCGCATACCCTGCCAGGCTGCATCGCTTGCTGACCGCAGCCACCATAATGGGATATAAAAAAAAAGGACTACGTACCACGAGCCTGTACATACAAGAGACCCTTCCAAGGAAACAGAGACGGAGAAGAAGTGCTATGAGTTCCTCAAGCTTACCAGCAGAAGTTTCTCTGCTGTCATCATGGAGCTCCATCCCGAGCTTCTGATGCCCGTATGTCTGTTTTATCTCATCCTTCGTGGCCTGGACACGGTCGAGGACGACACGTCGATACCTCTGGAGACCAAGGAGCCCATACTGCGCGGTTTCAAGGACATTCTTGAAGAAGATGGCTGGACCTTCACGGGGAACCGTCCGGAGGAGAAGGACCGGGAGCTGCTGGTTCAGTTCCACAATGTCATCACGGAATTCAAGAAGATCAAGCCAGCCTACAAGGTTATCATCAAAGATATAACCGAGAAGATGGGCAATGGCATGGCAGACTACATCAGACGCGGCCAAGAGGACGACGAAATAGTCAAGACCATTGAAGACTACGACCTCTACTGCTACTATGTGGCCGGTCTGGTGGGTGAGGGCCTCACCCGCTTGTTTGTCGAGGCCGGCTTTGCGCGGCCGGAGCTGTTGGAGCGTCCGGAGTTGTTCATCTCCATGGGGCGATTCCTGCAGAAGACGAACATCATTCGTGACGTGCGTGAAGACCACGATGACAAGCGTCGTTTCTGGCCCCGCGAGATCTGGTCGAGACACGTCAAGGAGTTCAGTGACCTTTTCAAGCCCGAGTTCCGCCCGCAGGCCCTTAACTGTAACGCTGACATGATTCTCAATGCCCTCTCACATGTAGAGGACTGTATATACTATCTCTCCGCGCTCCGGGAGCAGAGTGTGTTCAACTTCTGCTGCATCCCGCAGACCATGGCCATCTCGACTCTGGAGCTCTGTTTCCGCAACGGCACCATGTTTGAGCGGAACATCAAGATAACCAAGGGCACTGCCTGTCGGCTCATGATAGATTCTACGCAGAACGTGCGAGTTGCCTGTGACGTGTTCCGTCGCTATGCTCGGGCCATTCACCAGAAGAACACCTCCAAGGATCCAAACTTCCTCAAGATCAGCATGGCCTGCGGACATGTTAGTTCTGCCCCCCACCTCTTTTTAATTTCATGCGAATATCTGCTAATTGACATAAACTATCACAGGTCGAAAAGGTCGTTGAGCGTATTTTCCCCTCGCAGTCGCCGGAAGCGGCTGCTCGAAGACTAACCAATGAGAAATCCCCCGAGCAGCTGGCACAAGACGAAGCCGACGCCGAAGCAAAGAAAGATACCATGTATATAATGCTCACCATCTTCGGCGTCCTGCTCTTCGTCACTATAACAATGGTACGTGTTAACTATTCATTCCACTAACAACAACCCGATGAACTAACTAACTCTTTTTTCTAGTTCTTCGTTGCTTGGTTGTTTGGTGCCAGGTTCGACCTCGCAATCGAAGAGTTCAAAAAGGGAAAGCTTATGCCCGGCCCTGCCCAAACCCACGGTGGTGAGCTCTAAAAGTCACGCCAGCTTCTTTCACGCATTTACGACTCGACCTACTTCTTCTTCGGCTTCCCTCCCCCTTTTTTCCCATTGCTCGACCCTCAACCCTTTTTGCATCTACGAAACCATTCTACTGTATGATAACAACTACCCCTTTGACGTCTATACTAATAATGTAATATTCCATGGAGGTCTTTTCTACCCTCCATTCCTCGCTCCTTTTTCTCTTTTTTCTATCTTACTCTTCTTCTTCTTCTTCCCTTACCAGCACGGATGTCAAATTACAACACAATCCTTCTCAATGGTTGCTGTTGTGCCGAAGATGTGCTGAGATCGATGGCTTGACCTGCGTCCCCTAGGGATTGCGGCAACTACCTGATGTACTGGATTTCTGTCGACCGATTAGCTTCGGACAATGGCAGACGTCTATTGAAAATCCGGTCACATTTCTTCCTTCGAGATAGATAAATAATGAAGCTGACCAAATTCCTACCCTTACTTACCTCACCCCCTGTTTTAAATTATGTGACCTGTTGGTTTTCTTGACGTGCATCGTATTCCATCTGTCAATCTATCTATCTATCTATCTATCTACCGTCTTTATCGCCATGCCATCTCATCCTCAGCGCCGGTCCGCTCGGGTATTTTTCTTCTTCGCCTGCCAGCCCAACCCAACCTACCTAACGCTAGGTAACCACCGTAGCCCGACCCGACCAGCCGTCGAATGATCGCAGCGCATCTCTCGACTGCCAAACATGCCAGGATCCCAGCAGTCTGCATTCCGGTGCTCCTTTTCTCTTCTACGTGATCTCTCTCTCTATCTATGCTGCCTCTTTTCTTTTTCTCTTCTTTCTTTTTCACCTTATTCCTATCTTAATCCTCTGCTATTACTATTACTCTCTCCCACTGCCCCCCTTGCCTGCCTGCCCTTAACCTCCCATCCGCCCCCCACACACAAAGAGGCCTGAAGCCCAGTCGCTAGGCAGCATTTTTTCCCTAGGTGTCCACAGCCCTTCCCGCGCTCAAAGGGGAGATCGAACTCGGCTGCCGCATCGCCTAAAACTAACTTACTAAATAAAAAAAAAAATAAAAAATAAAAAATAAAAAAATAAGCCCGCCTCGAGTCTCTCGCTCTCCTTTCTCTCTACCTCCCGACCCGACGAGCTTCTTCTACTTTTTTGCTTCTTCTTCTACTACTTCTTCTTCTACTTCTACTTCTACTTCTTTCTATTTTCACCTGCCTTTTGCTTCTTTCTGTGTGCTTGTGCTCGTCGCCGGCTGGATGGGCGATAACGAGCCCTCGCACACTCCGGCGACTTCCAGCGCTATGCCCGGCGAAAGCCCACCCCGGCTGCGAGCCGCTTCAGCCTGCGTTGCCTGCAACAAGAAGAAGGTAAGTCGTCTCTCTCTCTCTCTCTGTCTACGGCGGGCGCCAGCAGCTCTTCCTCGGGCGTCATAGTCTGTCTTCTCTTCCTACTCGTCTGGCTGCCTGGCTGCAGTATCAATCGTCTCTTTTACCGTCGAGTTTTCCACTAACCGAAGGCCGACGGTGCCGGGGCCATCGCTAGATTCGCTGTATATACCCGGACGGCGGCCAGCAGTGCTCGAACTGCGCCCGGAACCACTGGACTTGCTCGTACGCATCGCCTCTTCCCTCCCCCGTTCGCCCTTGCGCATATCTCCCTCGTCGCGCGTAGTGCTAGTGCTAGCCTCTGTGCGTGTGTGTGTGCGTGTGCGTGTGTGGTTCTGCTGGGCTGATTCTCGTCGCATTTCTTCTTAGACCCCGCGAGCGCAAGCGAAAACGCCGGAAGGTCGCTTCAGACACCAAGGAAGAGCCCGAGACGACGCCTACGGGGACAGAGCATCTCAGCGCAGCCCCTTTACTGCCTCCGTCACGGTCGCAGCAGTGGGAGGCCGGGTATCCGGGATGGGAGCCTCGTCGCGCCATCCTTGCCGATGGCCAGCCTTCCGGCACATCGGAGTCCTCAGGGGGTCCCGGCTCCACGGCGCCAAACAATAACCATAATAATAACATAACCGCCGCCGCCAGCAGCAATAGTAATAATAATAATAACAACAGCCATAACAACGCTCCGGCGACCCCGTCAGCGACCACGACGACGACCACGACGACCACAACCACTGTTCAGGATGCAGACGGGAACACTCTCTACTCGCAGAATGCCTCGAGCTCGGTGGCCCTGCGCGCCCAGCAGCACCAGCAGCAGCAGATGGAGCCTGGCCTGCATGAGCCGGCTTCAGGGGGCAGCACAACCTTCCTCGGCCGGTCAGAGTATATACGGGGCGAGGTGCCTATCAACGAAGACCGGGCAAAGGCCTACCCGGCCGTTGCTACGGAGAGTCTGATGGAGGAGGACATCCAGATACTGCAGCTGCAGCATGCGTTCGACCTCCCGCCTCGCGCCGTCAGGGATGGTCTCATCGATACGTTTATGAAGAGATGCGCTCCATGGATGCCTATAGTGGAGAGGAGCTGGCTCATGGAGCGTCGGGATAGCCAGCCATCCATCCTGCTCCTCCAGGCGGTCTTCCTCGCCGCCAGCCGGGTATCCTCTGCCCCCGCTGTCACGGCCTACGCCTCGTCCAACGAGTTTTACCGTCGAGCAAAGGCCCTGTTCTGGTCCGGGTACGAGAAGAATACCATCACCGTCATCACTGCCGTGTGTATCCTGCACTGGTACAACCCCGAAGGTCCCGAGCATGTTTCCATTAATACCAGCGGGTTCTGGAGTCGGATCGGAGTTGGCCTGGCATATCAGATCGGGCTACACAAGGAGCCTCCGCCGGGCCGTGAGGCACCCTTGCGGCGGAGACTGTGGTGGACACTCTACGTAAGCCTGTTTCTTTTGTTGAAGGGCGAAAAATGACACAATGACACAATACTTAATATAACGGTAGCTTATACAAGTCTTTTTGAATTTAGGCTCGAGACTGCTTGATATCCGCCAGCCATGGCCGGCCGCGGGCAATCAATACCGAGGACAACGATGTCCGGCCACTCACTCCTGAAGACTTCTACGGATGCGGAGCCGACGATGCTCTGTTCCTCGCCCATGTCGAGGTGTCTTCGCTTCTGGGCGACGTCACCCAGGCCTGCTGTCGCCGGACGCTGACACGGCCTAAACGAACCGCCATCGAAAACGCCATCTACAGATGGTCGAGGGAACTACCAGAGCAGCTCCGTCTCTTCCAGCGAGTCCTGCCTCCAGAAGGATCAACGGCGTCCAAGCTGGTGCTCATGCCCTACCACTTCGAAGCACGACAGCTGCACGTCACTTACTTTGTCGTGCTCGCCATTCTCTACCGGGCCTCCTCCCCAGGCACCATCCCCTCGGCAGCAGCCATCCTCGCCTCTTCCTTCGTCGCCGGCATCTTCGAAGACTTCCTTGCAAGAGACGAGATCCGGTTCCTCGGCCCCATATTCACATTCTACCTGCTTGCGTCGGGCGTCGGGCTGGCCTCGTGCTACTCCTACCCTCACCTCTGGGAGCGAGCCCAGCAGGACCTGCGAATAATATGCAGTTCTCTCAGGGAGCTGTCGAAACGCTGGCCCTCTGCCATCGGCAGCCTCAAGGCCCTGCAGAGCATGATCGACGAGACTGCAAAGGCTGCTCGGCCCTCTGAGCGACCCCAACCTACTCCACTTACCAGCGATCAACAGGCAACCTTCTGCGGCTTTGGCACCGATCTATGCCGGCTTGGAGACGTCATGCTCGCCCATTACCCGCACGACATCGTCGACTCGGGCAGACAGGAAGACGACCAGTATGCCAGGACGGTATCTGACATGATGACCGCAGGGATACTCGCCGAGCTGAAAACACCGATGGACTCTGCCTCGGCCCCCGTCGACGAATATCTGCCTCTCGCGTCGGTGATAGACCACAATACCCAGCTTGCCTTTGGGGTGGAGGAGCCTACCTCCATCATCCCAGACGAGGTCCTCTACGGCCAGTACGAGGGCATCGGCAACTGGCTGCTCCGAGGCTGGGACTGCACAGCCGAGGTTCCCTGGCATTAGCCGTTGTGCCTTCTCCTAACCACAGACCTGAAATCACAGACATGATAATCAATCTCTCCCACCCTCAATTGAATTATATACCCCCTATACATCACGTGACTCTTTCCCCGGCTTTTCGGCTGTCGGGAAACCGGGAAGCTTTGGCGCCTCCCAGGCCACAGGGACTAAGTGGCGATTTCGATACGAGAACCACCAGCGTTTCTGGCCCTGACGCTCCTTTCCTGCATATTTATACGAGAGAGCCGAGGATGAAGACGATGTCCAAGTGCTGTCCAGCATCAAGCATCAAGTTCTGGAGGCTTTGTCGTGGCAGCCCTGGCCCTGACTAGTCTACCCTACCTTTTTGTCCAGGGTGCCTGCCTACCATGTCACCTTTGGTTTCAGCTTCAACTATTGACTCCCTCAGTACCAATGCTAGGATTGAGTGCGTTTAGTATCATGCCATGGTTCAGTGAACCAAGAGTGAAGCACCGGCCAGTCTAGTGAATGCCCTTGCGGCTTCAATGGACCAGTTTGTCTCCCTCACCAAGTGTGTTAACAGCCAGGAAATGTTTTTTTCTTTCGCACTTTTTGAGTGTTTTTTTTTTTTTTATCAAGCCTAGTCAAGGCACAGAATGACGTCAGGAGTGGTTACTTATGTACCGTTGTCGCTGGTTGCCGGTGGTCAGTGAAGGAAGGGCCTTGCTGTTCCAGGTAAAAAATAAGTGGAAGTCCCCACTGGCCAAAAAAACATCTTCTATATCTTTCAAAAAACCATGTCAACCAGCGTCTCTAGAATTAGCTATGCACTAGAACCTACCTAATCTAATGATCTAATGGCCTCCCCTATACTTCTCTCTACCTCTACTTCTACTCCTACTCCTATCTCTACTTCTACTTCTATCTCTACTTCCAATCTATGAAGACCACGTGGACAAACCCTCGCCGCCTTCCTAAAAGGGCCTCCCTTTTTTTTCTGCCAAGTCACGTCTTTTTTTTTTTCTGCCAGTCCCCACCGCCTTGCGCCTTCTTCTTTTTTTTTTTTTTTTACTTTTTGACGCCCAAATCGCGCTTTTTTTTGCTTCTTTTTTTTTGCTGCTGTTTTTTTTTTTATTTTTTATTTTACTTTTTGCTTCTTCTTCGCTGCAGCCAGAAAATCTCCAACTTTTTCCAGCTTCTCGACTCTCACCTCTTACACCTTCATCGTCGTCTTCGCCGTCTCTTCTTCACTGCAATTGTTGGCTCTGCGCGTCCCCTACGCCCTCGCATCCGCTGTCTTGCGAACTAGCCGCTGGAGCCACCCGAGTCGCCTGCTAGAACTACTTAAAACTACTTAGCAAGACAAGCAAGTTACGCGCCGGGGGAGGTCACATGCTCCGCCCTTATCTTATCCTGCTCCGATCGCCTCTCCATCCCTTTTGAAAATTCTCGCCGGCAGCGATAAAGGATACCCCGGCTAAACCACCTGTCCTCCTCCTCCTCCTCTTCCTCGCCGTCGTTGCTGTCCTCCTCGTTGTCCCAGCTGGCTCGCACCACGCAGAAACACAACCTGCAACTCGCCGTTTCGCCGTGGTGCCCGTCTCTTATCTCGATAAAAGGGAGAAAAAAAAAAGGGCAGCGGCCAGGGTAATACACCCTTATTGCAGGGCTGGTGAGGGGGCCTCTTTGGGGTGTGGCCGGCTCTCAACGGTCGGGAAAAGGGCTGCTTGACTTGCAGGTATGTAAAACACCCCCATAGCCCGTCCTGTTCTGTCCTGTTTAATATGCTGCTATATTGTCGTGAAAGGGGGACAGACGGGGGTGGATGGGACACTGATGGCCGTCTATATGTCATATCGCGTTCGTGGTGCTAACTAATATTGGTTTTCTTGCTATATGACAGTCCCTGGGATATAGTTGCACAAACAAGAACCACTTGGATGAGGAGAGCAGCAGAGAAAGGCTTTTCTCCTGTCCTGGGCACACGATGCTGTCGTCAGTCGATATACAGTCGGGGGACGTCTCCCCTTTGCTGACCACGACGGCCTCATTAAACGCCTCCGAACCGCCTCTCCACGCCATCACGCTCTCCGTGCCCTCGACAGACGACCTGAAGACGAAACTGCTGCCGCCTGCCTCCTGTCCCGTGGCTGATGTAGACATGGACTACTCGGCTGCTGCAGACAACCCAGACCTCTCGCCTACGCACTTCAGCGATCTGCCCCCGGAAATACACGAGACCATCCTCGACCATATCCTGGGAGTCCGTGGCTCGACGCTTGCCTCTATCACCTCTGCAACAGTCACCACTTCAAGCTGGAGCAAGGCACTCCGACACCCTCGTAGAAAGGCCCTATCTGACCTCGCCCTGGTCTCACGGGCATACAGAGCCCTGGTCCAGGGCAGGATCTACCGTCACAGTGAGTAGATACTAAAAAAGCCACATTACGATTTATGATCGATAACGAGCGTGTGTTCATACTAATTGGCGTGCTTTTTTTTTTCTTCTTCTCTTTGGTACAGTTCAAGTCAAGGGAACGACAGACTGTTTGGCAGAGTGTGCCAAATGGTTCGATGCACACCCTCACCTTAAACCATACGTCCGGCACATCGAAATATGGGTCCCCGTTTGGGGCGATCGCCTGAGGAAGTCTCATTTCTCTCCTCCCAGTCGCCGGGAGAGCGGACAGGCAAACTTTGGCGTCATCGAAACCAACACCATGGAGTCGTACATGCACGGCTTAGATGCACTTTCCAGTAGCCGGACGAACTGCAACTTCAAGTCGGCCAGTCACAATGCTACCTTACAACAGATCTTTGAGAGCGTTGCGTCTCAGTTTCCCGATGCAAAGATGATGACTCTGGAAGGCGGACACTGCAAAAAACCTCCCATGATCAGACACTTTGAGAGCGATCCGTGGGGGGACAGCGGACTCGAGTCGCTTACTCCTCTCCCAAACATCCAGACCTTCATCATGAAAGGTGCATGGAACATCATGCGCGATTACAGCCACTGGACCAATCTCTCCACAGCCTTGCCTAACCTTCGCGAATGGCACTGCTTCTACGCCAAGTCCAAACGCGAAGCTCACATCACCATCTCAAAGGTTCTCAGGACCTTCCCACCTCAGCTGACCCGGCTTAATATCAGCCTCGACGGCTTCTGCAGTAAGACGAGCTCACGTGGATTCCTCAACCCGCAAGACGAAAAGCATCTTTGCCGGCTGTTCGGCGCCATCCTCCCTCAGCTGGAATCCCTGACTTTCACCGGCAAGGTCTGCGCCAGCCTCTTCCTCTCCGGCAGAGCAGCAGTGCTCTCCTCCCAGCGCAAATCAAAGCTGAAATCAGTGGACCTGGTCGTCAAGGCCTGCTGCTGGGGCCATGAATCCGACGATGGCTCCCTCATACCAACCGACATATCCGGCATCACTAACATGTCCTTCATCATCGAGTTTGAAAAGCTAGTTATCGCTGCCATCCACTCGCTCGGAGCACTACCCGCCCTCCAATACATTCGCATCCGGTTTATAGATCTCGATTCTATCTGTGGCCTCTTAAACCCGTATTTCCAGTTAGTCGGCAACACCTGCACGGGCGTATGGAGCGAGGCTATCCTTAAAACGCTCGAAGAAAACAGGCCAGAGGCGCAGTTCGCAGAGCTAAATAATGGTATCCTTGAAGATTACGGCATCAACTCGCGAACAGGCACGCGATCATATCCCCGAAGCAGGCCTCTTAGCATCAAAACAAGCTGCTATCGCATTATCGCCGACAAGTCGAAGCCTTGACCCATCGCCCATTTACCACCCTCCCTCCATCTTCGCCCATGGCCAGCCTACTTCCTCCTTCTAGGGTCACAGCCATGGCTCAACATCATCCTAGTCATCGTCATCTCGTTCAAGCGTTACCGAAGCTTACTACAATATCTTACACAGACTATTGAATTTTTTTTTTTCTTTACTAAAATCTACTTCCTTTCCTCCCTTTCATGGCTAGATCGTGGAGAAAAGTCGACATCTTCGAAAATATCCCCTTTTTTTCTCCCTTCACCCTTCCTCCCCTTACCACACTTGATTCAGGGAAATAAACATCTGTCAAAATTACCCCTTGGCCTGTATTGCATGGTGTCAGGAGAACTGGGCGCGGAAAGAACACACAAAAAGGTTTAATTAAGGTGATTAGCGGAAGTGAGAGAGAGTTGAAAGTGGAACCACCAAAGAAATGGCCTGGCCTGACCTGTTTTTTTCATTTTCTTTTAAAAATGACAGGATCTTTGCTGCTTCCAAGGTTCCAATATTTGTTTATCACGCATGGCAATGGCGTCCTGAGTTGTAAGCCTGTCGGACCTGCCCCGTCTGTCTGTTTACTAACTTCCTGTTAATTTCTCCTTAAGGCTCATGGGATCTGTCTCTTCTTTCTGTCTCTCTGTCTCTGTCTCTTTGTTCTTATCTTATTTGTTTGAGATACGTCTGTAGCCAGATTTAATAATATTTCCTGATCCTCAAAAAGAACTAGTTCACTGACTTGAAGACATAGTATTATTATTGTAAAAGGTCAATATTATTTCAAAAGCTATATATCTTTCTTCACCGCGGCAGGGCTCCGATTGTTAGCTTTGCCCTTTCCTGCCCGAGGAAGATTCTTGATATCCGAAATAATAATACCCAGAATCCAGATATTTATCACGAAAAACGCAAGGGAGGAGAGATATAGTCCTGGAACAAAGGTTGAAACTCCAAGGAACTCAAGTTGGAAACCTTGATGAAGCCAGAGTGCCTAGCAGAGGTGACTAGTTAGTATCCCTACTTCAAATGGTGATCAATCTCGGCATAAGAGTGTGTAGCTTACCTGTGCGCCTGCCCACAGAGCGGCAACAGTAATGCCGAAAAGCGGCTGTTTGACGAGAGAGGAGTAGGGGAGATACAGCGGTAAAAACACGAGATACCAGAGGAAATACTGTATATAAATCAGCAACCACATTGGAAATTCCACATACACGAGCCTACATCGTTGACCAAAAAAGACACACACATACCTGGCTTGTACAGACTTTGTTGAAGGTGACAAATGCAAATGTTTGGCTTAACATGCTTCCAGCAAGATCCCTCTTGGCCAATGCGAGCGGTATTAGGATGGCTGAAAGACCTAATTGAGGTAGAAAAGCGAGAGATTCAAAGTTATTCCCGGGAATGCCTTGGGAGATCTCGGATGAAGAAAGGTAGAGTAACATATTGTAAGGGGAGAAGTTGTGGCGATGGTCGACGCGAGTGACATGGTGGAAGTAGGTATGTTGCAAGAAAGGAGTTCCATAAAGCATATACATAGCGACATTCAGCCCTGCAAACACAACAAGGGAAGTCAAGCCAAGGATTATACGCTGAGGCGTTAGAAGCCGACAGACGTAGTCGATCAAATTGCCGAGAGTAAACCCTTTCGACCCGTTGAAGCTATCGTTTTCCTCGTCTTCCAAAAACCAGATAATGGACGGACCGTATATGAAAGGGTATATTTTGAAATGTACGCCGAAACCCAAAAGGACGCCAGCTAGAATAGTTCGTTTCTCTAGAACGGCCCAGAGTAGCGCCATGATCATAACGCATAGAAACCCCTCTGAGCTCCCTCGGGTGCTAATCGTAGCAACCATGGGATTCAGCAGCCAGATGCTTGAAAATTTAAGAGCTCGCTGCATATCCATTCGTTGATGGGAGCGGAGAACATGCAGGATCAGCCATCCCGCAATGATATCAGAGACAGCAAACAAAGCTTTGCCAAAGGAGAACCAGACTTGCTGACCCCCGAGGCCGGTCCATGTGGTCGGGAGAAGAATCCATGCAAGTAATGGCGTGTATCTGTAAGTTGCTCTATCATACGGCGACTGGCCTTCCGAGACAAATTTGGCGGCATCAGTGAAAACATAGTAGTCGATGTCGGTATACTTCATGGGCGAATGAGAGTCCTGATAGAGGCCGTAAAACAAGAGAACAACTCGAAGAAATATCGCGGCCCCAAACACGAGGTAGGGAGAGCTAAAAAACCACGCCATTATGGAGCGTTTTGGGGGAGGGTTTAAAAAAAAAATCCTTCTTTGGCTGTCCTGGGTCCAGGATTATGCAGCTGTGGATTTCGTCTAAATGGTATGGCCTGCTGCTTTTGTGGAAAACATGAACATCTGGCCCCTTTGGCCAATTCGGGAGCCGACCAAGCAACGGGCCAACTGCTGGGTCTGAACGAGTGTCTGTTGCTGAACTATAGCGAAGGCAAAGGAGAAAAGCCACGGCCCCTTTTGATACAGCGAGATCTTATCAAGCAGGCCGAAAGCGAAGTCGACGTGTAGATTGCTGGGTTGTTGTTGACCCCGGATAAAGCGTACGCGGCTATGGCGGGGCGCTCGGACATTCTGCAAGAACGGCAGGTTTTTATTGGATAATCCTTCTTACTAATATCTAAACCTTTGTGATTTTAACGGCCATCACTTACATAATCCTGCTTATCCTTATCGCGAGCTTTGACTCTGATAAACATCGAGAGAGCCAAGATGAAAGAATGAAAGAGACTAAAGCTGGAGGGACAGAAGGACTTATTAGCTGACACTAACAACCATATGGCTGGCAACAAGCGAGCGCGGGATGGCAACGTGATAGCAAACCATCCAGACACTGAAAAGATGGATACCTCGCCTGATGTATCTTCTATCCAGTCTATCTTTACTGGGTTCCGCAATGAGCTTGATGAGCATCATGACCGAAGGGAACGCGTTGTGAAAGCATCCAGAGATATCACAGCTTTAAGCAAGAAGATGTGAGTCTATAGAAACCGTCTCTGAGCTACAGTGCACCCTTTCACACTATTGTCTTCTATCTTACAACCAATACTAATGATCGCCCTTTTTTAGAATATTCTCCTTGCAAAGGTAGCGTCTCTCTACTGCTCTCGGCATTCATACACTCCACACTAATTATCCTTATCCCCCTTTAGAGTTCGCACAGTGAATGCACCAATCCCTCCCAAAATTGCAAAGGAAACGGACGACCGTATAAAACAAATACAAGAGCTCTTCAAGTCTATTGAAGCAGATGTGTCTGGCGCCAACGCGTACAGATACCATCAAATCACATGGGGAATCCAAGAGTACATCGAAGCCATATCATTCCACCGGTACCTCGAGAAGAAACAACTCATCACCTTGGAAGAGGTTTCACAGACACTACCAGCCGGTATTAAAGTCACAGAAGCGGACTATGTGCTTGGACTTTACGATTTGACTGGTGAAATGATGCGATTCGCTATCACTACGATGGCTACTGGCCGAACAGCAAGTATAAAGGAAGAAGATAAGACCCAGCAGTCTGAGGGCTCCATGGGTGGAGATGCTGTGCTTTCCGACCTACGTCAGCTCCGGGCAATGTTTGAACAACTCAATGTCCCTCGTGGATTGAATGGATGGAAGGAAGTAGACAAGAAGACAGAGGTTATGCAAGCCAGTGTCGAAAAGGTGGAGCGAGCAGTGTATGGGCTGTTAGTACGAGGAACAGAGCGGCCTTCCGGGTGGGTGCCGGACCTGAGCAGCGCTGCTGCGGTTGAGTCGCACTGAGGATTTACTCTCTCTTGAAAGCGGAAAAAGATGCATGGTAGTAAGACGGTTATGGAGGCGCTCGGAGCTATGGTGTAACATACAAGGGAAGGCTATGCTCCGAGAGTGCTAGCTTGGACTGTGATATTCCTTAATGAGTTTGAACATGAAGAAGTTCAATTTCTTCCATAATTTATCTCGATCGCATGCTAACTACTATCACCATGGCCATGCTTGAGTTAGGACGTGTCTGCAGGAATGGCATTCGCAGAAAGGGTAACAAGAAACAGCTAGGCAATTTAACCCGTCCGACTCTGAAGCTCTTCATTTCACTCCACAGAGCACACAGACATTAGCACCGATGGCCACCAGAGTGAATGAACACATGCTTAACACACGATTGAACAACAGAGCCAGCGGACGTAGGAGATTGCATCAGGGGGTCAAAGACAATAGCATAGCTTGAGAGGGCTTAATCCTTAATAGGGTTCTCCTCCTCAGTTAGGACCCCAGCCTTCACCAAGTCTTCAGGCGTTGGTCGGTGTAGGATCTTTTGCTCAAGCGAGTCAGCACGCATGTGCTTTTCGAGTTCGCGGGCAGCGCCTTGGAGAGCCGGAGCAGCATTGGAAGCAGGAAGGATGTTTCCTATTAGATTAAACAGCGGATGAGGTTGGCATTTTTCAACACACGAACCATATGCATCATCACAATCCACCCTAAGGGGAAAAGAAGAAAATGGAAAGAAAAAGGAGGTATCGATGACCAAAAAATTAAAAAGGCCACATACGTTCAACGAGAGTATCACGGTCAGCTCTCTTCTCCAGGCCTCTTTTCAGCGAATCGGCGGCCTGCTGGCGTGCGAGTTCCTGCTGGGCTGCTTGGAGAGAGCTGTATTTAACGTCAAAACATGAGCTTCTTTTTCGCGCTTCTTCGTGTATCTCTCTCATGAAGTTGGGACAGTAGGATAGTAGGTCCTTAATGCAGGCACATACGGAGCTACTTTGGTATCAAGTAGTATATGTCTATTCTTAAGGTCTTGTGCATCCGGGCGGCACTGAAGAGATTTCGCCAACGAGTCACGGCGTTCGCTGATAGGGGAGGTGGGAACCTCAACTGTCGAGTTTGTAGGAGCGTCAGACATGGCGGAAGACTCGGTGGTATCTGTCTTTTGAACGAGCGGGATGTGCTAAACTATCGATGTAGCTATATGTGACTTGTAGGTTGTGAGGAGACGTGTGTAGGGGATGTTAGCTGCGAGGAGGAGTTCAAAGTTGGCAGGACACCGTTCGGTTGCCTGGCGGAGAGGAGGAAGAAAGTGACGTTGGCCCTGGTACCCTCGCCGCGAAGACCAGCCACGGGGCGGCTCAAGATACCTAGCGCCAAGTATCTTCTCTAGCAAATATATACGACCAGGTACTTCTGACCGTTGTACCTCGAAGCTGTGACCGTTGGCCAAACACACGACGTCGACTCGTGGCGAGGTCACGCCCCCGCTTGGGTCACCTGACCGACGGTTGGCCGAGCAACAGCAATAACACTAAAAGTTACTTCTATCAAGTCGACCTCAATATCCAAGACAGATGTGTATTATTCGACAGGTACCTCGAGATATTGAACGGTACTCTTTGGCCGTCTCCGCTTACAGGCAATATATAGATAAATAAATGTCCGGGTTGGTATCTCATTCCCTCTTTCTCCAGATTTGAGATTTTTGAACGGGAATGCCCCGCAAGTGTTTTCCCCTAGCCTATTATACTAGACCTTATCCTGTTGGGCTGGCATCAATACTTTTTTTATTTCTCTTGTCATATCGCTTCTGAATTCTACCTTCTTTTTCCTAAAGGGTAATGGATTAGGCTTTAAGTCCAGATGCGAGCGGAAAAGCTGTGAATGGACCGTACAGTAGAGATATGGACCAACCAAAACCCTCCATTTCGCTGATTACCTATATTTCATTCATAGGCTGCGCGATATTCACAGTAATGTGTGTATCGACAAGTACTTGTTGCATCTTCCTGCATAACCCCCTACCCGTCTGCTGGGGTGCCTGTGACATGAACCAATTGGTCGATGTAAAAGCACTGCTGCCTAGAATACCCTGCAAAGCCTGCAGCAACGGATAGGCATAATGACTCACGGAATTTCATCTTTCCATAATATTTATACCCCCGGGAATGTGATTTGACCCCTTATTCTCTCTCGCATTCCATACTATCAGGATTTTACATTTAGACGAACGACAGAATGCATCAGCTTCGGTTAAATGATGCTGCCATTTCTTTGCACCGGGTGCTGTCGGCACACGGTGTGAAGTTTGGGATATTTGGTGGATACGCGGTGGCAGCCCTGGGAGGGCCACGAGAAAGTAAAGACGTCGACTGTCTTGCTTGTGTGAATAAAGATCAAATTCTGAATATATTAGACGGCAAATCGGGGTTTGTTGCGGTTTCCCAATCCAGACGGGATTATGTAGCTTTCCTCTGGTCTGATAAGCCAACCTGAGAGAGAGCGGTTCTCGTCGAAATCTTTTGCGAGGGCTTTCCTGGTAAGCCTCCCCGTGATATCACTCGTCACTCGTATAAGTTTCCTTTCCAAATCCGTATTAATTTACTTTGATAGGCGCAACTTTCAATATGTCAAATGTGGTACCAAATGTTACCCAGATAGCTGGTGAAACCCAAGGATCGGGCGCTACTTCATTTTTGGACCCAGTTTACCTGTTCAAAGGGAAACTCAGAGCTGCTGCAACCCGCAGTAAGTTCCATGACTCTGCCGACCTACGATGGCTGGAAACATACGCTTTGTCGATACTTCAAGCGAATAAGTCTCAGTTCAGCAGCCTCTATGTAGGGCTTGCTTTGAAACGCTACCCCGAACTTCACCACTGCTTCGAGCGTATTGGTTTGAATATTGACGCTGCCACTAACGCTGCAGCTGCTTACGATTTGCACCACCTACCACCACCGCAACCAGGTGACGTCCAGAATGGCTTGCTTGCTACCGGAAACACATAAAATTAACATCGTGGGAACTTAGTTATCCTGCTTTATAAGAGAGATTAGCTGTTTTCTAAGAGATTGAGTTGTGTTTCGGGACCTTTTTTTCTTTACACAGCGGAAAAATATTTAAGAGAAAAAAAAAAAAAAATCAGCTAGTAATTAAAGTGGCCAACACATAGGATAAATGATCTTCGTCTTGAGTGACAAGTACCGCAAACTTCAGACCTCGATGACCTTTCCTATATCAAAGATATTGTGCTTGCCTTTGCTATGGTCCTTTAAACCAAAATATTTTGCCATGATGCCTCCTGAGCTTTTAGGACGTTGGCTGCTCTGTCCCGGAAGTACGTAGCCTCGCTGGTTGCTCACAAGCCTGACCTGCCCGTGGATAGATTCTGAAGAATGATGGGTGTGACCATATATCCAACAATGCACATGATCAAGACACGACTTCTGCGAAGTATCCAAAAGATCTGTCCCAAAGGCAGAACTCCATGGATTTCCCTCATCTGAGGGTTTAGATGTTCCCCTGGTTGAAGGAGCATGGTGTGTAATGACAACAATCTTTCGCTTCGACCCAGGCCCTGTATTTCTCAGTGAGCTGATCTCCTCCGCCAACCACTTCAAATCTGCAGCATGCTCTGAGTTGTGATTGGCAACAGTCCACTCCTGGATACGGCGGAAGTCGTTAATTTTGTGGGCAACAATCTGCTCCGACTCAGGTGGTACGTGTGAATGCAGAGTACAACCCAGAATAGTGATATTATCGATATCAGCCCTTTTCCGATTCAATATGATCAATCTGCCGTTCATATGCGGTTCTTCTTGGAGTTGGTCCGCTAGACGCAGACCTTCCCGGCGAGAGACTCCAAAAAATTCATGGTTACCCAAGACAAGATAGACGGCCTTGAAGTTCTCGCATTGGGTGCATAAAAACTCGCGATAAGCGTTATAATCTGCAAGACGGCCAATATCGCCTGCCAGGATCAGCCGGGGAGCTCGTGGTTCAATATGGAAGTCTGAATATTGTTGACCGACTTCGAGGTGCAAGTCTGACATTACTTGAAACGCAGTGGAGTTTCGAGGCTGCCATGGTAGAGTAAGCTTGGAGAGAGTCATCGGGGTAGATTCGACACGTCCTCTGGGATATCAAAATGGCTGCGGGCAACAATAGACGACAATTATATTACTCCACACCCTGAGTTTAGTAGTTAGGGAAGCAAAGAAGTCAGGAATACGAACCCATAGCTGGGGGTACTGTAATTATTTGTTAGAAAGAGACGTTGAGTATTATTTCGTTAGCTATTGTCTCGTTAGAGGTTGAAGTGAGACCCCCAAACCAATAATAGCCATTAACTTTCTAACTAGTTAGTTAGTTATTTAACTAACTAACTAGTTATAAGCTTGGCAGGCAGCAGCTGGCTGGGGCCTGAGTTGAGCCTCTACCACCTTCGGCTCCTTTTCAACTGTTCTACCACCTATCTACTCTTGACCGCACGCACCGGGATTTACAATCTTCACTGACACGGACCGGGATTTTGAACCCAGCGACAAATCTAACTCGATACTGGCCCTTGTACTTTGCTAAAATGGAGTTTTCTGTCATGCAGTTGTTACTTGAACTGCTACAAAGGGCAGGAATATCGGTCTGCATTGTTGGTGAGCTTGCTCTTAACTACTACAACGCACCGCGTATTGTTCATGTAAGTAAGCCCTTTATATACCTGTGTGCTTCCTCTTTCTCTAATCCGGCGACAGGACCTTGAACTTTGTGTGCGTGAAGATGACCTTACGACTGCCGCGTCCATATTCCAGTCAACAGAGATACTGGATATCGCCCCAGAAACCGAGTATAATATCTACACGGAATACAAGAAAGGGTTCCCGCGATTTCGCTCTCGCTCAGAACCAAAATTCTATATAGTTTTGTTTACCGATCGGTACTATCGTCTGAGTCCCCTGGAACAGAATATCATATCTCCAGAGGAGCACGATGAGTTTCAGGGAACATACAGCAAAGAACTCCTCGACACTGTACCGGCACATCAGATAGCAACCCTACCGCTACCACGATTTGCGCCACTATTAAGAGGACTCTGCACCATATACATCGAGACAAGGGAGGTTACAGCTGCAATAGCTGCAGAAATGCTTGTTGACGGAATGGATATTGATGAACACTGGTGTCATAGGCACTTCGATCCTTCTCACCAAGCAGTGCTTAACTTTGCATTGAATCTTGTCAGAGGGAAAGCTTCCAGAATTGCTGATTTCTCGATGAATGAAGTGACATGCTTCATCGTTGATAAGCATGAACTTCAAAATCTCAGAGGGGTACCGGGATTCTCACGATCTACCGTGGACTGAATATTGACTCTGCGCTATTGACCGGACTCCCTAATGGGACACCTCGAGTCAAATATACCAATATGGAGGATATCAGGTTCTTGGTAAATATAAGGGCTAGAGTGTGTTGTTCAGACGATTCCCAAAGCCCTTATATTATAGTCATAAATATGCCACCTACAATTCTTCAAGAACTTGACACTATCTACCCTGATAAAGGCCCAAAAATAACTGCCAACCTACAAGGCAAAATCCTTATTATCGAAGCTATAATTACAAAAGCCCATGAAATTGCAGCTCGACGCCTGGAAGTGTATATTGACCAAGAGATCATGAAGATGGGTCTAGCATTTGAAATTCTTAACTCGGGAGAAGCACGAACAACGAGTGGAACGTTTGTGAAAGAACCAGATGCTAGTTTCACGCTTTCCGATCACGACTGGCCGATCCTAGTGATAGAGGCTGGGGTATCCGAATCTGATACCAAATTAAAGATGGATGCTAGAGGATGGTTAGAGTCCGCAGGATCGGAAACAAAAGTTACTATAACGATAATAATTAATCGGCATTCCCCCCAAATCGATTTTAAAAAATGGGAACACTCCACGTCAATACAAAACAGAAACTGTCCACGCCAGATATTCCAATGGCATCGCCGATATTACAGGCGACATGACCATACCATTCGAAAAGATAGTCGGAAGGAAACCCCGCAATGCTAACGAGCACGACATTGTTATCACAAAAGCAACCTTTGAATCTGTGTCGAAGATGGTATGGTTGGTCCAGAAATTTCTGTAGTAATGCGACTGTTGATTCCTACGTATTTTGTCATTATCCAATGTCTCGCACAACACTCGCTCTTCTGAACTATAAATCGATATAGTAATTTGACATGATTTAAGAGAACGAATTTATGTTACACTTCGTGAAAATCATCTTTAATGTTATTTTGATGAGACTCTAAATGGATCAAGCCCAAAGATAGTTAAATGAATGAACGGCTGCATTGATACTATCATTGCGAATAATACTACTCTTAGGAAAAACACTGGTTTATCGGCTCATCATTTGAGAATCAAGGGAACCATCGACAGGCTTCTCATAAAGCACATGTCTCACCACAAACCCCGTCCAACGCACGCCTAAATTCACACGGGTCTCCGCCACCCAACGATAAAGTGACAGTGGGAACGGGTAAAAGAATGAGGGTAAATCGTATCAACTGCGATACTGGTGTAGGTGTACGCCCACCTCCAATCTCTGGGCTTGCTTCCAAATACTATTATTTTTCGATCAAGAAAATGCTCTTCGAAAATCATGATATGAGTTTCGAAGAATGGAAAACAGTGCATGTCGGGGTTCGCTCAGTCACCACAGCAGATCCGCCACTCTTGAGATGAAGACAACCCAGACTTAGGAAATCTTGATCCGACGCGAATAGAGGACCAGGAGATAACTTTACGTTCAAGAAACGAGATGAGTTAGAACCTCAACCCATTGCAATCAGCCGGTATATCGACATGGACGATTGTAAAAAGCCTTTCGAAAGACGTGCGCATTCCTGCAGGTTTCATCCTTCCATATTTAACCATCTTCCTCGGGTTAAGAAAGGTTGGCGAGTTCTGAGAAAGAAAAGCGTAATACCAGCTCCCAGCATCTAGATATCAATATAGAAGCAAACGGGAGCATGGCGTCTTGTTCAAGGAACCCAGAGCTTTCCACGCCCACGTGCGGCTCCCCTAAAACCTCCACCGCGAGGTCCACCACGGCGATTTCCGTTTCCTCGGGGGTTCGGATTGGATGAGCTGCGGTTTGCTGGCGTTGGAGACGGATTGCCATTGGGGGACGTGTTTTGCTTGGTCATTCCGATGCTACGGCTGAACGAGTCCGGGTCAATTGGAGCCGAAGGTACCTCCAGCGGAGTAGTTTCAGCGGCAGTTGAAGGAGCTCTGGGCCGTCCAGCGCTAGTGGAATTGTTGGTAGCCATTTTATTGCCGCGTCCTGGTGTATTCTTGACGGGAGTCCGTGCTGGTGTCTGCTGTCCGGCTTTTCCTTGCTTTCGTGGCACGAAAACTAGAACATCCTCATCACTCTCATCCTCGTAGGACAGCAAAGGCTTTGGTTCGGTCGGATTTTGATTCGGATTCTCCTTCTGGTTCTTTTCCATATATTTGCAATGATTTTTGAATTCCTTTTCCTCGTAGATGATGGACGTGCGGAGTTGAGCTATATTCTTCACAATAATACCGAACTTCTGGGCCCAAACCTGGGTCTCTCTGTCATTTGTGACGAGGATGCAGCTAGATTGGGGAGCTGATATAGTAGGGAGGGCATGCAACCGCCATAGGACAGCGTTCAAGAGCGGTTTTAAGACGTTGGGGACGGCAGGAGCAACATATTTCACGCTAGCACTAGGGTCCTCATTATTAATAGCTGCTTCACCGTTAACTGCATCATTTTCCAGTTGACGGGATGAGCACTCAGGGCTCGCACGGGAACCACCAGACGTAGGTGATGCAGGGCCGCTAGAAGTCCCGGCAGAGGCAGCAGAAGTGGAGCACGGTTCTTTGTCCTTTTTGAAGTTCAACTTGCTCAGAAGCATCTGCGACATGTCGTTTATTTCACGGGCGCTGGGAGCATTGGGCTGGATATCTCCTGCCGGGGATTTCTCTTCCTTGAGCGTATATTCAACGGTGTCATGGGCGGGAGTAGCAGGGGCTTCTTCTTTGAATTCAGGAAGAATGTATTTCTCGGCATCTCCCCAACTTGAAAATTGTTCCATAGGCCCTTGAAGAGTTACCTTCTCAGCTGAAATGTTATGTTTCCCGGACGTAACACGATCGAGGAAGCGGACGGCCTCGCGCGCGTTGATACCACTCTGGGAGCCACCTTTCTTTAGAATATGGAGACGCTCAAGGGCTATGTAGTGTTAGTGAGAAGAATTCAAAGCAACCAAGATGACGGTCGCCGAGCTGCAGCACATACTGTATAACGGCACGATGAGGGCAATAGCATCCTGCGACGTCCACTTCTTGATTTCTCCGAGGTTGGTGGTAAGACAGGTTTCATCAACCACACAGTGGAATACCTTTCGGCCAACAGACATGATGGCTGTAAAGGCGAATCTCTATGAGATAGAGTTCCCGATAGGTTGCCGGAGGTGATGATTGCTTGACTGGGGGTTGTTAAACGAGGACCATGCGGAGAGGTAAAGTGGAGGCTATACCGATGGATTGTAAGGCGATTTTTATCTCTGCGAATGATTCAAGCACATTAGTGCCAGTTATAAGGTCGATGCTAGATGGTCTAATGAGTGATAGAGGCGAGGTCAGTAACCCATGTTGCACAATATATATATGGCTGAGCAGAACGCTGCGCTTTGACGGGGACTTTCCATCAACTTACAGGAATAGTTGAGGACAGGGTAGAGAGCGAATTCAAGCATCTTTAACCAGCTAGGCATATATGCAGCGCTGGACGAAGCTGCGGCTTTCTGTGAATGCGACAAAAGACTGCTTCCACCGTTGATGAAGAAACACAGCCTGGAGCGAGAAATGATTCAACATGAAGTCGAGAACTTGCGAAAAGATATTGAGGGGACAGCATGACTAAGCGGTCCTTTCCGCTTGCTAATATTAAAAATAACGGGGGCAAAATGAAATTAAGGCGATAAAAAGTGAAATACGTAATAGATACAAAGCGAGGAGACACAATCGCTTATCATTAACGTTGTCATAAGACCTTTGTGGTACTGATCTCATTCATTTCCTTTCAGATGCGCACGTAAATCCAGCAAACTACCTGCTGATCCAAGAAAAGAAGGAAAAAAAAAATTGGGACAGATTTTCGGTTAGTGTACCACCAGCCAATTCAAATTGTTAGATCTTCCGGATAAGGCCACTCTCTTCCGTCACTCTCGACGCCCATTCACTAGATGACGTTAGATCCAAGGCAGGGGTATGCAGTAAGGGGAGCAAGTCAACTTACGTCCAACTTCCGTCATACACTCGTCTGTTTTCCTGGGGGATGTAATCCGCCTGTTCCAATGCAAGATCAATAACGGCAGCCGTAACTCCAGATCCACAAGTGGTGATTACCGGCCGATTTCGATCAACTCCCTTTGACTCGAATAATTGCCGTAACTCGTCAGGAGAGCGCAGTGTTTTCGTCTCTGGGTCAAGGTATTCTCCAAGTGGTATGCACTGTGATCCCGGCATATGACCCGAGGAAAGCCCAGCTCTGGGCTCCTTGTCTGTTCCCGCCCATCGACCAGCAGGCCGGGCGTCTAAGATCTGGACCGCATCGGAACCTTCTTTCCCGTAATCTTGCCCCATTTCCTTCATCTCTTCAAAGAGGACCACTCTGTTCGGATGGTATTCATCCACTATGTAGTCTGATGGCTCATTGGGAGTCACTTCGCCTTCCTCGACAGGGTACCCTTCCCTAACCCACATCCTGAAATTATTCAAAACATGCACATTTGGGTGTCCAAATACTCTGAGGGTCCATCCAACGCGAGGAGCACTGAGTATCCCTTGTTCTTCCGTATCGTATACTACCACTCGATCATCACGACGAATTCCCATTGATTGCATGGCTTCAGCAAATTTCTCCTTCGACGGAAGCATATGAGGATAAGGGGAACTGGTATCTTTCACAACATCAATGTCGAAGAAGCGCGCATTAGGGATTCTTTTCTTCTTAAATGCCATGAGCCCAGTGCGACCCTCTGGATCATTGGGCATGAACCAAGCGGCACATAGTGGAATAACCCGAGGAGAAGAGGATATTTTTGTTGGCACATTCTCCTTTAAGGCCTCATGGAGCTCCTTTGGCGTAACTACATAGGACTGTAGTGACATAGCCCGTTGCTGAGAGGTATTCGCTGCTAATGTAGACCTAGAGAAGGAGGCACGCTGTGAGAAACGAGCGAGCCGAAGAATTGTGGTAGCCATTTCTAAGTAGCCTGTCGGGAAACTCCTTAGGTATAGTTGTGCTCTTACATAACGATGGCCCTAAGAAGGTGTTCTTTGCGAATTAGTACTGTTCAATCCGGCGATGGTGTACGGAGTAGTTTGATCTGAAATCCAAGTCTGATGCGGGTCGTGGAGATAAAGTTGGCTGGGCAACTGGCGCAGTCAATCAGCCAGTCACGGGACAACTTTAAACCAAAAATATGGCCCTGGCATGGCATAACACGCACAACTTTACTTCTTCCCTGACATGTTCTTCGTTCCACGATACGCCTTACGTCAGACGGGCTGCCGTGGAAGATGTGACAGGGTCAGAAAGAGTTTGAGGCTTTCATGGAATAATCAGCTAATAGCTACGGGTGAGGGAGTTCAACCGCCAGAACTAAGATCGCAACCTTATCAGAATCAACCCCCCTGGTCTACCCTGTCAACTCGTCAGTCTTTGACTAGCCGACAAACCCCGCAGCAATGAAAGTATCTATAAAGCAATGGAATGCTGTGGCTACATGGCGCTGGGACATGCCGGAAGACGATGTCTGTGGCATATGTCGAGTCCAGTTTGATGGCACTTGTCCCACATGCAAATATCCTGGAGACGAATGCACGCTACGTGAGTTTAAACGTTTGATCTCCTATAATGAAGATTCTAACGTAAGTTCTAGTTATCGGCAAATGTGGGCACTCTTTCCATATGGTGAGATTCGATTTGAACCTGCATTAGCACTGGCTATTTTTAACTTATTGACTAGCATTGCCTCTTAACATGGATTCAACAAGATTCAGCCAAGGGTCTATGCCCTATGTGTCGACAGAGTAGGTTTTACATCACTTCTCATCCAAGAGATACAGTGACTGACAAAGTTGTTCTAGAATTTGAATGGAAGCAAAATGAATAGTGTTCAGGTAGCTACGAGGAGTTGGGCGTATAACTAGCTTGTGGGATTCAAACTGGCGGGATACCCTTTTTGTTGCTATTCGTTACACATTTATATCAAATAGATTATTATTATTAATAGTAGTATTTCTGCTTCTATAGAGCGTCTATTCAACTCCTCTGCCCAACCATGATATTTCCCCATTCGTCCACCCTTGTCACGTGGTTGATTCTCTCGATTAGGTAATTCAAAGCCATCCAACCCCAGCTCTTACATCTCACTCCCATGTTTAATGAACAGAAATAAAGAAAATACGAATATCATAAGCGATGTAGCTCTTGAAGCGCAAGATGTCTTTTCCTAAGGATGCCGTTTCACCTACTACGTTATCACCCAGAATCGCCGGTTTATCCGTCTCTCCTACGGAACTTGATACCAGCGGCCAACCACCCCCCAGAAGCAGCCATGGGATGATACAAGATGAGGCAGTTGAAGACGACAGTGGACATGTCTCCCAAAATGAAGCAGTTGAAGATACCTCTGCACTAACTCATCCTCCATTTAAGCCCCTTTTTACGGTTATAGGGGATGCAACCTCGTCAGAATACTCCCACCCAACAGTGCACTACATATTTTCTGATGATGATACAAGCCTCATAACCGAAGCAGCTCTTCGATCTCTAGAGTCAAATAACCAAAGGACATCATCATGGAGCACAGAATCCATCTCCCAGAAAGACAAGAAGAAAGGAAAATCAGCCCCGAAAACTAAAGCTGCATCGGAGCAATTCATCATTCTCGACATGGAACCCACCTATACAAATGATAGTGATACCAGGGCTGCTGGCGGTGAAGCAAAAACCACCGATGCCCAAGAAACACCCGTCCACCCTGCTCCTCAAGTCTTTCAAGACTTCAAGGTAACATCCGCTCATAGCTTATCGCCTTCCTGGCAAGTGATAAATACATCGCTATCTCCGGCTCCGAATTTTGATTCGTCTTCCAACAGCCCTACTTCGACAGATCGCGACGGTAACACGGTACTTATGATTGAAGGAACTTCTGGGTTCGCTTCTGACAGTACTACCGTACGACAGCAGACGCAGCAGGCGCCTGGTCAAACGCTGGAAGAAATGATGGATCAGTTTGCCAAACGTATGGAGGAATTGAAGAAGGTCGTCGAAGCAAGTGGAGAACACTCGTTTTCACAGGTGGTAACACATGCAGAAAACCAAGAAGATTCCCCTCAACCGGAAGAACAGGGTCAAAGCTGAAGTCTGGATTTTACTGCAAGTGAACCTTCAATTGTCTACCGTTCAATTACCGTTGGAGCGTCGTCGTTGATATTATCATATTGGATCTTACTTTATATGGGCCATCTTGGGAACTACACTGCTTTAGGATGATGAAATTTGGCGAGGATTCTTTCTCAATATATTGGGATATCGTGTATGAATACGCTTGCAGATTTTTAACCTATGAGAACAATTCTTTATTCCAAAACCAATTGAAGTATCGGTCACTTATAACATTATGTATATATTAGCCCTATGTCCTGAATAGGGCTATTAAATGTACAAGTTAGGCACGGCTAACCCTAATACGCCTTGTCCCAAAGGCCCACCGGGCCATCAATCCAACTCCTAAAAAAGCATTCGATATGTAGTCAACTCACGCTCTAAAACAGAAAAAAAAAAAATCGCTTTCTAGTATAAAAGGCATAAACTTAATGGTGTGGGCCACTCCTCACTCTTCTTGCGTTGATTCTTGATCCCACATTGAGAGTAGAGACTGGAGTGTTCTCTCGCCCACCTCCTACGCCATTTGCTATTCCCCTGGCATTTCGACGTGTCATCCGTTTCGTCGGAATCTTAGTCTCGCCAGTTAAGTTTGATGCAGCGGCGACGGAAGACGAAAGGTGCCGCTTTAGAGGCGGAGGCTCCGTTTCCTTGCAACTTTCGATACTGCGTCCTGTTTCAGCAGTCACTGGTTCGGCGTTCGGTTTGTTCATCACATTCACATCAACTTCCCTCAGCTTTGAGGGTGATAGTTGACCGGATTCCTCGGGAGTGTCGGCTGGCGGGGGCTTTTCATCTTCGATATTATTATCTGAGTCATGATATACCATCGACTTAGTTGGTGATGTGGGAGGCTCATGTTGTAGTGGTGGAGAGTCTAACGGTGTGCATGAAGGAGATGCTGAGGCTGATGGATCACATGGAGACCCTAGGTTTCCAAGAATAGTGGAATGTGATTCCGTCCGCGGGAGTGTTGCTTCATATTTGTATGTTTTCTTCTCGGGAGTAGTTCCAGTTGGCACATATTCTGCCATAGATGTTGCCTGGACCTCTGATTGAAGACCAGATAGTGGCTGTTTAACCTCGGATATAGCAGTTTTCACTAAGGCTCCAAGAGATTTATTTTCAGACAGCATGGCCGATTGGAAGGCTGCCTCCCGCTTCTCAAATCCATCCAATTGTTGAAGCTGCTGCTGATACCCATCTCTAACCCTTTGTCCCAGTTTGTTGGCAATATCATTGCTTGCTTCGCAGTGCTGATTGTTTTGAGACCTGGCTCTCCTGACGAAATCATCAAGGGCTTCCATCTGAACAGCCATATCCTTCTTTTGTTCATCAACAATATGAACTGTTTGTTCATGAACTGTGTTGGTAGTTGCATGTATCGAAGTGTTTCGCGAAATGAAAAGCTAGGGCAGTGTTAGTGAAAGCGGAGAACATAAGAGACTAGAAGAAGAAACTTACGTCTAGATGATCTTTCATCCTAGATTTCAATTCCGATTCTGATTTGAGCACTTTCTCAAGCAATTCATCCTCCTTTTTATCCCAATTATCCAAAGTTTCGAGGTATTTATTATGCGATTGCTGAAGTGTTTTTCCTGATATCTGTACTTCAGTCTTGATGCAATCGATTTTGCCTTTGAGGCGAGCTGCTTGTCGGTCACTTGACTCATTTAAGAGGTTCTGGATCTGTGAAGCTAGCACAGAACGTTCCTCATCTGCTGCACGTCGTTCCTCTTCGAGAGTCAATTCCAATCGAGAAGCTGCCTTCTCGTTGGCTTTTTTAGCCTCCTCGTTAGCCTTCCGGAGCTGTGCACGAAGGTCGTCAACTTCTTCTTTTTGAGAGTGAAGATGGTCCACAATTGACTTGAACAAATCGGTAAAATCGACGGTTAATAGGTTATACATGGAGTGTAACTAGTGTGGTTAGCCATGGCTTTTGTTTCTTATGGTGTGCAAAACCTACCTCAGAATCGAATTGCTGAAGTTCCTGTATCACTTCCCCAGAGATCCTCGCCGCCGCAGAAGAGAGTCCATTTAATCCTTCCCCAACTTTTCCTTGCACATCTTCCCTCAATATCTTTATTTCCTCCAGAACTTCATTCATAGTATCACGATTCTTGTAATTTTGACTTCTGGAGTCTTCTTCAAACCTTGAAAGAGAGGTCTCTGTTTCCGTAAAAAGTGCACGACTCTTTTTCAAGGCCTCTAGCTCACCGCTTACAAAGGCCTCCACCCGAGCAGTAAGCCCTTTCATCAGAGTCGAATGCTGGGAATGAAGTAGCGCCATCCTGCCATCAATGGATTTTGCAACGTCCAGAACCCTGGCAGTGCAATCTTCCCAGGCATTCTTATTCTGTTTGTGAAGAACTGACCGCCTCCTAAGCTTAGAATGCAACCCAGAAACGTCTGTTACAGATTGATCAATAACCGAGAGTAGGTTCGAGCCGATATCATGGAGTTTCTGTTCGGTCACTTGATGCGCACGGCGCAACAATGTCTCTTCCTCCAGGTCCTTCTGAGCCTTGCCCAAAATCAACTCAGTCTGTTCCAGAAGAGATTTTGTCTGGTCTAACGTTGACCGTGTTGATTCATTGCTCTTTTTCATCTCGTTGAAGTTGCTTGTCAAAGCGAGGTATTCTTGAACTTTGGTTTTCAAGTTGATCTCCATTGTCTCGATCTTCGCCCGTTGTTCTTCACTAAGAATGCGGCGAGATTCGCTTTCCACAGTCATTTCCTCGTAGTTTTCAGCCGAAAGATAAACCCCATTTCTCTGTCTCGTCGCTATTAGATCACTTCGCAACTTCTCAATCTCAGTTGTGAATTCTCGCAGTAGCGCTTTTTTGGAAATTGAGGAATTGATCTGAGGCTTATTTCGGATATTCTTTGCCCGAAAAGCGTAGTCTAGCGTGGACATGGTTTCTTCCAAATTGCAACGGGCAGAGGAAATAGTTGCAATTATGCACGTTTTCGTACGGCCTCCCAGGGAGTCTTGAAGCAAACGTGTGAGTTTTGATTCCCTATACTGTGTAAGTGGACCGCTGACCAGATTGTATCCAGAAAAGTGAAAGAGAGCTTACCGATAGGGTATATGAGGGCTTTTGTCAACCAAAGCATTTATAACTCGTCCAAGTGTAAGCAAGCTCTTGTTTATCGACCCAGCTTCCGTAGCTCTCTTGTTTTCAGCACCACTACGTCGAATGTCTTCACTCCCCGCAAGATCAACGAGATTTAGCTTTCCGCTGCATATATATTCTTCACCCTTGTCCGAAATCCGCTTGAGGAAGGTGGTAATGGTGAAAATACTGTGACTTCGTGAACTGAGGTCATTGCACTTTGTTGAAGCGACCTGTCGCCGATGACTGCCCTCCTGGAGCAGTTTAATCCCGGCAGATGCAGAGTTGATATATGTTTCGCCCACTCCTTGGATCATGGTACCATTGTGGCCCTTCTTCATGCCTTCTTCATATATTTTCAGCTTGACATTATCTTCAGACGAAAGAAGGTCCCTGAGGTCCTCATTGTAGAGTTCGATAAAGGAGCATTTGACGGAACTATCAACGCCTTCGATCTTTTGAAATAGAGCATGAAGAATGCGCGGTATTATACCAGCACTGTCCGAGAGCAATCCAAGAGTCTCTGTCATATCGCCTGACATGGTATACGTTTTCCCGGTACCAGTTTGGCCATATGCGAATATAGTACAATTGTATCCGGAGAGCATCTAGACAAAGGGATTAGTAATTTGGTACCACTGGTAAAGTTGAATAGCAAGCGCACCTCATTTAATATCGGGGTAACGACATCCTCAAATATTATAGCTTGGTCGGCTGCTGGAGAAAAGACCTTATCGAATTGATACTCTTTATTTCCCAGCGCATTGGGACCCATAGACACTTCCACAGTCGTCCCTTTCACTCCTTCAGTAGATATAACAACGCCACTATTCTCCTTGACCTCCCTATCACTCCTGCCCCTGCAGCGGACAATGACTCGGATATTTGTGTCGCCGGGAACATTCTGTTCAAAATCACGCTCCTTTCGTTTGTTGCCAGCATTTTCAGTAGGGGAATTCAGAGCTCGTGTCGCACTGGGTGTCTGTGTCCGCGAAGAAATTTTCGGTGTCTCTACTCGTTCAGGGGCAATAGAAGCTCGTGGTCTGGCTGAACCTCGCAATGCTGGTTTTTTCAACTCCCGTGTGGGTTGAGGCCTGGTGCCCCCGGCCATCTCCAGAAAAACTGTACGTTATTAGCAATAATGAAGCAAAAAGAGCCCTTCATATGTGTCGCGAGGCCGCCTTCTCCAGATGAACCAAAAAAAAATCCTATCAGGAATAAACCCTGCAAAGATAAATGAAAGATGCTGGTAGGTTCCCTCATACAGAAACGCAGTTTTTAATCCAAAAAGGGAAAAAGTAAACAAACCAACGGTGGCCTGAGCTTTATGATTACGTAATTTGACGACATGTGATCAAGATCACGTGTCGCCTCTAGGCCTCCAAGGTTCAGGCGTATGACCTCATTGAATGACCCCGTAACGCTCCGTCCAAATACTTATATCAAACGCCTTTCTATCCTCAGTTGCCGATGAGATAATATTCCTGGCCTGGCATGCGTCTCGTTTTATCTGGACGAAACACTTATCTGTACTGATGATTCTTCTTGCGATACTTCACCATCATGGCTACCTCTCGAGATAGCCCCGCGCCTGTCTTGCCCGGCCGAGCCCTTGGATTCCTCAGTACGTTAACATTCAGCCACTTTACTGTCTAAGCCCTAGCTGATGTATCTGTAGCTCTTGGGGCATCACTGCACCACGTCGTTACCCGTCTTAAGTCTCTTCCCGAGATATACAAGGCATTAGAACTAGGCTATGACATCGCCAAACCTCTCCAGGAGCCTGTCATACTACAACTTCCAGAGAACGGTTTGCGACTTCGTTTTGATGGGCCTGACCAACGCCTGCGACTGATAGAAGTTTTGGATTTCAGCAAGATCCCCCTCGTCTACAAGACCCATGAGGTAGTAAAGCCATCAAAATCACCCTCTGATCCACCAGGATTTGGTCCTGGGTTTCGCCACATATACAACAGGTTGTTTGGACCAACTTATCCCGGAGAGTACACCCCTCCTGTTGCGGGAGAAACGCATGGGACCTATGTCTTATCATATCCTGGAGTTGCATTCTCATTCTCTCTATTGCATAGCGCATGGACAGAAAAGCAGGATTTTGTCTCACTGATGTCTTCCTCTGCTGCATCCGCTGCCTTGTCTATGGCAATATTTCAGGGATCATCTTGGTCGGATGGGCAAAGCAACTTGTTTACCCGTCAACCTCAATACCCACGATCGAGCGCACTAATGGGCAAGAACAAGGAGTCTGTTGCAGATGAGGTTGAACTCGTCAAAGTTCATGAGGGCGGACATATTGAGCTTATCAGGCGATCAAGCAACCCCTTTTGGATCATTTTCGGCGAAACAACTCCTCAAGATCTTATCACGGAATTAGGGCCCCCAGATGCCATCTATCGAAAAAGTGACAGCCGTATCCTAATCCACGGTGAAGGAGAGAAGAATGTAGCTGGAACGACTAATGGAGGAGGCAACTTACCTACTCCACCCACTGATCCCTCAGATATTGATCCACAATTTGATAGCGCCTTGACTGATGAATCGGAAGAGGATTCAGGCGCAGCAACAAATGAAGAATCCGCATTGCCGAGTGACTGTTTCTATAATTATTTCAGCCATGGCTTCGACATCTTAGTTGCCCCATCTACATCTGGTCGCCGCTCGCCAGGGTCACCCACAAGAGAATTATATGCGACAGGGGGTACACCAGAACTTGTCACATCGAAAATCATACTACATGGCAATGTCCCAGGATCGTACCCTTTCAACCGACATAGGCGCTGCAGGTGGATGCTACATTTTGGTTCCAACAAGGAGACAATCACATCTGAAACACCATACGGAGAAATTTCTCCAATACTTAAGGAACGATGGCGAGGCAGCTATGCTAGCCCTGCAGAAGAAGCTTCCTTCCAGAGGGGTATGGTGCTCAATCGCGGATGGGGTGAGACTCCGGGAAGTAGCATCGAATTATTGGGCAGTTGGGAAGAAAATCCATCCAATAAAAACAAAACAGATCATAACCCAGAAATACCTAGTTCATTGGGGAATACTGAACTATACGGATTCCCGGGTCTACTTTTTGAAGTCCTTAAGAATGGCTCTGTCAATTGTTTGACTGTGTATTAACATGTTGCGATTTGTGAATTTCTTTCATACATATGGTACATATCTGGGTTAGGATCGGGTTGGGCAGGCGTTTGAATACTTTGCTTGCATGAGATATTTTAAGACAGATATCATTCGTGATATATTTTGAAGACATACAGAAATATTTATACCAAATATATTGAATTTCTCTTGGTATTGCAACGCCGTAATTTTACAACAAGGTACGATATTGGTAATTATAATGCACGTTTATTGGTTAGAGCTTAATCGTACTGTATTAGCAAATACATGCAACTTTTTTCTCCCATCGGCTTTTCAACATGAACAATTGAAATTCCAACAGCGAGAAGAAATGCAAACAAGAGCATGCCGGAGCTGTCGCGATCCCTCGCGCGATCTTGGTCATCGACGCTAAAGCTTCCGAAATCCACGTTCCCTCCACGGATAGCTTTGGCTGACCAGTCGAAATATCTCAAACGATGCAGCGATGACCTCTACAGCTGGCAGCAGCGCAACCGGCCTGCAACAGCTACTTTCACACTCCACGATGGGCCGCCATACGCTAACGGTGATCTGCACATTGGACATGCGCTAAATAAGATATTGAAGGATATAATCTGTCGCGTGCAATTGGCGAAGGGAAAACGAGTTCATTATGTACCTGGATGGGATTGTCACGGCCTCCCAATTGAGCTGAAGGCACTTCAGGGCCAAAAGGAGTTGGGCGACTTGAGGTCGGCTGGGAGAGATGGGGCTGCGCAGATTCGGTCAGCTGCTCGACAGCTTGCAGAAAAGACCGTCTCCCAGCAGATGGAGGGATTCCGGAACTGGGCGATCATGGGAGATTGGGAAAATGCATATACTACGATGAACAAAGATTTCGAACGTAGGCAATTGGCCGTATTTTTGGAAATGGTTGAAAAGGGGCTCATTTACCGGAGATACAAGCCGGTTTACTGGTCTCCCTCGTCTGGTACGGCGCTTGCCGAAGCTGAGTTAGAGTACAAGGAAGATCATATATCAACTGCGGCTCTGGTTAAGTTCGTTCTGGATAATCTACCATCTCAAATACTGGAACACCCTTTGCTTGCGGGGAATGATATTTCTGCTGTTATATGGACAACGACACCGTGGACACTGCCTGCAAACGCGGCATTGGCGGTTAACCCCGATTTTGAATATACAATCGTGGATTCGACTCGCCATGGAAAACTCCTTGTGGCACAGTCTAGGCTGCAATACCTCCAAGAGCTACTTGAAGATGATTTCACTGTTGTTATACCTGCTATCATGGGCTCTGAATTGCTGAATTCGACCTACCGTTCCCACTTCAAAGGGCCCGAGTCTGAAAAACAGCGGATCATAGCTGCAGAATTTGTGACAGCAGATGCCGGCTCCGGAATTGTTCATTGCGCTCCAGGCCACGGTATGGAGGATTACGAAGCTTGTCTCGCTCTCGGAATTCCAGCATATGCTCCTGTAGATGGAGAAGGCCGATTTACCCAATCTGCTATGCCAACAAAGCCCGACCTTCTAACTGGCAAAGAAGTCTTAGGGGATGGAAACCATGCTGTCATCAAGCACTTGTCGGAAACGGGAATTCTCATTCACAAGCATGATTACAAGCACAAGTACCCCTATGATTGGCGGTCAAAGCTTCCTGTCATAATTCGTGCCACAGAACAATGGTTTGCAGATGTTGGTGATATCCGTGGCGAAGCTATTCAAGCTCTGCAATCTGTCCAATTTATCCCGCCAAGTGGGAAGTCGAGGCTGGAGACTTTCGTCAGGAATAGAAGTGAATGGTGTATATCTCGTCAGAGAGCATGGGGAGTCCCTATACCGGCATTATACCACCGCACCACTGGGGAAGCTATACTCACTAAAGAGAGTGTGTCTCATATCATGAAAATGATCGAAGAACGTGGTATAGATGCTTGGTGGACTGACGATGAGTTTGACCAGGCGTGGCTCCCTGCTTCTCTCCGTGATTCGAGCTCACCGCAATATAAGCGCGGAACAGATACAATGGATGTATGGTTCGATAGTGGCACCAGTTGGGCTCAGCTTAAAGATGATTCCCCTGAAAGTCCGCCAGCAGATGTATACCTTGAGGGAAGCGATCAACACCGTGGTTGGTTCCAATCTAGTTTGTTGACTTACATTTCCCATCAGCTCGCCGAAGGGGGTAAATCTTCGTTTAAGGCCCCTTTCAAGACACTTATTACACATGGGTTTACTCTCGATCAGTATGGTCGTAAGATGAGCAAATCGATTGGGAATACCATACAGCCTGACGAAATCATGGGCGGTACACTTCTCCCTCCACTAAAGCCCAAAAAGATCAAAGGAAAAGGCCCAAAGCCAAATCCAGATGTTCCGGTGTACGATGCCCTTGGTCCTGATGCCCTTCGACTATGGGCTGCTGGGAGTGACTACACAAAAGATGTGGTTATTGGTCAACAGGTACTCAAGGCAGTCAACATCAGTCTTCATAAATTCCGTGTCACTTTTAAGCTTCTTCTCGGTGCGCTTCAAGATTTCGACCCAAGGAATGAAGTCCCGTACGAGTCACTACATGCGATTGACAAGATTGCTTTGGTGCAACTTCACAACCTCGTTAAGTCAAGTCAGGAAGCGGTCGACAAAATGGAGTTCTTCAAAGCCGTGACCGCAATGAACAAATGGGCCAACCTAGAATTCTCAGCATTCTACATTGAAGCCATTAAAGATCGGTTATATGCGGATTCAGAGTCCGGAATGAGTCGACGAGCTGCACAGACCACTTTGTTCCATATATACACGCACATTCAAAGCCTTCTCGGCCCAATAGTCCCTTTGCTGGTTGAAGAGACTTGGGAACACACCCCTGGTAACATTAAAAGATGTTTGAAACATCCGTTCCAGCGAACTTTTAAATCGCCAGACAGCCAGTGGAAGAATGATACTTTGGAACATGAATATTCTGCTATGGTTGCCGCCAATTCTGCAATCAAGGCTATGCAGGAAACTGCTCGGTCTAAAAAGCAAATGGGGTCCTCTTTGCAATCATTTGTGCACCTGGTTCTCCCCGAAGGATTTGAAATATCCGAGCAGTTACAATCCGAGCTCCCCGATTTCTTCGTCGTATCCTCCGTCACCATAGGACCAGAGTGTGATTCCGTTCTAAATGACATTACACAGGCCGAATGGAGCTACAGCTCTGAGTTCAAGCTACCAAACGATCAAATCGGAAAAGCATGGGTGTATACGCCAACTCAGGCCAAATGCCCTCGTTGCTGGCGTTACGCAGTCCAGCCTGCAGAAACCGGGTCAAAGGACGAAGAGGATCTTTGCCATCGCTGCGAAGAGGTTGTGCATGAGATAGATCAACAGTGTGATACGGGTACAAGCACTCCCAATTAAACCTCCCCTCACCATAGTCGTTTTTTGAGCGTGTAACATAGATCATCTAGATCCTGCGATCTTTCCCGTCCGTCTACCCTCCCTTCCCCTGTTGCCGTCCCTTCTGTATTTTATGTATACTATAACTCACTATGCTATACCATACTAAATTTTATAAGTGTAATCGGCCAGTTATACCATCTTACGCAGCTTCAAAAAAACAGGTATTGATATTAGCCCAGTCGATGAATTTAACGTCATAGGCTGCATGGGAGCTTGGATGGAAAAATAGAGAACCTTGTTTCTTCGCCCGGCCTTGGTTAAGAGATGCAGCTCACAGAAGTTCAGAGTTTCGTCGGCTGCAGAATCCCTGTCCGACAGTAACTACAAGCTACCTTGCGTTCCAGGCGCAGGCCCAACGAACTGCACGTCAGAAACGACAGGCAGTGTTACCTGGATGACCTGGCAGTATCCTTCCAAATCTCCAAACTCTCCTCAAGGCGTCTTTGAGCCCGATTGGACCACTCGCCTGTGGCAAGACATGAATGACGGCGATGAAGTCATTTCTTGTTTCTCGAACTCTCATTTTTACTTCCATGGAGGCAATTCCCTTGATATCTGGTAACGCGGGGAAACCCATTTATATAGGGGTAGCCGCTGCTTGTTGCTAATTATTGCATACTTTTCTATACTACATCTGTGCTTGCAGGTATAGTTGTCAGGATCATACGGAGATTTCATTCAACAAACCTGGCCAACTGACTACTTCACCTCGACTATCGAGAGATAGCTAGCAGAGATTAACGGTTGCTATATAAGACGCCATGCACACAATGGGGGATATCGGTGTTCCTCCTATTAGCCCTATCCCGGGTCGAAATGTGATCATGGAGGAATCATCGGGGGTTGGGCGACGATGCTTATGGTAAGCCCTATCACCATAAAGGCAAAATGTCAAGAGATTCTTTGGCTAACTTGTCTTTTAGGGTCGTTGCCATTCTTATGCTTATTTCATCCCTGGTTTTCTACGTTCTGGCCGGCAGAGTCCCTACAGTAAGGCTGCAATTGTATGGCGTCTAGAAGAAACATTTGCTAATACGTCCTCTAGCAAAAACGCCTGTTTCACAGCTTGGTTTCACTCGTTACTACTATATCCTTCCTCTCATACTTTGCAATGGCTATGGGATACGGAGTATCGTATAAGCATTATACCAACCACAAACACCACAAACACTCACCGGATACTATCCAGGAGACTTGCCGTGAGGTGTACTGGATTCGATACGTCAACTGGATGTTGACCGTGCCGCTGATCCTCACCTGTCTCTCGTTTTTGTCTGGGGTAAATGGAGCTAGCCTGTTGGTATCAATCTCTGCAGCTCTTGTCATGTTTGTAGCTGCTCTCAGCAGCTCCTTCATGGACAAACACTATCAATGGGCCTGGTTCGTAATCTCTTGCTTGGGATACCTGACAATTGTGTACCAAACCGGCTTCCAAGGCCGTAGAGCCTCTCTTGCAAAGGATCAACAGGCCCGCAATTTCTATACTTCCATTGCAAGCTTCTCTTTGGCAGTGCTGCTTGTCTATCCAATGTAAGTTCATACCTACTTCATCTTAGAACACTTTTTTAAAGATAACTAATGAGGCACGCAGCATCTGGGCTATCTCCAATAATGCTCGAAAGATGAGCATTGATGCAGAGATAATAGTTTTTGCTATCCTTGACATATTGCTTCAAGGTGTCTTTGGATATTGGCTTATCGCCTCTTATAACACAATAAGATCCATGTAAGCAATTTATGCAGGCTCAAATATCCGGGTGTTATGGTTGCTAATTCGGTTTATCTAGCTCGGTCACCCTGGATGGTTTCTGGGCGAATGGCGTTAACGGCGAAGGCAATATCCGGGTTGGAGAAAATGAGAACGTATGATGTCCTGCAGGTGTGACAACAACAACATCTTACGGAATCTGGTGGTGCTATACCCACTTATTTACTAAGAAGATACCATCAACATTTCAGACCACCAGTTTGTAGCCGGCAATCTTTCTTGCTCACCTTATAATACCCTCTATCATTGTGGCGGTACAAAAGTTATGGACCAGGCCATTTTTGTTCGTTTTTACTTCGAATTTGGGCTCTCGGTTGTCTGCTGCAATTTAAGTCAATTAATACCTTGTGTCTTTTTGATTTTTTATTATTGTGTACTTCAGAATATGGAATATCAAACTATTTACCAGCAAACTAAACAGCCATCGACGTAAGGCATGTCATCGCACTCCCCACTGCCTCCTAATACTGTCATCAATTAAAATATTTAGGCCAGTCCAGTGGTAATGTAAAAGAGAGGAAAGAGAAGAAGAAGATCGTGATATCCATCTAGACCCTGCATGACGTCATCACGAGCAGTGATCAATCACGTGATCACTTTAATTAGACTCCGAGGAAGGAAGGAAGGAGTTCCATTATTGCTTGGCGAGCTGGCTTACTTCTTGCTGGCTCTCGGAAAGCCTTTGATGCGGAATGCAGGACGACGGCTGAGGCCGTCGTCATTGCCCGAGAAGCACTCAGGTGCCTTCTCGATGGCTGCATTTTCTTTGCCGATGCTTGCCTTTCGCCATTCGCTGACCTTCTCGTTGACGAGCTTGGTCTCGTCAGCCTTGTCGGCTGGATTCTTCCCTTTCTTGGGGATATCAACGAGTTTGGCCTGAGTTGGCCCTTTGTTCTTCCTCTTCGGAATATCGATGAGTTTAACCTCTCCAGGTTTGACGTGTCGAACCTGCATGGCATATTCAGCCACGGTATTTGGCCAGGATACGACGACTCGGTCGGACATGAAGCGTGGGATCGCAAATCCAGCGTCGACGCAGTCATTCTTGAAGTTGATTACGCGGAGGCGATGTGGATTGAACCACATGAAGAATGGGTCGGCATCGACGACGAAGCCAGTGAGTGTTAGCTTAACAATTGGTAAACGGTCGAGCGTACACCCCATTGCCAGAGCTCTGATCTTTGCCTCTCCAATGGATTCTTTGTCTAGGTATTCACCAACTCCAGCACGTCTGTGCAATTCTCCTTCACCGGACTCTCCACTTTGATGTAGAAAGTGCAAGTTAGCAAGATGATTGTTATTCGGCAGGAAGTTTGAATCCTTACTAGTATACCCCAGGCATCTCATCGGCAGTGCGGTAAGACCAGTCCCCCTTGATAGATGGCCAATCGGCATTGAATGTGCGTCGAATGCAAGGTTCAAGAGCCATCTCCAGCTCGAGTTCTTCAAGGGCAGGGTTAAGCCATACGGTTTGCCAAATGTACTTTTGATAAGACTGTGACATTCCAGTCAACTTGAGTTTTCGGAGGTTTCTGAAGTTGCAAAGTGAAGCAAGCTCTTCAACTGGCATGATATCCGGGCGAAAGGGGTTGTCGAAGGGACTGTTTTTCTTAGTTGGCCAGAACAAGTCCAACGCGAGAACTTTGCAGTTTAGGTCAAGAGCCTGCCATGCAGAACCTCCACGGAATGAGATAATAGGCTTATCAAAGCCGTCCATGGAATCATCGTCTTCAAAGGGTTCTTCGAACGTGTCTTCGTATTCCTTCATGTTGTTCTGTTTGTCTCCAAACGCGGAGCGTAAGAGCGCGATGTTGCTACTAAAAGATGATCTGGAAGCTGATCTGGCAGTGGTTCCTTTCTTCGCGTTACTTGATGAGCCGGCCTTGAAGAAACGGGATATTGAGGCCAGAGACTCGGACTTGGTGAGGCCAAATGGAAGACAAGTGATATCACTGACACTGGATCTTCGTTTCTGGGAAGACGCCCCTACTTTCGGGTGATTTGGGGGATGGAACGACGCGGAAGATGTGATCTTTCGATATCCTGGACCTGGTGGCTTCCTTGGGACTGGAAAGGATTTTGTTAACTTGGCTCAAGGTCTTCAATGCTGGTAGAAGACAAATTTGCTGAAAGGATTAGGCAGAACAAGGCCAAATATTCACTGGCTCACCTGCTATCACCTGTTTGTGATTGTTTTCATCACTGTCTTCATCCTGGTTGATAGGACGATGGCATCCTCGGCAACACACCATGGTTAATAGCTGTGCTATACCTTTTGATAGCCTTGCAGTAGAAGCTCAGACAGGCTATTATGATATCAGATATAGTATATCAACCTAGTTTGTTGCTTGATATAGGCAAGAAAGGGAGGCTTTTTTAGATAATGTGAGAGAAGTCCTATCAAACAAGCAATCTATGGGGTTTGCTTTTTTATGGTGTTTTTGAAAATATAAAGGAGACTGGTTTGTGTGCTATGAGAGCCGCTAAATGTGTTGTTATTATTGTTGCTGTTATTACTAGCCTGAAAGCCCCAGGTACATCTAGACAGGAAGGGATATGTACTTGCATGACAGTTTACCATCTTGAGTCAGACAGGGGTAAGCTAGAGTGCTCGAGATGAAGGATATAGGCTATGACAACATTTTCAGGATACCAGCAGTAGGTTTTGGGGGCAGATTGGAGGTATATGTATATATATATATATATATATATATATATATATATGCTTCCTTGTATTCTCTATCCACCTCCCTAATGCACCTATAGCCTATCATGCATCCGGTTTCGATATCAAATGGACTACATTATCTCTTTTTCTTTATTCTCCGGAGTACAATCAAGGGGCTTCTTCTCTCGAGACATGAAACCGAACCACAAGTGTCTGAGAGTCATGGCTGCAGATACGCCGGGTCAGCTCTCAGCGTGGATGCTCCAGTCTGTTGGAATTACTTACTCCTTTGTCAGACATGCGCTCTGATTATAGCTGCATGGCCCTATGCAGCTCAACGTAATATTTTCTGGACCGTCCTATGAAATCATGAAGTAGATGCATGGTTTGATACATCATTATCCTATCGATTTACTTACTCGCTATCGATGTGGTTCCATGGTAACCGGTACGTGCCTAGTGGTGTCTCGTTCAAAATATATCCAAAAACAGGTATGAAATCCCTACAACGGTTCAAGATGTAATATGACTTAGTATCCCAGGAAAGGAAATTGAGGGAAAAGAATATAAATCTGTCAGATGGAAATCATTATTTCATTTAGCTCCTGACAAGCTCGAAAGGAATTTTATCCGCTAACTAAAATAGACAAAAGGGAGAGAGAAAGAAAATCCTATTTGTTCTTTTTTAGTATCTCTTTCCTTCCCGTAGAACGTCACCGAACTCCTCGAGAGGGCTTCGGTTGAGTTTGGTCTCCTTCCAGAGGTTAGGAGTCAAGTAACCGTATGAGTTACCGACGGCAACGAAGGTGGCCTTGAGGGTGTTCTCAAGGGTCTTGGTGGAACCAGAGGAAGATGTGTAAATATCGCCGACACCGGCCAACTGAAGGAATCGCTTAACAGCTGGGGAGGCAACGAGGCCAGTACCACGGGGAGCAGGGATCAACTAGAGGGTTATCCAATTAGTCTTAAACGTCCTTTGCCGTTGTATAAAGGATGGGATAGAAAAGACATACTCTGACGGAAACGGAACCGCACTTTCCGCTGGTCTTGGTTGGGAGAGAGTGAGGTTCACCAAGGTTGGAACCCCAGTAACCCCGACGGACTGGGAGAACGCTGAGCTTGGCGATTATGATGGCGGCACGGATAGCAGTAGCGACTTCCTTGGAGGTCTTGATTCCGAGACCGACGTGGCCCTCGGAGTCTCCAATGACAACAATTGCCTTGAAACGGGTTCGCTGACCGGCACGAGTCTGCTTCTGGACAGGCTTGATCTATATCCCACGAAAATTGACCCCCATTAGCAACAATTGCAACATAGCCGCATAGAACAACTCAAAACGCTCAGAAATGCCAGGCGCATTATAATTCCATCACTCGTTCTCCTCCGAATGCTTGCCGTATGCAATTTCGAGGAAGGAAAATAAAAACGACGGTATGTCCGTACCTTCATGACCTCGTCCTTGAGCTTTGGAAGGAAGAAATCGACGATCTGGTATTCCTTGATGGGCAAACTGTGGAGGTAGATCTGTTCGATGCTGTTGATCTTGCCGGCCTTGACGAGACGGCCGAGCTTGGTGACGGGCTGCCATTCCTTCTCCTCGCTCTTAGCACCACGACGTCCACGACGTCCACCACGGCCACGGCCACGGTCTCCTCCACGCGAGCCAAAGCCGCCGCGTCCTCGAGCAGCGTCAGCCATAATTGCTGGTATCGGAATCGACGGTGTTGTAGGAAATGGGAGAGAAATAGGGAGGACCGGAGGACTTGAGGTCGTTGTCGATGTTGCGCTTGTCGAACGTCTTCGTCGCTCCAACTCGCTTTCAACTTTCTTCTTTCGCCAGAAAACGCGATGTGGAGCATTACATAAGCCCCCTCTAAGCGAGTGACCGGCGAACCCTCAGGCCGAGCCCTAAGCCCTACCCCGGCGCCCAAACAGGAGATCCCTTGGCCGTGGCGCTAAGCGCTTAAAGTGCGTCGGCTTTGCGGCAGATCAAGGTTTTAATCGCGCGACTAAAGCCGGGCGGAAGAAGCTCCACCGGGGCAGAAAAAAGGGTCAGCAGGACGCGAGGATGAGCAGAGATTGAGCCCCCTGCGATGGCGCGGCTTCTTTATTGTTTAGACCAGCTATATAAGCCTGAAGAGCGTATGAAGCTGGCTGTCTCACACTCGACCCCCCCAAGGATAAGGCAGAGGACCTCATAATGCTGCGGTGGTGAGTTCGCTGGGCCTTCCGGTCATCGGAGATATATCTGCCCCTTCCCCTTGATAATTCTAGGTAGGGTTTGTTCTTCTAATCATCTCTACGCAGGTACCAAGCAAAATTGGCTGCCCGCCCATTGCTTACACAGAGCGTCGGTAGTGCTGTGAGTTTCCAACATGAGGCTTCCTTATCAAGTTTGCAGTTTACTAATTGATGACCTCTAGGTACTCTTT